CCAAGTGCGTGTTTTCTTCTTTAACGATAGTTAATTTTCACCTGATATATACTCTATATAGAGTAAATATTTATATACATAGTATGTAAGTCTTGGTACATAGAGACGCTACATCTTATAGCTTAAGTTAATATTATCATATAAATCCACCTTACAGTTGGTACATATAAAATGATAGACAGAACAACATCTATTTCACAAAAGTTTTACATTTTCAAAGCCATCTAAACGAGTATCTTGAGCGGTAGTTTGGGTTTCAATATGCGAGACATTCCCGTCTGAGATATAAATGAGTATCGAAATGCGAAGACAAAACTGTATTAAGTGTACGTGTTGGGGCGAGGCGGTGCGAGGGTGGAGTAGGGTTGGCGAACCTCGAGGATTTCAAAATATAACAGTGTAGATAACTTATGTCAGATAATACTTTCTTAGATTTACGCGAATGTTTGACATTTTTAAATAAAACTATCTTTTCGGATTATTTCGCGGTTTTATTTTGATTTTTGGTTCCCGACGTTTCGAATGCTTTACAGCATCCATGGTCACGGGAGAGACTGAGGTGTTACATGTCTTGAAGGTATTTATTTAAAAACTTATGTCAGATTCGCTATTCACTTGCCTTAATACTTTTGAAGTACATGTGAAATAATATATTGTATTATTAAAAATAAATATAGTCTATAGAAAGATGTAAGTACGTATGTATATTTATACATTGTTATTTAGCCATCGATAGTTTATCATTGCTATTGGCATTTTGCCGTTCATTTTTAGATTAAGATTAAATTTTTGACACTACTACCATGAAATCCATATCCATACTATATTATAAATGTGAAAGTGTGTTTGTTTGTTTGTTTGTTTGTTTGTTTGTTTGTTTGTTTGTTTGTTTGTCCTACTTTCACGTCGAAACAAAATGACGGATTGACGTGATTTTTTGTGTGGACTTAATTGAAGGGGTGAAGAGTGGCATAGGCTACTTTTTACCGCGGGATATTATCTAATTCACATCCCACGGAAAAACACTTATAATTACATTAAATAGTAACCGTTAAAACTTACATAGGGACGAACCCAAGCGTAGCGAGAGCGAGTCGCAAGTAGTCTTATAAATGGAAAAAATTAATATTACCTATTCATGTCACCGATTTTTACTTAAGACGTTAAAGTTAACAACTGAACAATTTCTTCAGTTTGTAATATTATTTCTTACTAATTTAAAAATATCAACAGGACAGTTGGGATTGTATCTAACCCCATCGATACTCTATATATCTAAGATTTGCCCGCGGCTCTGCTCGCGTGGTTTCTTTATGAATATTTACTTCTCTTCTAAAGGCGTGATGTTAGATGCCCTCAACCTATTTCTCAATAAAAATTTCTAAATAAAATATTATGCAAATAGAATTTCTCAATTCTTACTGGTAGCTTAAGAGATTAGCGCGTTCAAACAAAACGTTACGTATTACTGCTAGTACCTATAGTATTATATGGTCTGTGGTATTAGGTACATATTGCATTATAAAGCCTTAAACTTATATGCGCATTCAAATTTTGTCGTTTTATCGATAAGAAATGAATGTATAAGCAAATCCATTTATTTATTGTTTTCTCAATGTTACATGAATAAAAGTGTTTTTTTAATTATTTTTATTTAATTACATTTTATTTTAAATTACAAATATACTTAATTATATATACAAAACAAATATACACCTAGTTATTACTGTACAAGTCTTGTCCGCGTGGAATAGAAGCATGAATGCTAGTCGCATTCCCCCGTTCAATGGCAAAACCAATTCTTTGGGCGAAAAATGCGCCAGCAGACCTCTCCTCTCACCAGTAGAGTAATATAAAAGTTAGTTTAAGCTACTATAATCAGACATGAAGATATAAGTTTTATAAAATGTATAAAAACGTAAACATCTGCCCAAATATTGTGGAAAATTTTAACAGTCGACCTTATGATGTTATTGCAACATGCTTAGAAGACTGGGTCACTGGGTTGCTACCTGCATAGAATTCATTTAGATATACATATAAATTTACATATAAAATGAAATTTTATTAAAAAAAATGTGATTAGTCAGCTTCAGCATCAGCTTGTCTTCCCCTAAAGGGATGGAGCATAAAAAGCACTTTAAAAGTTTTCTTATTTGCGCACACGACAACCCTAAAAACACCCTACGGACGCGAAATCTCGGGGGCGAAGCATGTCAATCAAAATATCCCTTAATGGGGAGACTCTGGCGGGGTTATTAGATAAATACGCCGTCGTAATCATAATGTGAACGCCTAAACGATCATCACTTTGCTGGATTATATTTTATGATTATATATGATAATATTTGGATACACGTCGCTTGGTATGGTTGGAGATATAATGTTCTAAGCCCATCATCTTTTAGAAGTTAAGTCTCTTTTTATTAAAAGAGTTACTATATCCCATATTAAATTTTTCGTTGGCCAAAGCTTTCGAGTGTCGTAATATTCAAGAGTATGTCAGGTTAATTTTCTGTAGTTTTAGGAAGATTGGTGCGAAATAAAAGTCGATTATTTACTACTAAATTGTAGGAAGGTAGTCCGATTTTCGCGTGTTTGGCGTGTCTGATTTGGTTTGTTTTAATGTAATAATAAATTTTGGGACACACAGTGCCATCTGGTTCCATGGTAAGCTACGAGGCTTGTGTTATGGATACCAAATAGTTGATACACTACACATATATAACTTTAAATACATACATATTATAAATATAAATACCCATGACTACTGTGTGACTACATACATTCATGTTCACTACATAAATGAATGCCCCCAGCGGAACTCGAACCCGCGACCACTGACGCAGCATGTAGTCACTACTCACTGAGCCAAACTTTTCGTCCAAATCAATCACTTGAAATCAAATATTTTTGATATATTAGTTACTCCAACATTGCCTAAATCGAAGTCAGTTGAAAAATAAGTAACACAATTATTGAAAGAGTAATTATAGGAACATCGTTGACTCGACCGACTTTTAAAGGTCGCGTTAAAAGTTGAAATGAAATATGATCACGTTTGTTTTGGACAAACAAAAGTATTAAACTATGGCATTAATTAAGTTGAGAATATTTATATGGAGTGTGTTTTTGAATTTGTTTGATTATCGATGAAAAATTTCGTAAATTTTATTTACGTTTTTTTATAAAATATCTTTTTTATAAAAAGAAAAAATAATAATCTATACTAATAATATAAAGATAAACTTTGTGAGTTTGTGACGTTGTAGGGGGTAATCTCTGAGTCTGCTGAACCGATTTAGATGAAATTTGGTAAGAAGATAGGTTGACACCCTGGAAAGGACATGTGTATTCAGCCCTTTTTAACGTCCCACTGCTGGGCAAGGGCCTCCCTTCAATACGAGGGGGATAGTCCAACAGGCTAGCTGAGCGGGTTGGCGCATAACAGGATACTTTTATCCCGGAAATCATCCCTTAAGGGAGTGAGAATGGGGATGAAAGTTTGTATGGGGAAGCAAGCTAGGGACGAACCTGAGCGAAGCGAGGATGAGTCGCTAGTATAAGATAAAGCTCTCTTTGTCCGAATTCGTCATGGGAAGTTGCTGTAGTCCACTTTTGACTAAAAAAAAACAATTTCGATATCACAAGTATAAATATGAACTCTAATTGAAAAATGATAGTACAAAATTTTTTATCTTCCTGCCTGCTTGTCTTCTTGTCTTCACCAGTCGCCAAAATTACCTGACTGATTTAAGCGTATCTTTCTTTAAAGTTTTGAAGGAATTCTATATTCAATATTCGTATTACAGAAATACATTTATTGTCAAAAACTACTAATAGCAAAATAGTTTATATTTACTCTAGAATGCAGTGCAAAATATTTGTATTCCAGAATAAATAGATATTATAACAAATGACATTTAATTTAAATGTATAAGTTGGCAATTCAAAAGCAGAAGCAAAATCTGTTTGAATATAAGAATATTTTAATTTATAATTTATATACATAACTAAAATTGAAGTGTCTGCGTGTAATCTCAAAATAACAGCTTTTTGCAAAATGCATATGAAATTATATACGATAGATACTTAGAAGAAAATATATTTTTTAAATTTTTTGTCTGTCTGTTTGTTCCGGTTAAACTCCGAAACGGCTGGACTGATTTTGACGGGACTTTCACTGGCAGATAGCTGATATTGTAAGGAGCTTAACTAAAGCTACTTTTATATTAGAAAAAGAATTAGGATTCCGTTCAAGTCCGTTTTAATTTTTTTGAACGGAACCCTAATTCTTCTAAATAGCTACTCGCTAGTAGGTATATATAAGATGTAAAGTTCAAATTGTTTTTGCTATTAGATATATTAAGAAAAAATGTTAATAATACCTTCAAATTTCAATATTTTCATTATATGACAAATCGTTCAAAGCAGCGAGGATATAACTTAGTTTATAATACACCTTACGTAGGAAAGAAGACATAGTGGCTATCCACTCCATTTCGCACATTAAGGACTTTAACTTTAAATCTCTGCATCTGCATTGAAAATCATCTCGCGTTTCCTTAATAGGTCACAAGGCTAGCAAGAGTGGATTGCTCTTGAACTGGTGTAGATAATAAGTTCGCTATGTAAATGCAAGTTGTTTGATTCATATTTGTTACTGTATTTTCTTAGATATATGCTGTTTAAAAGGATAATACATTTAAGCAATGTATTCTATGTTAATTTTGTCTAAATGCAATAAGTCGTTGTTTTAGTGCTTATATGTTTAAACGATCAATACTTTAAATGAAACTATCTCGAGAGTTTCTCCCATGACCATGATTGCTGTAATGCATTCGAGAAATCCAAATAAATCTGCGAAAAAATCCGTACATCGAATTTAGAATATATATAAAATATATATATATATATATATATATATAAAACAAAAAACCGTCTAACCACCACTTAATCTTTAACCTCAAAATCAATGATTCTAACTTCATTGTCCTCAGGCCTCACCGCGTCAAGGCGCCCGGAACCTTACTACGGGCGAGTGATCGGACGGTTAACTCAATATGCCCACGGGATTCGGGGCACAGTGTACGCTGTGGATGAGAACACGGTGTATGTACGAGGTTTCGCTTACGATGGAACCGGTCCTGATGCCTATTTCTGGGTAGGAGATACTCCTCAACCATCTCCTGAAGGCACCCTTGTACCGTACCCAGAGGACTATGTTAGTAGGTAAGTAGAAAATTTAGTATTTAAGAACTAGATGTTAGCTGAGCCATTGAACGTGACACCCACTTGATGACGTCATAGTATACGTAAAGGTCAAACTGTAATTTGGATCTACTGAAATAGCAAGAAATTTATTTAATAAGCACTTACTGTAATTAAATAAAACTACGTTCTGCTCGAGACTATGCTCGCGATGTATGTATATAAGCTTACATCCCAATATCCCAAATCTCAATAATTCAAAAACACATTATTGAAATCGGTGTGCCACATTCGATTTTTTTTTATATACATCAGCTAAAAAACATCATTTTGTAGACACTTATAAATAACGCCATACAGATGATAATTAATGTTTTAGACATTTTTTAGATAAAGGTCACAGGTTCGATACTTGCAGGGATCGAGAGCTTTGCGGCTAAAAATGTATCGCTTTTGGCAGAAATAAGACTCATTCATGTAAAAGCTGCGATAAAGTTATCAGTTTTAATTCCCACGTAAATTAATAATGTTAACACCTTATAAATAAATGTCATAGGTTCTATACTATCAAAGGTCAAGTGCTTTGTGGCTAAAAATATATCAGTAATGTGTAGGAGTGAAACTCACGCTACTTCCTCGTTCTCTCACTGATAAGGATCGCGACCTCTTATGAATTTTTAGCGTTGCCTGGAGAGTTGCACCCACTAACTCCGTGTCTGACCCTTCCCCGTCCGCGTTTACCGTCAATTTGGCCCAAGATTATCAGTTTTTTTTTATTGAAATCTATACTCCTTTGGGGACGTTTGGAAAAAATTATGAGAGTAAAATTTTTACGATGCGCGCGCACACCGACAGCCAAAAAGCGACATGATGAAGTTAGCTGATAACTGTTCGTTGCAATGGTAACCGTTATTATTATTTTTTTTATTTTGTTAAGAATCTTCAACAAAAGATACGCATCATTTAAAAACATAAAACGTAACAATATTGGTGCTCCTTCACTTTGATGAAACCACAGCTTGCTCATTTATGTAGGTATTATAAGTTTAAAGTTATAACTAAGTAAAAAGATATAGTTTAGATGGTTATATTTCGAGAAACAATTTTTAAACATTTATAAAGACACATTAAAAAACAGAAAAACAGATCATATTACAAAACTAGTAAAGTTGACAATTTAATTAAAATTTACTAATTAAGTTGACAATTTAATAAGACTACTTTTAAATTCCAATAATATATTTTATACTAGCATTGCCCGCGGCTCCGCCCGCGTTCTGATGACCAAAAACCAAATTCTTATGTTTTACATATTAGTATACTCTTACAATGCAGTTTTTGTATTTTTTCTCTGAAATTAGATATTTTCCCGCAGTAAAAAGTATCCTATATGTTGACCCTGATAACGAGCTATCATCATACCAAATTTCATCAAAATCTGTCCAGTGGGTTTCGCGTGATGCGGTAACTGACAGACAGACAGACAGACAAAAATTCTAAAAACTATAGATTTGGCTTCTGTATCGAAAATAATGTTTGTTTCAATAAGTTTTTCCAAAAAACATTGAATGTACAGATTCGGCTTAGTTAGAATTTTATTATATGTATAGATTTTCTAGACAAAGCTTGGGTAATCGCATAATATGCCCAAAGCATGCTACGGCTTTGTTTTGACAAAAAGTTCGCCAAGAATGGATTTATTGGTTCTTTTAGTGGCCAACGATATGTACAACAACTACATATATAGGATCTAATTCCCACATAATTTAATATCATTGGCGATAAACATATCTATAGATATTAGTATAAAAGTGTTTTGATGTTTAAAATCAAAGAAATAAAAATAAAACTAAACTTAATTGACAGGTTTAATGCATTTTATCATACATGAATGTTATCTATACATTTATCAAAAAGCTCTGTAGCTCTATTATTTCCATGAATCCATTATCGATTAGGTTTCAATTATTTTTTTATTCATGAAAGCTTATTCTATTAGTTTGTCCTCAATACCTAATACGTTAATCTAGATTCTAAATGCTCGGCTGAGAATAAGGATGGTTGTGGGTTCGAGTCCCGGATCGTGCTAGTTATTCCTCCAAGAAAAGACCAGACCTGGAACTAAAACCTTCTACTGGGCTTTTTTACTTTACCATACTGTATTGAACGCCATGACGGCTTAAAATAGGGTCCTTTATTTACACATATACCACTTCCATCTCACAACTCTGTTGTATAATATAATAACTTTCAACATGCTTTAACTAGTTAAGTCTCATTGTCAGTGAGATTAGCCGCTGTGACCGAAATTAGGCAAAACTGAAACAGGTCTACTGTTACATAATTTGATGAATTTATTAACCTATTCCAAAACGAGGTGGTACTCAATTTTGAATGTATGTAATACTTTCTTAGATTTACGCGAATGTTTGACATTTTTAAATAAAACTATCTTTTCGGATTATTTCGCGGATTTATTTTGATTTTTGGTTCCCGACGTTTCGAATGCTTTACAGCATCCATGGTCACGGGAGAGACTGGGGTGTTACATGTCTTGAAGGTATAGTTGTTACAGACAGCCTACCCACAATTAACAAAATGAAAATTGCACCACATTTACACTACAATATTTTTTAACTTTAAACATTTTTATATTATTATTATTTTTGATTATTATTATTATTGAATGTATGTTTTTTGCATATATGTTAAGCGATATCTTCGTTAACTGTTTATCGATTTTTATAATTCTTTTTTCCTATAATAATTTAAAAATACATACTTTGTATGTAGAAGTCATTATTCAAAATTGCAAGTAAAATAAGTAGATACAGATAGTCTAACTGTCGTTGAAAATTATTTCCGCAATAATCCTCAAGTTTTAAATGAAACAATTTTTTCGATTTTTATTTTGATTTTTTGTTCTCGACTGTTCGATTGCTTTATAGCAGACAGGTTTTATTTAAAACTGGCGCTACTTACATTTTAACGTTTAGTATAAATTTCTCAGAGATGTGATATTTTCCCGTAGTAAAAAGTATCCTATATGTTGACCCGGGTAGCTAGCTAGCTATTATCATGTCAAATTTCAATCAAATCTTTCCAGTGGTTTTCTCGTGATGCGTTCCCAAACAGACAGAGGGACAAAAAAATGATTCGACTCAGAAATAAATTTATTATGTTAAAAAATCGCACAAATCGACGAAATCGAAGAAAAGTTTATTAAACCTCGAGATTTAATAAAAATATTTACTTGGAAAAAATAATAACAATTTCTCAAAGGCAGCTTAAAAGGAAATAAGATGTTTACTTCTTTCCAATACAAGGAACTTTTTAATGACCGTAAGAACGCCCGCTACGATGTCCTACATTTCATTTGTGTATCATATTTTATAACGTCGCGTTGTCAGAAAACTGATGCTTTGGCAAGGAAGAAATGTTTCAAAGTATTTTTTATATAATACATCATTATAATATAACTAGCGACTCGCCCTCGCTCCGCTCGGATTCGTCCCTAGATGCGTTTCAACGTTTAGTATAGATTTCTCAGATATGAGATATTTTCCCGCAATAAAAAGTATCCTATATTTTATACAAAGTAGACCCAGATAACCAGCTATCACCACAACAAATTTCATCATAATCTGTCCAGTAGTTTTCTCGAGATATATTTAGTGAAATTAGTGAGATTGTCATTATAGTTTCTTTTATGAACATTTTGTCATCTTCTTGTCTCATTCATATTAATACTGGGTTAATCAAACCTGTAAAGACTTTAATTGCATTTGCAATACAGAAATTTTAAATACACGAAGTGAAAAAACAAAGGCTAGTCTGAAATAAGCTGACGTAATTCTTATTGTATCAACATAGATCTCAAGGAGAGTATACAAACGGTCTAACAATCCCATTATTAACTGCTATTTATCTTCGTGAGAGTAAACATGGTCCATTTTGCCTCGCTAGCATTTCTAGAATAAGAAATAATGTGTAAACTACCCTAGTTTAGTACCAAGACAGCAACAAGAAACAATTTGTTAAAACATGGACTTAGGGGTTTGTTGTAGTGTAAAATATATCTTTACTAGCTGACCCGGCAAACGTTATTCTACCATATAAATTATCAAAGAAATCTAATGTCAGATAAAAAATGATAAAATCGCGATTAAAAAATGGAGGGTGGGGGTAGGTGGGTGAAAAATACTTTACGGCTATTCTCATACCTACCAAATATACAAAAAGATTAAAATCGGTCGAGCCGTTTCGGAGGAGTGCGACCACAAACATCGTGACACGAGATATTTATATGTTGGATTTACATTATAGGTATGAGTGGAAATGAACTGACTTAAAACTCAAATTCTATCCAATGTTTTTGACCGGCTTTGAAAGAAGCAGTTTACAGTACACAATTTGATTGTATGTTTTTTTTGTGTGTTGCCACAATACCTTCGCAGGTTATAAAGTGATTTGGATGAAATTTTTAATGAATAAATACAAAAAAAATAATAAAAATGACTTATCTAAGGACAAAATAATTAATTGATTCTAAAGTGGATTTTAAGTCAATGCTGGCAATTTTTTAAGCTAAAATTAATAATTTGTATAGGTTGCGGTATATTTATTGTCTTTTATGCCAATAATAATATATTTTTTTTATAAAAAAGCTCGACGGTGGAATACTTATTTTATATAATTTATTAAAAACCATGCCCTAAGAAAGCAATAATTTTTTTAACTGTATAGTGTATACACATCGAGTACCTACTTAACGTGACTTATATTATGTAACTTTGTGTAAAATTAAATACTTAGGCTATATGACCATAGACACAAATATAAATGAAGTAAATATAAGGCGACATAAAAAAAAATGTTTTTTTTTCAGAGATCCTCCCGTACTATCCGCACATACTAACTCGGACATCCTGCTGCGCCTGCCGGGCGGCAAACGACTGAGGGACATCAAGTGGATAAGTGTGTGGTGCCGCAGATTTACGGTAAATATTCATTATGTTATTGTAAATGTATTTATTGGTATTTCAAGAGCCATCATACCTATTCGTTAAAATAGAAAAGAGTTTTAGTTTTTACTTGGTAAATACAAAATTCGCATTAATTAAGAGAGAATTCTCAGAGGTTGTGATTTGTGAATAAAGAAAGGTTCTAAAAAGCTGTTTCTAACTTCTGACGGTCTTTGGACTGTGGTCGGACGACTCATTTCGTTATAAAGCTTTTTATACAGGTACATATTTCTTTGTTTATTTGGTAAAATATCTACAAAAAAATGATATATATATATATATATATATATCTGTTTCTTTCTTCTCTTATTTAATAATGTAATACGATATTTAAATTATTAATTTTTATTCCTTGTATCTACTTATCAAACATAAATAAGCTAAAATCGAAATACTTGAACTGATTATAGTTAGATTTATATCCATTTACAATTATAAACCCAAATAGTTGGCAATTCTTATATTCTAAGTATGTAACAACAATGGAGTAATTTAACTTAATTCTTCGTCTGCTTGTGTATTTAAAAGATACGAGTATATATGACGGAAAAAAAACAAATAATACGATGGATCACGATGTACAAAAAACCTCGTAGGTACTCATCGCTTGATAATACCTGCTCTAAGCCGGATCCAAGTCCTTGGCCATGAACTAACAAACAAAAGAATGCGTTTAAGTAGACTTGGAAAATTAGTGTTGGAAATATTAGTATTATTTTTTTAATTTATCATTCCTTTTACAAACACAGAGTTGTGACATACGGGATGAAATCTTCAGATATTTTTGTTCTGTTACGCCAAAAAGTATAACCTTAAAAGGGTTAAAATGCCTAAAAATGTCTATATCAGTCTATCAATAACATCCAGTAAAAATATTTATAATAGATTTTTTTAAAAATATTGAAAAATACAATGTGTCGAATGAATAACCATTCACAATACAATTAAGCAGAGTATCTGCGTGCCAAAGCCAAAATATCGATTAGAGCCGCGCGCAACGCGCACTTCCCGCCAAAATTTGACATTTGCGGCCATGATGCCGAAAACATTGAATGGTAACTTACGATCTTCTACTTTTGACAACGATGAATATTTTATTGCAACATACAATTGTATGATATATATATATATATATATATATATATATATATATATATATATATATATATATATATATATATATATAATATGTAGATATATACATTTATAAAAAAAAATATTATTAAGGATTAAATTTATACCCACCCTACTTTACCTGACTTACTTTATACTTAGTGTTTATTATTAATCAATTATTCTGAAAAGCAGAGTGCATTTCTCTGAGAAACTATATGTATTGAAGCTATTGAAACTTTGAACTAAATATAAATGATTATAAATGCATTAGCATAATAGATTAATCTATTTATATGTATAAATAATATGTAATTAAAGCGTAATATTTGTACAATATTCCGTTCGTTGTTTTTTTTCTTTGCATTTTGTAGGTATCTATATTTATTTGCTTATAACCGAAGCGTAGCTACTAAACCCATTTTAACACGACTTTTACTGACAACAGATGTTTCAGGCCAGAGGATTAGGGGTGTTTTTATTCATAAACAATAAACGTACATATAGCTTTCTTTGCTAATTCATTGGTCTAGTGGCTAGAATGTATGACTCTAGATCGTAAAATTCTGTGTCCCGAGGGCCCCTTACCACTATACGTCAGAGATAACGCAAAGCACTTTATATCACACTACACACACGGTTGCTTCCCTACACAAACTATCATCCCCATTTTCACCCCCTTAAGCGATGATTTCCTGGATAAAAACTATTCTATATCCTTTCCAGGGTCTAAAACTATGTTCAGGTTCTAGTTCAGTAGTTTCGGAACTTATTCGGTACAAACAAACAAAAAAAAATACCCTCTTTATAATATTAGTATAGATTGGTCGTATCGAACTGTCGTCTCATCGGAAAATAAGAGTTAAAGGAAATAGAAAGTGCACCTATGCCTTCGCATACACCTACACACTACTGTGCAGTATAATCACATTTTGCTAGTCTCTAGAGAGTTTGATCGCTGTAACCGAAATCAGTTAGAGGTCATTATTATTATACAGGCTTATGAAAAGGGCCCGAACAAGGATCCGCCCTTGTTCTAGTACACAATAAACAACTTTTCACTTATCCCAAATATCAACAAATGCCTATGGCTTAGCCCACATATACGTGTATACATGTGTATAGCATTCAACCGCTAATTATTATCTATGCTTTGTATGGGTGAACGGGAAGAACAAGATGCATGTATCTCTTTAGATTTACTTAATCTATTCAAATGAATGTCGACAGCTTATTGCAGATTGTTGCAATAAGAAAATGTGTCTTCGGTTTTTTGTTAATTCATAAAGATATAACTTTTTCCAAAAAATATGCGTCTTTTAGCCCACTAACACTAAGAGCCTAGAGATATTGATGTAAAATAGAAAAATAAGTACGGTGGATGTCAATTTTTTTTTTTAATTTCAGGTCAATTTCGGAGATGTTTTCATTCCTCCAGGCTTGGATCCTCCAAGACCCCGAGTGTTGCCAGAGTTTAAAAGATTAGCTCACGGTCTAAGATCAGGCAACATCAGTGTTTTGGATGCTAAAACTTTCTACATACCCAACTTGCATTATGATGGTGCTGGGCCTGATGCGTACTTCTGGGTGGGCAATGGCAGTGAGCCCAATCCTTTTGGCACTAAAGTAAGCTATATTTTTTATTATTGTTTTCAAACTCTAGCTTCATATATTTGTCTTATATACTTTGATTTTCATGTAATGGACTAAATATAATAGAAGTGCCTATGCGTGTGTTTGCAATTCCTTCTAAACAGCTTGACTGATTTTGATGATTTTTTTGTGTACTTATGGGGTCATCTGGATAGTTCTTAGCTATAATTAGAGCAAATAGGTGGCGCTGTTGTTGAGATCATTTAGAACTTAGTGAGACTTGTGGCAAAGTGTCTGCTTAACGGATTTGCCAGCTTATTGATAAAAAAATTAACCTCCAAAACTAGATATCGCAGTATCAGTGCAAGTTTAGTAAGCTATCACAAATCGCTTGAATCAATATAATCACTGAAGATTTTGACAAAACCACAGGTTCCAAACGAGATGGGTTCACTCAATCCTCTCCGGGGCTACCAGGGTGAGGATATAGAGATCGTGCTCCCGAACAAGTTGACAGCTTACGACGTGGACTGGCTCGCCGTGTGGTGTGTGGAGTATCGGCATAACTTCGGACATGTTTACATTCCTAAGGACTTGGATGTGCCTCCAGCTTTGGGTCAGACGAAGATCACTGTGAGTATTGTTTTAGGAGTTATTCTTCTTTTTGACCTTATCCCACTTATAAATCCATCCTCCATTTATTTCTATCATTCTCATATTTCAGTTTTATTTATATCCTGTTTTGTACAATTCATCCATAGTCTCTCTCTTCCCAGTTATCCCTGAATTCTTATATCCATCTTTTTTGGTATATGCCTAATGATAATCTGTTACTTCTTAACTGTTTTGTTTAAGGAGTTGTGGTATGTTTTCTTTTAAGAGCTTCTCATGTAATCTTTAAAAAATAATATTTCATTAAAATTGTGATAAGGACCGTTTTTTGTGTGCTATTTCTTTTTAACAAATAATTTTAAAAAATAGGCGTAAATAACTTGACAAATGCATTTCCATCAAAAAGTATAAAATGATAACTTAATTATACAGATTTTTAGATAACTAGTATATGTCTGTACGTAGGAATAACTACTTTTCATGTAAGTATGTATGTTTGCTATTCCTACTTTTTGTATGTAAAAAATCGACATTTACTATTATAAAAGTCCGATTTTTGGTTGCAAGTATTTCAGTGACTTGTTAGTAGGAGTTGGATATATTCATCGCCAAAACATTTATAAGGATGTCGAGTTATTCATGCCTACTAACATGTGTTAGGGGCTTATTATTATTAAAAAATCGTTTTGCAAATTAACAATTTAAGGAATATGTACATATAATATTTTTGTGTCTTCTGCCCTTTTAACAGCCTGACATTGGATTAAAAATGTGTTTTTTCTATCAATTTCCATTCACTTACAGGTGACATCAAAACGACCAACCAATAAGCAACTAAATACTAATAATTTTGCTAAATCTACACCACGACCACATACTTCATTCTTTGACTGGTTTAGATTTTAATTGTCATTTTTTATGTCATAAAAAAATATTAACCGACTTCATAAAAAAAAGGTTTTTTACTTTTAATTTTGTAATAAATATTTCATCCAAGTACTAATGATTAATTTAAATAACTTACATTTATATTATAAGATACTAATAGAATCTTTTTAACTAATAACACTTTAACACATGTATGTGCGATTCTCTCTATGCTTTCCTGGGATTTGCTTACTTTCCATTGCAGCCAGCTTGGTGGTATAACCCGGTAAGTGGCATATTTACATTTTATATATGATGTTAATATCATTGTTTTATAATAAATTCATACTATAATTAACACCTCCAGGTAAATTTCTAAGAAATTAAATAAATTTTTAAGAAATCTATTGTTAACTGTAACGCCGGCGTGTCCGCGGTCGTGGAGGGATTATTTATTATTTTTTAAAGTCAAAAGTTGTGGAATTATTTAAAAATAACAGCTCAATGTATACAGGAGGTTTTCGCGATTGTTTGTTAAAGATTTGATATTATTTAATAAAATTTGCTTTTTTCATGTATTTCGTTAATAGCTTAAGTCGATATATGAAAAATCTTTATTACGCGATAGAAAATTCCTCTGCTTTACAATTGTTTTAGAGTTGCATAGCTTAACGGCTTCCGCTCTTTACCCACATTTATTTTGTCATGTCCATCTGTCCGTATATAATAGCGATTTTACTGGAAAACTAATTAGGTAATGGTAATTATATACATGACTTAAAGATTAATAGGTGGGACACCTGAACTTTTGAATGTTTAGACGATTCTGCATCTGATACATACAGAGGTGAAGGCTGAAAAAATGTAGTTCCTTTAAGCATGTGCGACCTCTGGATAGGTGTTTGAAATTGAAACATGTTTATATCAATTTTTTTCAAGGCAATAGTTGCCGAGTAATTATTGAAAGTCAACATTGTGTTTATGTAAATTAAGAAATAATACATAATAATTTCTATAACATTATTAACAAAAATGGCGAATTTCAGACAAGTTCGACCACTTCGCAAACACCTTTCAGCGCCTCTAACAATTGTAAAGAGATTTTGGATAAGCGGCTACAAGTGAGGTGGGAGATACAGGTAATTGTTAGCTTTTTGTTTTTTTTTAAATCACTTATAATTAATAATTATCTGTTTTGTAAAAAAAATAATAAAATTTTTAGTTTAAAAAAAAATAAAAAATTGGTGTCCACAGATAGAAAATTACAATTAACAAAACAGATGCAATATTCATATTTCCTTATTATAAAAAAAAATATTGTGCATGTTATTGGTATCTCATGAAATAATTAGTCCATTGTTTTCCATTTACAAGCGAGTGATAGCGAGAGATACGACAAGGTAAAAATCTATTAAAAATGAAAAAAAAAAACATTTTATAATAGCTTTAAGATTGTTATTTATTATGTACAATATGTATGGAAAAAATAAAATATTTATTTATTTCTTTATAATTATGTATCAATTAACCTATTATAATATTTTTTATTCAATTAAATATGTTGTAAACCACTGAGCTGATTATCATACAACATTTATAAATAGATTGCTAGTGTTACCTTTTAAAATAATAGGTAGCTACAATCTAATCGAACGACGAATGCAACGAAATAATAACCTATTACCTATTTACCCTTACTGAATGGTTGAATAAACTAGCGACTCTTACTTAGACGTTCCTAGGTGCATAATAGCCTATGTTACTTGCTCATATACTATCATATACTCATATACGAAATTTCATTCAAATATATCCAGCCATTTTAGCGTACAGGAGTAACAAACGCATACACATACATACATATAAACATTCCCATTTATAACATTAGCCCAATCATAAATCATAATCTATCAAATTTCAGGGCGAGCATGTCCAGATAACTCTGTCGGCGCGCCTCCGCAAGGAGCAGTACATGGCGTTCGGGCTGTCCGGCGCCGACGGCAAGCCCGCCATGCTCGGCGCCGACGTCGCCGTCGCTTACTGGGACACCAAGTAAACACAGTAGAATAGAAATACATATATTAAAACACACATTCTTACACATACATGAAAAATATTATTTAACTAGCATTGCCCGCGGCTACGCCCGCGTTCAGATGACCAAAAACCAAATTCATTTTGTATTTTTTCTCAGAAATGAGATATTTTCCCGCGATTAAAAGTATCCTATATGTTGACCTGGATAACCAGCTATCATTATACCAAATTTCATCAAAATCTGTCCAGTGGTTTTCTCGTGATGCGGTAACAGACAGACAAAAATTCTAAAAACTATAGATTCGGCCTCTGTACCGATAATAATGTCTATTTCTATTAGATTTTCCAAAAAATATTTAATGTACAGATTCGACTTAGTTACAATTTTATTATCTTATATTATTATATACTATTCTTTATTGCACTTAAAAATCAATACAGTAATTTAAATACAAGTTTTTTGCAAACCAGCTAACCTATAATTTATTTTAATACTTCCTTACTTCATCCTACATGTTTTATCCTGTTATGACATAATATGGCTCCAACAATATAATACTATGTTCCTTTGGTATCTTGTTCCCTGCTGCTTTTTATTAGTTCGATTTTTACGCAGTCGGCTTTTTTAATGTATATATTTTTTCATTGCCATATATTTTGTTGCCTTCTTTATTTAAAATCGATAAAACTACTACTACTAACTAAAAGACCAACATGTTTATATCGAAATAAAAAAACATTTGTATTATAAAGAGCATTTAAAAAGTATTTCCAATAATCATTGTTTTTATATTATATGTTACACAGTCTGAGAAGGATATAGGATAGTTTTTGTCCCAGAAATCATCCCTTAAGAGGATCAAAAGGGGGGTAGAATTTTGTATGGCAATCAATCATTTGTCAAGTAAGGGGTGTAAAACTCATCATACCTATGTTTATTGTATATATAGTTTTTCTATTATTATTATACTAAACGTCATATTTTTACGGCACGTTTGGCTTAGCTTATATTTATAATATGTATGTATTTAGTTATATACGTGTAGTGTTGGATACTGCCGTCATAAGAAAGAAGGCCGGAACTAACAATTTGGTCAAAAATGATTAAAATGCAGATTCGGAATCAGCAAAAAATATGTTGCGTGATAGTCTTACTCATAAAGTTCTAAGTCTTATGAATCCGGAGATACCATAACCGTAACCATTTCAATCGTAACTAAAACTAAAATTAGTAGTAATTTTGATGTAGTACTAAGACAAAACTTAAAATATCTGGAAATCAACTTTGACGAAGTTACGGCCTTCTTTCTTAAACGGCAGCATAACAGAAGCCTCGTAGCTTACCATGGAACTAGACGATGCTGTGTGGTAATTTCCGAACATATTGATATGGCGTGTTGTGTGTGGTGCGCTCCAGGAGCAACCAGCCGCGCGTGGCGGACTACAGCATCTCGCACCTGGCGCAGTGCGACGGCGCGCGCGGCGTGTGCCCCGACGCGCGCGTCGGCGGCGCGGACGACGTCGTGCTCGGTCAGTTACTCTACTATACTCTTATATAACATTTTATCTCCTTTTATAATTGTATAATAATGACACTACGATCGCTGAAGTTATAATGTAGCGAGTGTACTTTCAAAGTCCGATGGGACGATATTTCAACATAAGTGCTGAAAGTTAAGGCGCAGGGCCGACGGTATTATGTGATCTTCGAGTATTATAATAACTCAGTAATTAAACTTGACCCGACCCGACTCGAACATCAGAACTCGAATCTGCAGCCGTACACATTAGTTATTAGCCTAAGGCTATTATAAATATTTATTATGTTTAATTTTGAGTGTAACTATAACGGGATTGCCGTATCCCAGTGTCCGGGCAACAGAAGGACGGCATCACAACAATCACGTACCGGCGGCCGCTGGCCGCGACGGACGCGGACAAGGACAAGGTGGTGCTGTCGACGCGCGCGCAGTCCGTCATCGCCGCCTTCGGGCCGCTCAACTCCCGCCTGGAGGCCAACGCGCACTCCTTCATGGACACCACCAGGACTGATGTTCAGATAGACTTTGGAGCTCAGGTTGGTACTTGCATTTTATTATATACATACTAGCGACTCACCCTCGCTTCGCTCAGGTTCGCCTCTAGGAAATCAAAAGCAAATCTATCTCACGGAAACCGTACATTTTTCCGGGATAAAAAGCTTATGTGTTATTTCAAACTACAATTGACTTCTATGCCAAATTTTATCCAGAACCGTTCAGCTATTCTGGCGTGAAAGAGTAGCAAATATCCGTACTCATCAATTTTCATATTTACGTTAATTTCTAACTGAAATTACGGCTACGCCCGCGTCAAATCTACAAAAAAACTTATTGGCTTTATGGTATACAGCGACTCACCCTCACTCGGGTTTTCGCTATGTATTTATTTTTAATATGTATATTGTTCATACAGAAATACTAAAATTGCGATTAGAAAATGATAGTCGGGGAGAGGAGGGTGAAAAATACTTTACGACCTATTCTCATACCTACCGAACACAAAAAAAACATTAAAATCGGTCGAGTCGTTTCGAAGGGGTGCGACAACAATTATTTATTTATTGTTATTTTTAGTAGTATATTATTTAAGATATAAAGTATAAACCCTCGTCGCCAGAACGACAACACGTGCGTGGGGCTGGCGGATGTGACCGCGGACGCGCCGGCGCCGTGGCCGCGCCGCGCGCTGGCGGGCGTCAGCAACTTCACCGCGCGCATCGGGCCCGCCGCCGGCCGCCGCGGGTACACGCCCATCACCGGTGCGTGCGCACACTACACACCTTACATCGCTTTAGAGCTCAGTTAATACATACAGCGACTCTCTTCGATGGTTGATTGATTCCCCATACGAACTTATAACCCCATCTTCACACCCTTCAGGGACCTCGTGTAGCCACCTCGTCGTAGTGCTAATTTGTTTAAATGATAGATTCATACAAAGAGTTTAATACACAATTATAGACTTTTAAATGTCAATTCTATTGATATTAAATACACATTTCACTTTAATAAAGTCGAAAAATGCTATTTATCTATATACTCGTATAGAAATATGTATATAATTTTTATGTTAATCAACTTACTTCCTTTACACGCAGACAATGATATTAATAATGGATTCCTGCCATACGGTAAATGATTTAAAATAAATATTTTTAATTTATATTATTAATTTCTTAAAACAGTTTAGTAGTTTTTAATTAATAGCAGTTTTATGTTATGGTAACATTTCTGTTAAAGCATGGACTTTACACGTATAGAATAAGTCAGGAAATAGATTAAAATTAGCTTAGAGGTTTAAAGACATTAAAAAATGTTCAATATAAATAACAATGAATGTTCGTCTGTGCAGGACACCCGTCGTGGGGCATCGCGTGGTACATCAACGACCTGCTCATCCCCGAGATCTACGTGGAGCGCGGCCGCACCTACACCTTCCTCGTCGAGGGCGGCGACGACCGCACCAACCCTGCCAAGTCTCTTTTTACTTATAATATCTCACACTACACTATTATTTTATTAAAAAAACCAATTCCATTCAGTTAAATTTAATTCTATTCCCTTGTTAATGGCTTCAAAGAGTGGAAATTGACAAGCAGAATGGAGAAGACAAAGTTACAAGAAAACTGAATTGAAGCTTATTTAAAAAAAGTAATTTTAAATTCATCTTCCAAACAAAATAACGAAATTGGACATTATATGCTTATTAATCATTAATTCCTAGATACATAATACTCAATTTTGAACGAACCCTAAAACACAACAATATACTATGTATGTACACCAGGTTCCACCCGTTCTACATAAGTGACTCATCGGAAGGAGGCTTCGGGCAGAAGAAGCCGGAAGACCAGAGGAAGCAGCGAGTGTTCGCGGGCGTCGCCTACGATAACGAGGGCTATCCCTACCCCACTGCAGGTGGGTGTGGGGCTCACTCACATAAACATGGCTCTAACAAACTTTTATTAGTTTTGTTTGTCATTGTGTTTTTTGAAAGCCTAAAAATGGCTTAGCTGTCTTCTTAGAAATTTCCTGGAATTAATAGTTTCTTCCGTGTCTGTAAAGCAATCAACAAAATAAATCTGCGAAAAATTAAAAAAGGTTTTATTTAAGTGCTAATGTTACTTCTGTACATAAAACTGATGATTCAAATGTACTCCCAAAATCTATTTGAACATATTAAATGTTGACTTAAATAGTTTTAGTAAACAGTTTTCCAAAGACACAATCGTCCTTAACCTTATGCGCTTTGCCGTAATTCCATTGTACTCTCGGTACGAGAACGGGCCTGGTCCCAGCAGTCGGACTTTCAAAAAGGCTGATTTATTACTAATTCTTACAAGTGATGAATTTGCATCTTGATCCTGATGAATGGATCATCTGATTAAACTAAACTTAATACTTTCTTAGATTCACGCAAAAAATTGACATTTTAAACAATGTATCTTTTCGATTTTATTTTGCGGATTTATTTGAATTCTTGGCTTATGACGTTTTGAATGCTTCACACCAATCATGATCACGAGAGAGACTCACTATGATTATTGGTAAGCATTCAAAACGTCGGCAACCAAAAATCAAAGTAAATCTATGAAAATATTCAAAAGCTACTTTTATTCAAAATGGACCATCCCGCTTCGGTCCACAGTGGGCCGCTACTGCGAGTGGACGCACAAGACGGTGGACCAGGCGGAGAAGGCGGAGAGCTTCGAGGAGTACATGCAGAGCCTACAGCTGGAGTGCGGCGCCGGCGAGGCGGCGCGCCTGGCGTGGACCGTGGCCCACGAGACGCCCGACCTGCTCTACTACCAGGTGGGGGCGCTCTTTCCAGTATCAGATACACTATACATGTTTTGTCTGTGCCTTTTTTACGGTTCCGTACCTCCAAGGGTAAAAGAACCCTTATAAGATCACTTCTTTGTATTTGTCAGTCTGCCAAGACCTTTTTTCTCAGGAACGCGTGGAAGTATCAAGTTAAAATATCAAATACTGATTTCTACTATCCTTAACATCTGTGAATAAACTTCTAAGTAAATGCAATCAAAACATACGGTTGTTTATGTCGCATATTCTGATGCTCGCTAGGAAACTCGCAAGAGAATCAAAATCTATAGAGTGCTTTCCGTGAACTTAGAATAATGAAATTTAGCAAGAAGCAGAGTCTCATAGCACAAGTAAAAAGAAAAATCCAAAAGCCATAATTCATAGTTAAATACCAAAAATAACATATTTTAATGTTTATCATATATCTTGTTCATACTATGGAACCCTCGAAGTGCGAATCAGACTCGCATTTGTACGATTTTTATTTATTTAATGTGGGTTTTCTTTATTTTTATTATGTAAGCAGTTACGATCTTGCATTTTTGGTAGGATAAGGCTTATTTGCTATAGTAGTGTTAGACTTGTAGCCTGTAGGGCTTGTTTGTTATACTCGTAGTGATGTTACCACCTATTGTGGTTACTGCGAATGGACCTACAATCCAGTGGACCGAATGAATGAGAAGTTAATATTTAAAAATTCTAACATGTTTTAGATACTATTAAAATTGACCCCTGAATAGGTAGTTTCAGTTGCCATTCTTATTTTACAATCGTTTCAGAATTAAAAAAAATTACTTCAATAATCGAAAACCATAAAAACAATTTTCATATATACATAGATTATTACTTTTAAAATCATATAAAAGCCCTAATTAATAATTAAAATGACCAAATTAATATCCAGTGCTACACACACAACAACCTGGGCTGGAAGATACACGTGGTGGATCCCGGGACACCGATCCCGATCCCGGGGGATAAGAGCGCCATCACCAACTCCGCCGCCCGAATCCCACCCTTCCTCCTCACATGGCTGCTCCTGGGGACGCTCCTCAGGTAAGGAATTGGAACAACAGCGGGCTCTGACACCGACGGGATGAACAAATTTTAAATCATTTATTATATATATATATATATTGAAAAATGTTTACAAAATTCAGTTACGATTTTTACATTTATACACTATATATATTGAGTTTGTATGGAAATTGTATGTAGAGGGTATAAAGGGAACGGCGACAATAAAATGTTTGATATAATAGTTATTTTAGACTGTCATATACATTTATAGAAATAAGAATTTAGATAATGGGTTTTCTGACAATAATCTTGTATAGGTGACATAAATTTTGAACTAAGATGGCGGTTGTTTTTTGTAGTTAAATAAAAGACTTGAGCTAATGCAAAATGGCGGTGATTTCTCATAATTGCACATAATAATATCATATTCTAATATCACCTTATATATAGAGAGTGGACTGAGTGTTTCTTCGCCAGCCGTCAGTTAAGAATAGCGGAAAAGGGAGACAGAGACAAAACAAATATACGGCAACGGAAACGGCTTTAGGGTTGACGATATCGTTGTAACTTGATGAAATGGTATTACAGCGTTTTAACTTCAAAACCGTTCACCATCAAAGTTGATATTTTTCTTAATCAATTTATAGAATCATTAAATAATCTATAACCGCCATCTTGGTTCGGGTTATATGAAACGTACTTATTTATTAGTTTTGGAATGTAGTTGTGATATGTGTGACGTGCGTTGGCTGCTCACAAACAAACAGCGGGGCTCGCTCGTGTGTACTTACTACTTACTGTGCGGGAGAAACTTAATGATGTCAATCTATATTATATCAATTTCATATCAGTCATTTACTGCGCAAGCACAATCTTTATACATTAGTATTTGGATACTTAAATAGTATAAAACTTAATTAGATATTTTTCATTAAAATTTCTTATGAAATTAAACAATACATATATCCTTCTCTCTCTAACATAATAGGAAATGAGGGAGATAGCGTACTCAAAAATGAGTAAGTTTAGGAATTAACTCCGATTTGGCTTCAAGAATTTAATCATCAATTTTAGCTAACATGGAAACATTGACAATAAAAATATAATAAATATAAATATTTTTAGAATAACGTCCTTGTCGTGTGCTTGACAATAACGTATTAAATAAGATTAATAATATGTACGTATAATGTTTTATATATATATATATATATATATATATATATATATATATATATATATATATTACTGTATTTTGGTAGTTTAATTAAATAATTTGATAAGTTTTAGTAAAGTTTTAGTAAAGCGTTGACTACATCCGCGATGCCGGATTGACAATAATGACAATAATGGTTTTAATATGTACAACAATAAAATTATTTGTATTATATATTTAATATATTATTATACATATTTATATAAGAAAATTTCTATATAATATAGTATGTTGAAAATACATATAATAAAATCATTCGCTCGATTACGAGCGTTAAAAATTTAAAAGTTTTCACTTTTCCAATATGTACAATAATTTTCAAAGAAATTTTCTGCATAATAATGAAAATTTCGAACTAAAATTTACTGTCTTTTCACTAAAACCAATTAAAATAATAATAATAATAAAATTGGATTTGAAAAAAATAAATAATTCAACAAAGGTTACTCCATAACATTACGGAGTAACTATTTATAGTATAATTAATTTAAAATATCCACAATATATTGTAATCTGTGCTTTTTATGCAAGACAATATTTTTTTAAATTAATACCTATTTATATATACATGGTGTTGTTTTAGACTTTACCTTAAATGTAAGCTTCGAAGGATGTGAAATATAAAACTTGACAATAAACAAAGTCTATTCTAATCTAAAACTATTAATATATAATACTTTTTACTTATACGTAGTTTTATTATAAAGTAAAATGTAATTTTCGAGTGGAATCTTATCTTTGACTAGGCTGAATAGCTTAATAATAAGGGCTTAGGCATTATAATATAGTGTTTTTAAAATATTTCTATGTCATACTATGTACTATCATTATTTTTTCATCTTCTGCTTCATTTTTTAATATAAAATTATTCAAATTTAATTGTTCTATATTGTTTATCTACATCTTCACTATATTACTTGAATCATCTATTTATTACTAATAAATTGTTTATAATTTTATTTCATGTTATTTCATACAGAAAATTGATTGTTTTTGTTGTTTTTGTCAAAGATTTTAAATCTTTGATGTTTGTCAACTGTTGTAAATAATATTCTTCAGTGTTACCATATTTGTGCTACAAAATACTACTAAAATAGTAAATCCAGAACATATTCGGACTACTTCACATGTTAATTAAATTTATAGTAAAACATGAACTTGAAATATGAATAACAAATAACAATAAAAAATCGCTCATGTTCATTATATTAAATAAATTGTTACTGCTAAGATCTTTGGTGTTAATTATGACAATAAATGTTATTAATTGAATTATCTAAATTAAAATGCAATTTATTCCAAAATTTATATTTAGAAAATAAAAATATCAAAAATTTACCCGGTATATTATATTATAGACATTTAGATGAATACAAATATTAGAACATAATTCGCATAATTTTACACGGTAGTTGTAGATGTTTTTGCACAAATCCTGTTTTTAAGATCTTTATTAGAAGTTATAAATTATAAAAGTTTAGAGAAATAAAACAAGTTGTTACTATGAAAGTCGGAAAAATCTACATATACTTACTCAATCTGAAATTATAGTATTTGGAATAAAGAACTGCTGCCTAACCACTACATGAATAAAAAATAATTATTATATAATTTACAGATATATGTAAAAGTAGGCCGTTATTTAAAAATATATGATCTGTTATAGAAGGAAATTAAATTTTAAATAGTTTTACCGTCATAAAGAACATGGCTTATGCTTTAGCTATATTTTTGCGATTGAATTGATATTTTTAAAAATTTTAAAATTAGACGAGAGACGCTATTTTATTGTAAACGCATATAATAATATTGTTATTATTATAATTTCGGAATTAATTAATAAAATGCTGATATTATTTTACAAAAAGTATAGATAATATAGATATTACACAATTATTTTATGTTGAATATATTAAGGGAACATTAATTATTTATTTTACATTTGTTTTATTTTAATATTGTAATTTCCTTATATGAAACAGGCAACCTAAATCCTTTAAGAATGTTAAATGTTCACATTTTATTATTTGCAAATATGATATTTAATACGTCCATTTCATGATCGAAATATATATTTGGTAAGTATAATTCATGTATTAAAACCTATAAATTAAAAGAATATACATCTCAATTCGATCCTATCATTATAGTTTAATAGTCAATTTAAAACATTTTTTTTTTAAATTAATTTTTAAACTTGAACGACTATTTCATTGGAATGATTGTTTTATGTTTGATATGACAGAAAATAAAATATAACACAAAATATACAATCTGAATGAACACTAATACAAGAATGCATGGTCTCATTGGGATTGCTCATAATGTAAATAACTTTATTTCATTTCTCAGTTTTCTCAGCTATTTTAGTGAAACTAGTATCTGTAGTTATGTTTTTTTATGTAACCACATGTATTGTACTGTTGTATTTAATATTAATCAAATGTTTTTTTTATAAATTCGTAAACCGTATGTATGTATATACTTGTAATTTCTAAGTCAAATTCCATTTTGTAAAAATATCATTATCTACGGTTTTTAACAATAAATTGCTGTTACTTTATGTATTTATTGAATTTGACAATAAATACCTTCCTAAAGTATCGTAGTGTTTTATTCTTTGTTTTCCAACATGGTCCTTTTATATTGTACCTATTTTATATTTAATCTTATGCAATAAAAATATAATTTAATTCAAATCAAATATACTACATTAAAGGTAAAAAATAGTAGATATGTATGTAGCACTGTATTTTTTCTAAATAATATTAACACACGATATTATTGTCATTACAAAAAATCTAATTTAAATATATTTACATTGTTACAAAATTATTAAAAATGAGATCACTTAAAACGAAATAAAAGGAATTGTAGCCTACGTACCTACCTACCTCAAAATCATTTATCGTCCCACCGGACGAGGCGGGCATCGAGGAATATTTCTTCAATGTGGATGTAAGCTAGCATATTTCATGTCTTTCAAAAACTAGTTAGGCTCTCGCAGACGTGCAGGTTTCTTCATGATGTTTTATCGTCACAGTGAGTATCTCGGCTGCCGGCAACAGATAAATATGTTGAAAGTTTCATAAGCAACACTTCTTCTTTAAACAGCTTACGCTTAAATTTGTGCGTTTTCTTAATGAATGTTCAAAATTTTATAAGACAGATAAAAATAGTTTAAAAATCTCTAGTCCATACTACCAGTCTTTATAATCAAAATTGTACCAAAAAGAGCCTCAATGAATAGAATTTTTCGGCTGAATTTCCATTCGTTTTTTCATAGCAATTTCTGTAGTATGAAATTCTTATTGTCTTTTGTAGACAAACATGGAATGGAAGTTCCCTGCTATCTTATTTTTTACAAATTATAATTATTTTACTATCTTAATTTATTGCCTATAAACTTGAGTTATTTCATAATACGACGACGAACTTTTAAAAACGGCTTTATTAAAATCTACAGTAATGAATTTAGTTAAAGAGTGTGTTAGTTTGTTTGTTTGAACATGCTAATATTTGATCCAATTTAAAATAACAGTGACTTAAATATTCCACTATCGCAAGGCTGGGCGTGACGAAGTTACTAATTTTTGTCACCATTTAAATAAAAAATAGTCTTGTAATTTAAATCACGAGTGTCGTATACTATTTTATAACTCGCATGACATATACCCATTCTTATACCAATGATCTGACTTTGAATGAAATAATCGCGTTGCATTTTAATCAGCTTATACCTATTTCGATCCTTAAATAATAATATAATCATCAGTAAATCGAACAGACAAATATTAATATAATATACTATTTTACACTATATGTAACCAATTGCCATACTTTTTTGAAAATTCTTAAATTCATGGTATTATTTAGTAGAATTAAAAATATTATCCTGTAGAGCTGGTATTACTACATTGACATTTATGTTTTTAACTTTTTATTTTTTCAAGGTGTAAAAGTAACGACAAATAGCGTACCCGTATGCATTCGTTACTATAGCATCAGTACTCGTTACTTTTGAATCGTTACTCGTTACTTTTGATACCCGATAACATACTCGTAGAGCATTGTATCGAGTCGTGTTGCGTATGTATTGCGTACGGTATAAATTATACGTTATACCGTATAACGTTGACGTCGCGTTGTTTTCTGTGGAATAATGCACGATCAACAAACCATTTCAATTGGAGAGTTACATGATATCCAGAACCCGTAAATTTTGATTATTTATAAATCTATATAATTTTTAAAAACTTTACTAACAATATTTTTTTATTAATAATTTTTGAAATTAAATAATAAATATAAAAATAGGTAATTTAAAAATGAATAAGTAACGGCATCTATCACGTTAGTGTGACGTCGTAATGCATATTTTATTTAAAATCAATTGCGCGAATGATTTATCAAATCATAATCTGTATGTATTACACATAATCACATGATCATGTCTCACGTAGGATAAATAGATAATTATTGTATTACAATATTGTACACAATTATTATTTTAAAAGAGCCGTTGTTGAGTTTCTCGCCGGTTCTTCTCAGCAGAAAACTTTATTCCGAGCCGGCGGTAGTTCCTAACGGACTAACATTTAATTTTAATTTAAAATGTAAAACTGACGATTCAAAAGAGCTTGTAAAAGTTTATTTGAATAAAGTATATTTTGATTTCATTTGACATAATCATTTAGTAAAAATTATAAGTATTTGTTGGATAAAAAACTAAAAATGTGTTTTAAATATAATGGTTGTTTCTAATTGAAAATTGTTTCTAAACAAAATTTCTAAGATCTGGAAATCATGCAACTCGAAATAAATAAATAAACTCTCTTATTTACTCATCAATGGTATTAAGTATTAACTGAAAGTTGTATTTTGCTGAATAAAAAATCAATAAAAACGTTAGTACGAAAATATGTACGGAAAATGCGAGAAACGAAATGCATTCTTGAGTAACGTTTCGGTACTCGGTACTAGATGGCGTACCCGTTACTCAGTAACGAATACATACGGTTTGCTACAGCTCTATTATTTTTTAATCTATCAATTGTTGACTCACGCTTGTTCACCTGTTTCTTCATTGTTATTTCTCAATTGTTTTTATTTTATTTTCTGGGATGGAAATTACAGATTATTATAAGAAGAGTAATAGATCTTTTATACTTCTTTAGATCCGGAATATATTCTATTTTACAATTGAGTGCCTTAAAATATACATTTTTCATAGTGATTAAATATAAACATAGTGATTTAAAACATTTGTTTTTATTTCAATTATCGCGTTATTTAAGACGTTAGAATGGCTGAAAAGGTAAGAAATATTTAATACTCGACTAAAATCAATATAAACTTCTTTATTACAATATGCAAACTTTATAAGTAGCGACGTTTTTTGTATCGAGAATAAAAAAAAATGTTACAACACCTGTCGTTGTCATGTGGGGTTTCTTTTTGGCATGTAACATGAGTGGATAAAAATTATAGTATTATTTAATGAAATAATAATAAACATGGTAATATGCAACATAATGTTTTAAAACAATAAAGAGATAATTCAGTCAATGTTAGATCTAAAAAACACGTTTCTTATAGAAAACTCAAGAAAATCCTGTCTTGGAGAGTTCACTGTCAGACCCAGCAAAGAAACCAGAGAAAGATGTGCCTAAGCCTGCTGTCAAAGTGACTCCACCGCCAACAGTGCCTATTCAAGTCCCTAGACTTTCCATTCCATCATTTACGAAGACTCCACCCAATGAGCTGTATAGAAAGCTGTTGCCAGCTATACTGTTCATTCTAACATTTGTGACAGTAATGACTATGTTGCTCATCTATATGGATACTTTTGGTATGTATATTTTAAGTTGCTTATTATAGTTAAAGTTTTAATGTTAAGGTTTTGCTTTATATATTATCATTGATTATAATATGTCATGTATACTAATATTATAGATGTGAAGTTTTGTGAGCATGGATGTTTATTACTCTTTCATGCTAGAACGGCTGAATGGATCTGGATGAAATTTGGCACAGAGATAGATTATAGTCTGGAAGTTATTCCAGTTATTCCAGAGTGTTAACACAGGCTACTTTTTATCCCGGAATGTACACTTCCCGTGGGATTGATTTGTGTTTCTTATCTAGAGGTGAACCCGAGTGAAGCGAGGGTGAGCCACTAGTAATAATAAATAATCTTCTCCCTGCCCATTTCCCAATGGCCCCCTGCCTGACGTCAACCGTCCTTGGGAATGCTATTGTCTCTCTTTGTCTGAATGGTGTTGCGGAAGTCTTGTAATTATTATGCACTTTTAATTTTGTTGTCTTTTAAAATATTTATTGTACTATTACATAAATTTTTAATGTTATTTTTGGATATATTTTAAAATAAATTTTGATTACACCATAAATTTTGTTTTCACGCTGTCAATTTTTTTTGAAAAAAGTAATAATAAATAAATAAATAATAATATAAGTGGTAACAAATGAAAATGATAAAATATAAATAGTATGAACAGACACAAAATAACTAACACACTTAAATTAAAAAAAGTTTAATTACTTAGAATTAAGTGATTTTTTTTAATCTTCTTTACTCCCACATCTCTTATGTCTCCCCATAAGGTATAAGCTAAAATATATATTATATTTTTTACCAATCATAGTGAATATTAACATAAATAACCATTCCTTAGCACTTGCTGCACAACAATTCAGACAGAATATGACACAGGATAAGGAACTAGCCCGCATATCAGCTGAGTCTCCAACTCTAGTGGCATACGTGAGGCAATTACATCTGGCGCCTCGTCCCCCTCGGACTCCACCAGCTCCCACTCCTACAGAGAGGGTTGCTGTATTAGATAAGATATTTGGAGAGACGGTAAGGCTGATTTTTTTTTCATGTATTCAAATTAATGCTGTGATAAAGTTAAAATATAATTTTAATGTTTCATCTTATGAAATTTTGTTTTTTGGGAAATGAAAAGTGATGATTCAAAAGCTATTGTCAAAGTGTATTTGAATAATGTATATTTTGATTTTTAATCAGTACACTGCTAGATGGAATTTTCTTGTTAATTAATTGTAAATCTGAAATTGTTGTTTCTGTCACATGAGACTTATGTGTAAATATTGTGTTTTTTTTAATGTGTTAATTAAGTCAAAGTTGGTGTGAATTTGACTATAAAGACAACGAACTATAAGGACAGTTCCTTAATGACACAATAATACAGGTTATGTTTTTCCAAAACATTGGGTTTATGTCACAGTTTGTGTCATTTGAATTTCGAGTGATAGAGATCTTGTCTCTGTTCCTTCTTGTATTTCTAGTATTCAGTGGTAACGTGCTCGCTTGGGAAACCGAGTGAAGCGGATTTAAATCCCGGGTCTCGCACCTCTGATATTTTGATGTGTGAATCATTTCTAACATGATTACCACTTGACTTACGGTGAAGGAAAACATCGTGAGAAAACCTGTGCATGTCTAAGGGAACCTAGTAAGTTTTCGAAAGACATGTGAAGTCCGCCCCGAACTTGGCCAGCGTGGTGGGCTATGGCCTGATTCCCCTCGTACTGAAGGGAGGCCCACCCCAGCAGTGGGCTGAATAAATACGTATATGTGTGCGTGCAGTACAACGGCACCTTGATCGAGGTGTTCCCTTGCGGCGGGCGCGACGCGACGGCGCAGTACCTGGAGGCGCGGCGCGGCTGGGCGGGCGTGGCGGTGCGCGCGGCGCCGCGCGACTTCCTGGCGCTGCGCGGCGCGGCGCGCGCGCTGCACGCCTGCCTCAGCGCCGGCCGCCACCCGCGCGTGGTCAGCTACGAGGAGGCGGAGGGCGGCGTCGTGTTCCGCTCGCGCGTGCTGTGCCTGCCGCTGCTCACCGTGCTGCTGGCCGCCGACGCCGCGCCGCCCGCGCTGCTGGCGCTGGCCGGGCCCGCCGCCGCGCCCGCGCTGCGCACGCTGCCCTACCGCGACCTGCCCATCAAGGTGACGGATCATCTCTCTCTATATAGCCTCGGTCATACATCGAAATGCTCCTTTCTTTCTCTAATTACTTTTTCAAATAAAACTTTAATACTTTCTTAGATTTACGCGAATGTTTGACATTATTAAATAAGACTATCTTTTCGGATTATTTCGCGGATTTATTTTGATTTTTGGTTCCCGACGTTTCGAATGCTTTACAGCATCCATGGTCACGGGAGAGACTGAGGTGTTACATGTCTTAAAGATATAGTTGTTACAGACAGCCTACCCACAATTAACAAAATGAAAATTGCACCAATTATATTACAATATTTTTTAACTTTAAACATTTTTATAATTTTAATTATAATTGAACATGTAAAATTATTTATTTAATTTTTGCTATTATTTTTATAATTATTACAATTTTAAAAATATTAATTAGTAATCTATATTTAGTGTTGCCATTATTATATTTATAACCATAAATAAAAATATAAAAAATATAGTATTAATTATTAAAGCCATATAATTGTTCTATGTGTAATTTAAAAAAGTTAAAATTAATTAAGGATAATTATTTTAATTTAGTTTGCTATTATTTAAAAACAACTTACTAAGCAACACTATTAATATATACTTTTACAAATGAGAAATATATTACTCTGATAAGCTGTCATTTTGATCTACACAGTATGAACTTACTACATCTGCCTGTCTGTTATGTTTATATTTATTATTTGATTTTATTATATTAATAACAGGATCCCATGACGATGGTAGTACCCAGCCATCTTCCCTATTGAAATTTGGATGTTTTTTAATTTCTATAGCTTCTCGAATCATTCTAGGGCGATATCGGTTTTCTTTCGCCAGGATTTGAGGTCTATCGAAACGAATATAATGGCTTGGGCGGTCCTGGCTATGTTTGTAGACAGCAGATGTTGTATTGCGACGGTGCTTCACATCAGCTATGTGTTCTTTGACCCGGGTTCTAATGGATCGCTTTGTTTGTCCAATGTAAGAGAGCCCACAATCACAATCAAGCTTGTAAACTCCTGCATCTTGTAGAGGGATGTGGCACTTGACAGGTGGTAAGAACTGACTAATTTTCTTTGGCGGCTTGAAGTAAGTTTTAATTGAAGCTCGCTTTAGAATGTAGCCAATCTTGTCAGTGACTCCTTTCATGTATGGCAAGACTGCAGGGACGCGCTCGACTGTGGCTGGTTTCACTCGGTCACTGTGACGCAGGCGCGGCACTTGCAGCTTGTTGTCACGCAGAACTTGCTTGACATGTTGCAGTTCTCCGGCCAGGTGTTGCTCGTCACAGATCCCGCGCGCTCTCTGAAACAGAGATTTTCCCACGGTAGCTAACTGTGAAGGATGGTGGTGAGATTCACCGTTCAGGTACCTATCAGTATGGGTCTTCTTTCTATACACAGTATGACTCAAGGTGTTATCTGGGTTACGTTTAACTAATACATCTAGGAAAGCTAAGGTTTTGTCCGATTCTAATTCCATTGTAAATTGTATAAATATATAATTGTATATATAAATATACAATAAATATACAATTTACAATGGAATTAGAATCGGACAAAACCTTAGCTTTCCTAGATGTATTAGTTAAACGTAACCCAGATAACACCTTGAGTCATACTGTGTATAGAAAGAAGACCCATACTGATAGGTACCTGAACGGTGAATCTCACCACCATCCTTCACAGTTAGCTACCGTGGGAAAATCTCTGTTTCAGAGAGCGCGCGGGATCTGTGACGAGCAACACCTGGCCGGAGAACTGCAACATGTCAAGCAAGTTCTGCGTGACAACAAGCTGCAAGTGCCGCGCCTGCGTCACAGTGACCGAGTGAAACCAGCCACAGCCAATATGTATAAAAATAATAGCAAAAATTAAATAAATAATTTTCCATGTTCAATTATAATTAAAATTATAAAAATGTTTAAAGTTAAAAAATATTGTAATATAATTGGTGCAATTTTCATTTGTTAATTGTGGGTAGGCTGTCTGTAACAACTATATCTTTAAGACATGTAACACCTCAGTCTCTCCCGTGACCATGGATGCTGTAAAGCATTCGAAACGTCGGGAACCAAAAATCAAAATAAATCCGCGAAATAATCCGAAAAGATAGTCTTATTTAATAAATAAAACTTTTTTATGCGTGACTGAGGGGTGAGCCAATACATTGGAAAATGAGTGTCACGGAAGTAAAACAATTTATTCTTAATAATTAAAAAAATATATATATTTATAATATCGATTATATATAAAGTATATGTAGGATCAGAGAATGCAAATTAAGAACACTTGATAGATCAGCGACTACTTATTATATTGAAACTTACAGATAACAAAGTTCAATCAAATCGTCGTGCCGCTGTTATGACAAAACATCCTTCTTTTCGTTTATTCATCTTTCATCTCATTCCCTTCCTAAAATTGTATCATACGTTTCTAATCTAATTTTATTATTATTACTTATAAAAATGAATATTTATTACTGTGGGATAAATGTGCATAAATTAAATAAAAGCTATTATGACTAATTGTTGCCATGGTAACCGTTTTTATTGTGACAAAATATGATATATATATATATAATATTATATTCTTTCCGTATATAATATTCTATAAATATATGATTGTAATATACCTAATATGAATTATTTAATTATTGATTTGTTTCAATTTAACTGCGATATTTACCAAAGGAGCTTTACTTCAACCGCACATAAATGTTACATGCATTTACATACATTTTTAAATATTACCTCAATGTAATTTAAATTTATCATTAATTCTATAAGTTATCTTAAATAATACTGCCTTTTCATTGATATATCAGTGAACAAAGTAATTTTTGTTTATCATTATATTTGTCTGGCATAGTAAAATGAATTCCTTATGTGAAAGTAATAATATATTCAAATAATTAAAATCATTTTAATGTACTCACAGGTGATAGACTTCAGATCATCAGACCCAGTGGCCCTCAACAAGACGACCGAACTGCTGGAAGCCAACAACTACAGAGTTGCCGCCACCTTTGATGATGGCATCATGTACGCACTCAACACACAATAACTACTGTGAGTTCTCTATCAAAGCATTATTAATTGCCATTTAATTCTTAAAATTAAGTATAACATCATAATAAATATATTAATCTGTCAGTTTTGTTCATTTGAATTTGTCTCATAATGTTTTTTTATATGTACCAAGTTGGCCGAACACTTAATTTTTATTTACAAATAATATGTTGATTTTCTTTATTGAAATACATTTTTTTCCCACAGTAATACATGATTGTGATAGTTTATTTTCCTCATATTTAGTTTATAGATGTTATAACATATTTTTTTAGGTTATTTTTTTTTAATTACATGGCTATTAATAATGCTTTAAGTGATTAAAATATTTTTTTTAATTTTTTAAACAATCCATCCAGTGGCTTGCAGCTAACAGTTTTTAATCTTTAATCTCGATATATTGTGTAATTATTTAAAAAAATATATGAATTTTAAAATGAAATAATTTTGAATCATGAAATTTTTATATTCAATTAGATTTTATTATTTACATGTGTTTATTGAATAATTAAATTGGCCTTCACTTTGGTTGATTTTGGCAGCTGTTTTATGGTTTTAAAATAATTGGTACAGACTAGTTTGTATTTATAATAATGATTTTCTTTAGAATTGTATCAAATTAGAAAATATCACTTGGGTAGTTGACACCAAATACCATTAACATATATAATAACTGAATCTCCCATACATTTTGTATAATAATAACAACATTTTATACATAATAACAAACTGTTACTTACACGTTAAAATCTAATATACTTTGAATAATATTATTTTACCGACTAATCTTCCTCCTGTCTTCTCCACTCCACATGACATTGGCAAAATAATCTGTGAACAACTGGCAAGAGAATTGAATTGAACCAACTGTGATGTTACTATCATTGATCATTGTAATTGATCATTGATCTCAAAGACAAAAAGTCAAATTTTAGAGTTAATTGAAAATTCTTTAGCTTTTCAAGGCTAAAGTAAAGTTTTTTTTAGAGAAGTTGTGTTTTGGAATTATTAATATGGTTTTCTGGTGTCAACTAGTCAATTCTTCTTAGTGTTAAGTCCACTCACTGCGCACAACCACTTGCAGTTCGTCTTCTGTATTTCCACTATATAATCTCACTTTTTCGATCTGATTCACTTTAAATAAGCTTTAATAATTATAACATACAGAAAAAATATAAAATGATACTTTTATTATTTTTAATATATATTGTTTTTCATATTTTTTTTTGCTACATTTTGTCTATATTTAATGTCCTTGAAGCAAGATTTTGATATCACCTGTTTGCTTCTCAACACTGTTCCCACGTTGTTTTTGATAATTCTTGAAAATATATTACAAAGTATTAATATTCATGGTTTCTATGATCAAACGCCTTAAAAATAAACAATAAAAAAAACAAGTCTACTATTCTTTTTTTTTAATTTCATAGTAGATAGATAGGTAGAAAATAATTAAAAATAAATTATAGCTTTTGAATAATAATTGTGTAAGTTTTAAAAGTTTAGATCAAAATAAGCAATGTTCAAGGATTATTTTGTCATATTATAAGCAGTATAATGTAAATTATATCACAGCGGAAGCCAAGTGCAGTAATAACTATATATTTTTGTACACTTTGTCCGGGTGTTGTGCGGAATGTCAATTGAGGTGCGACCAAATAAAACGATGCTCCTTTGCCTGTAATGTGATTGCCTGAATAGTATTATTTTGATTAGACCGATTTTGATGTAATTTATATATTATGTATGTGTGTGCAGGATTTTAGTCATTTGCAAAGTTCTATTTTCGTATTCAATCTTTGTCGTTTTAATATTATATCCAGATTTCAATAATTGCAATAATAATACCAATAATTAATTTTTAAATTAAAATGTAATTTTTAAATTAAGATTTAGTTTCTAATTGTATTAAGTGTAATTTTAACGCCATTTTAGTTTAATCGCTACTTATGTTCGTGAAGATGGAGTCATTCCATTTTTTTAACGCTTTCGTTTAAAAAGACTGAATATCGATTATTTTTGATTGTATCGATATTGTAACTCGAACTATTCTCATGTTCAAAATTAGTTTTTTTAAGTGCTAATTTATTCGATTTTCTTTTAATTATAGTCTAATTCGAATGTAAACGATAATGACAATTTGTGTTAATAATAATTGGTAAGCTAAGTTCCATTAGATTTAATTTTATATGCGCTCAATTTTTCACAAATTAAAGGCTTTAATTATCATCTACATGTTTTACTTTATTTCTAAACCTTCCGTGTTTATTAACAATTTTAGAATATTTATAATACTAGCGCGCGCGCGCATGCGCCGCATGTATGTAGGTGTGGAGTCCGAATTTAAATAAGAAAGGTTTTTATAGTAAAATTAATTTAGAAAACATTTAATTGAAATCCATAAAAATAACTTAAACTTTAATATATTTTTCAAAGAGCCAGGAAATTGGGAAAAGCTCTAAAAATTTTACTTTTATTCAAAAAACTTGTATAGTTATGAGTTCAGGGCTCGGTGCGACATTGCCCAGGAGCAGCTCTTCTCTGATAGCAGAGTGGACCTTGGAGCAACCCCATGGTTTTGGTGGTCTACTTCGGCATACCTGCCGTCGGGGCGTCGTAGTTGAATGCGTAAGCGATCCTGCGACGCCCCATTAAGACGGGGGAAGGTTTTGTTGGGTTTTAGTGGGTAGTACTGGCTGTATTACGCCGGTAAGTCCCACACGTCGTGCGTAAATGCATTTCCCAACGTTAAAAAAAAGGGTTTCTACAGCAAATGGAATAAAAACATAATTTTGACTAAGGGAGGTGTATTTACGCAACTTAAGTAGTTCAGCCTTCTCCGCCGCAGCTTAGCTAGCGTTTAGCTTTTTTGAAGTCGGGTTTTTTTATTTTATGATTTTTTTTATTTACAGCTTTGTAGTTATTGATTTTCAATTTGATATTTGAAATTTTATTTAGTAACTAGCATTGCCCGCCGCTCCGCTCGCGTGCAGATGACCAAAAACCAAATTCTTAGGTTTTACATATTAACATACTCTTACATTGCATTTTTTATCTTTTTCTCGCGGTAAAAAGTATCCTATATGTTGACCCGGATAACCAGCTATCACCATACCAAATTTCATCAAAATCACTCGTGGTTTTTCTGTGAAGCGGTAACAGACGACGGACAGACAAAAATTCTAAAAACTATAGATTCGGCATCTGTATCGATAATAATGATTTCAATAAGATTTTCCAAAAAAATATTTAATGTACAGATTCGGCTTAGTTACAATTTTATTATATGTATGTATAAAAAACAAAAACACTAAAAGCGACTCGCTGAAATTGACGTTTCACCAGCGGCGATGTACCCCGGTCCCCGACACAGCCACACTCGATTTTGTGTTTATCAGAATTTCTTAAAACCAGTTTACTTTTTAATGTATTATTCATAATATTTAGTTAAACCTTTATTTTATATTTTTTCCATTGATTATGAAAACATACTTAGATGCTATTCTTTGTTTTTCTAAGATTTAGCATAATTTTACTTTCAAGTTATTTTTCAAACAATTTATTCAGACCATCATTTACCTATTCAAAAATAAATTGAGTTTACTTCCCTCAAAAATAAAGAGGATTATTTAAGGATATATGTAAATAAAAGAACAAGTAATATTATAATTACGTTTATTAATACACAATAGTCTGTCCGTACAGTTCCTGCGTCTTCCCGATTACGCTCCGATAACAATTTCAAAATCAATTCTACATTATATATAACAAGAAGGTACAGTTGAAGTCCATTCAAATACACGGACAGAGTGGGCGTCGAATTATAACGTCCGCAAGAAAAGTTACACCAAAAAAGGTAAAATGTTAAAAACATTTAAATAATAATATTTTCAATATTTCCGCCCGACACAAAGTCCGACGCCCGACGCCCGCGGTCCACGCGTTGTGCGAATAGCCTTGCGACTTAACACCGATATACATTTAACATAAAATATTAATAAATTTAATAAATCAACTAAAAATTACAATTATTGCTTTTAAATCTCTAATCGTTTGGAAGAACTAAAGTTTAGGGCGAGTGTACACTACACGATATGAAGGCGGGTGCAGATTTTCAATGCATACTCTTTCCATGTATAGACAAACTGTCTATAAAATGTTTTTATTATATGAAACGTGATATTTACCATGTTATTCACTTACTTTTATGATTTCTCACATACTAAAGTGTACATAAGTCAGTCTGGACTCGAATCCCGTTACATGCGCCTTCATTCAAGTTACAGTGGTAATAGACGTACAAAACGAATTACAAAGAGGGAAGATATGTATTTAAACTAATAAAAAAAAGCCATAAATCTTCAATACATCTGTGATTGTCTTACTAATAAAAGTGACCAATCTCAGGAGCTCAACAGATTTTTTTTCCCTATATAAAACATGGCAAATACCCCGTTTTACATAGATCACAAAAACATCCAGACCACGAAAGCTAAGACTTGTGTCTTTAAAATAATCATTCAAAAATGATTCACTTAATGATTTAAAAATATTTAAAAATCATATAAAAATCCACATCCGCGATACACTTAATGTTAATAGAATTCAATAACAAACACTACAACCAGAGCTGAAGTAACCTCTACTTTCAGCGAGTCGGTTAATATCTACACCATACTTACAATGTGATAAAAATAAATGTCTCGCCACTTCGACTCTTCAACATGCGTTATATATTAAAAATTTCACTAAAAAGAACTTTACAAAAAAAAGAAGTACTACACTAATATCTATTATAAGTAAAAATCAGCACGGATATAAAGAAAATACATAAATTTAATATTAATAAGTGAAAAACACGCACCCGAGTGAAGCACGGTCATATAATGAGAATGGTATTTGAACATTTCACCAAAGATTAAAAAAAAACTCACATCACCATTTCAATGGAATGATAAACAAACAACAAAACAAGTATAACTCTTAAATAAAACTATCTTTTCGGATTTTTTCGCGGAATTATTTAGATTTTTGGTTCCTGCGAAAATATATCCGCGAAAAAAAACCGAAAACATCATTTTATTCAAAATGTTAAATATTCGCGTAAATCTAAAAATATTAAGTATAATTTTGCAAAATAAATGCTTTAAATCGAAGAATGTAATGCAAATGAATATCACTATTGCAATTTTTGTTACATTTTTTGGTCCCAACCTCGATATTTGATACCCCATTCACATTATATGGACTACGATCATAAAATTAAATATACATAAGAAAATCATGCAATCGTTACAATACTACTACGATACTTAGTTATAAGATATATTTCATTTAAATATAAAGAAAAAAAACTTAATTTTAACTGGAAAATAGATTAGCTGCCTTTACACAACTATAAGTAAAAAAAACCGCAAAAACAACACACGCCTTTGACAAAAATGGCCAAAGACTTGTGCATGTTTAGGCAAATTATATTTGAAATGGTTTTATTACATAGAAATATTGTTTAAATTATGTTTATGAGTAATAACGCGTATATACATACATAATATATACATGTAGTTAAGTACTACCGTCGTCCATACATCGAGCCCCTCCCGCCGCACTCCTGTACCGTCCTATACAACAATTAGGGCGAGCGATTTGAAGGAACATTACTTTAAATAAGCTCTCAAAATAAACGGAGTCACTCCTGCTAAGGAACAATGTAAAGCTATGTCGAGTTTGTAGCAAAACTCTTTACACGGGTAAATAAATACAAAATATAAAAAAAATAGCCCAAATATATTGTTTTTTTTTTTTATTACTCTATCTAAATTCGTGTCTTCAAGGTGAGAACTCTCCGTGTGAATGCGCCTTCGATAGTATTGTAAAATTAATTGAAGTGACCGCAATCTGAGTTATTGTTGTTAATTAAGTATAATAATAATAAATAATACTATTATCGTATTATGAGATAATTGATGTTATATAAATTGATTATCTTAAAAGTAGCAAAAACACTTATTTTAAACCATATTTCCAATAACATTTAAAATTTCTTCATAATTCAAATATTATTAAAAATCCAAAAAAAATACGTAATGAAAATAACCTTTTATCTCTATTCCCAGTCAGTTTTACGTTACCACAGATAAATAAAAAATCGATTACATAACCGATGATATAATCGATTAATAATATTTTTAATCGCCCATCCCTATAACGAGTGTCAACATCAGATACAACACTTACATATACACCTAACTAGGTCGCCACTAGTCGCTACCGTGAAGCGAGTACAAAAATATTTCATTGTTAACCATTATGTCCACAAACGTTGGAGCTACAACCGATTTACTGAATCATTTAAAACAAAGTAAAACATTTATTGTATATTCAAACAAGATTCACACATTTAAATCAACGTTTTAGTTTAATTTTGAAAAAAAAAAACACTATTTCTAGTACTAATAGTGTAGGAGTTTCGATATAACAACCTCTTTTCAGTTTCCATATTTCCTATACAAACCTTTAGTCATATGTATGTATGTATGTATGTATGTATGTTTCATACAAATGTGTGAATCCTGCATTATAATATTTATTATTAGGTATAATATAATTTTATATACGTTTACATTTTATTTATAAATAACAATCGGTTTGACCATTACTTAGTGCTTACGTTAGTGATACAATTGGAATAGAAAATAATAATATGGCTGAATACCAAATTTATGACTTTTTTTAAAATAAAAATGTATTTAGTATTTCTCTTACAATTTAAGCGAAATAAAAGAAATATTCCATTCTTTAAATACTTTGACTTTACATAAATAATTTCATAAGAACTTACAAAAAAATAGGTAAATAAACAATTAAATTCATATCACACAAAATAAATAACGAGATCAGCCATACAGTGTGAAAGTAGTTTTTCTATTTCCGTTAAAATTAAAAAAAAAACACAAGCAATTTGATGCAACAGATAAAAAAAATTGTGATTAAATTTAAAGTATAAAAAAAAATGAAAGCACTAAAAACCCCTCATCACATACTCTGAGCTACTTACAGAGACTAATGACTTATATTAGTTTTTATGTACAATGTTTATAAATCTATAAAAAACATTTCATTTTTTTTAAAAAGGTTTTTTCTAAGTACGAGAAACTAAATTTAAGGACCACAAAGGAAAAATAATGTAAAGAAACATAGTTATACATCTATAATATTATATAATTTCAAAGAGCGAAAGTGTAAAACTTTGAGCAATGGAACTGGCGATTTGAATCACTTGGAACAAACAAAATGTATAATATATTCATCAACAGTAATCGAACTCGCACCTTATTGTGTCAGAATGTTATGATATTTAGTTAGTAATCCAATAATACACAACATTTTGTGTATTTTATTGAAAAATACACAAAAACGTTATTAGCATTTCGCTAGTTCTATTTAATCGATTTCTAGATTATTACAATATTTATATTTAAAACTATAGTCGGAGAGACAACTTCGAAATCGACTTAAACATGAAAAAGAAAATAAAACAATCCGTGAAAAGTTTCAAAGTTAACCACACCAACTATAGTTTAGACACATGTAACGGAATGTAACGCGAGCGTTCATAAATCATTCATTCTAGCAAATTTTAACGGTGTTATTAACGATATTAATAACAACACTATAACTAGATGTAAGTTAAAATATCGTTATCTTCAGCTTATTAACGAAATAAAAAAAAATTGTTTAGATTATACGAATAACAATTACAAGATACAAATGTGAATGATTGACGTAGGATTGATATAGGATGAGTGAATGATTTGCTTCAAAAAATGTAATTTTCAATCCCATACACAAACCACTCACTGGCTCTTAGACTATAACTTTCCGCGAAATTTCAATAACACCGTTAACAAAAATAAATAACGCGTGACGTCACAGTGTACATCAACATTTTGTACAGATAACATATGAACAAATTGATCATTACCGATCGTTTGGAAGCTAACTACAGCAACGAGAACTAACCGATAAAGCTCTACGGACGACTGCTAAATATTCTTTTAATAGCACCAAGATACAAAATAGCAAAAAATGTCAATAATTAAAGACATTACACATTTAGATAGCTCTCTTAGATTTAATTCATATAGCATTACGTTTAGTTTCTCCAAACACAAAGGCAAGGAAATAAACATTGAAATATTGAAAAAAAAAAACAAAACAAATATAGATTATTTGTAGTGTCGATATTTTTTAATAGCGTGCAGATAAAGAAACAATTTATATGAAAGTGTTAAAATGGCACGAGATGTGAACAAGTAGCAGTCGTCAAGTCTATAATATCGAATGATATACGCTGATATGCAGAAGGACCAACTAAACATTTAATATCAAAATCGTACAAAATCTCTAATAAGAATACTCCCTACAAACATTCCAGAGTCATGGGGACATGAAGAAATAATATATTTTAATTAAAAACTATTAATGTTTTACAATCATCGATCAAAAAAGTACTAGATACACAATCCCATGCAAAAGTTCTCTTAAAACTGTCACCAATTGTGTTTAGGTAATTATTCTAGTTGAAATAAATATAAAACAATGTAAATTGAATCTTAAATGCAATGCATAAAGTTGTCTTCACAAAAAAAGCGCGCTCAAATGTTTAAATGGGCGCTCATTCGGCGAGGACATTTTTTGTTGCTGTATGTACTTTTTGATCGATGTTTACAATAAACAAACGAGCAAGAGCAATTTAAAGAAAACACTAAAACACTCGCCTTCGTCTATTTCAAAGTGAGCAATAATTTGAAAGACAAATCCTAAATAACATGTAACTTTTTCATAACATTTACTTCTTTTTAACCAATCGCCTAATACTGATTCATATAAAATAGAATCCCAACCAAACTTTTCCCATTTACAAGTGAAACATAAACAAAAAGCTCACGTCCCCATAACTCTAAAACTGTGAACTCAACCAAAAGTTTGGCAAACGTCTGCCAACAACCTGTATCATTGCAGCAGGTTGTCTTGGTTGAAGACATTGTTATTGATATTATTAATTGGAGGGAAGCTGGCAAAGTTATTGTTGAGCTGCCATGTGGGGTTGGGGGGTATTTGGGTGGTGTTTGGGGTGTGTGCCGGGCTCGTGGGGGTCGACTTGAGCTGGTTGATTGTGGGGGGCAGTGGGTTTCGGGGGGAACGTGGGCCAAGAAGGTTGTCTACGTCAATATTGATACGAGAGTCGGCCCAGGTGGCTCCGAGCTTGGTTGCCGGTTTCGGTTGCTGGTTCGGTTGCGTGTGTTGGTTCGGTGTGATCGGTTGCAGGAGGTTTATTGGCGTCGGTTGAAGGCCTGTGTTGTTGATGATATCGATATTAGTGCAACCGTTAGTTAGGATATTATTTTTTTATTATTTAACTCTTTAGAATGTATTATAATTACTATTTATTCACAATATAATTAATAAAACGTAAGTCTTGTTGTGTGTATATATGTGTGTATGTTTGAAGTATATGTGACTTAATAAAATACCATGTAAAGTTAAAGAGAATTTATTCTTAGATCGCCAAATAACGGTGGGCATTACATATAGAATTATAATGACAGTTACTTTAACTTACAAAATATACGATTAGAGCTAAGTGTCACGTGACTAAATGCTTATCTATAGCTAAGTTAGAACCGCATCGAAATCGTCGCAGCAAGTACAAGCAATGTGAGAGAAAACATCGCGTATTAAACAAATTTAACACCATATCTTATCAAAACAAAAAAAAAAACGTAAATTCCTGAACTAAATAGTCTCTCAGTTTCAAACGAATGTTTAGAGATTCTTTACAGCATCCGTATCGATCTGAGCGAAACCATAGAAAATAGCTAGATATCTTAAATCGATCTTCAAATTTAACCGACTGTCTTAATCTCCCAAGACTTTCTCCAGTAAATTCAGTATCTCCGTCGCATATTGTGCGGGCTCGGACTGAGGCCCACCGAGCCTGTTCGTCAGTTCGAGGTTGGTGAGAGTGTCCACCAACCACGACGTCAGCTCCATCATCACGTCATAATACTCTCCCTTCAGCAAAGCCTCAGGCAGTGCGACCGCTATCGACGCGATAATGGATATCATAGACATCTGAATCGATGGATTCGGCGTGAACCGCAAGTAAAGAACCATTTGCAGAATTTCTCGACAGTAAATCGAGCATTTTGGGCAATTTTTGGATGCCAGGATCAAAGTTCCAACGGCTGATAGATATCGCAGTAACAACAAATTATCAATATCTTGCTTCATATTATGATGGCTTAATGTTAACTGCCGATATCCGAACCCACTAATGAGTGGATAGAAGAAGTGGTCCGAGACGGCCGCAAATAAGTTCTTCTTCGCTTTTGAAAACGGATGGGGTCGTTTCGAGTGGAAATATTTTGTCTTTTTTAGCAAACGTCGTCGGAGAATCTCCTCGCGGGATAGCTCCTTAACAATCGGTTCAGACTTTTTGCTAGGTTTAGGAATTATTTCCTCAACTTCTGGCTTCATATCTGCGATTCTCTCGACTGCTTCCGTGAAAACATCGAGCATGAATATTTTCGTCGCAATCGAGTACCGACCGACGTCCGCGTGTATTTCTTTGCACAAATATTCCGCCGACACTTTGGGATGAATGCAAACTATTGCGACAGACGTATTAAATTTGATGCTATTGAAATTATCTACATGAAACTTCTCGTCCATGTGCACGAAAACTTCTAATAGTTCGATGGCCAGCTTTGCGTCTTCATTTTTCAATTGTTTGTTCACTAAGTCCTCCGCGGCCAATAGAGCCATCTCGAAAGAGTCGAAATCTTTCGCTTCATTAATAACTTCTAAGAGATCTCGTAAATATTTAGGTTTTTTCTTGGTCGCGACCGGAACGTCGTTGGTCATGTCGTAGGGCTGCAGGTCGTCGTCAGAATCTAAGTCCTCTTCCGTTTTCCCGCCCTTTCCCAACGCGTCTAGTTTGGCAGATATTATAGTTTTAACTATTTCTTTAGTTTGCTCCGGACCTTTGACCGCACACGTCATTATCGTATTTAGTACGGGTTTTTCAACGTGGCCGCTGTGAATTTTCTCTGCAATTTCATCCAAAGTGGACTTGAGATCTATTTGCCTAACATCTCCATTTGTTTGCTTATCTTTCTCGTCTAAAAGACATTTACGCGTGACAGCTTTCAACGTATTATAAATATCCAAACACAGCTGACCTAATTCTTCAAAATCAAAATTCAAGCATTCCACCGCCTTTTTGTCGGAATCGTCGACTTCTATCAGCATTTTGAACAATATCTCGATGGTGGCCATGCCCACACATCTAAACTCTTGGGAAATCACATCCAAATGCTTGGACATGCCTTTGAATAGAACCTTTTTCATCTCTGACAAGTCCCACATACTTTTCCGCGTCCGCCAAATGACGATGCGATATTTCACTGCGAGTACTAATAAAATCGATGTGTGCATGTGATGATCGATGTTCGCTACGTTATTCAAATGGACATCGGACCAAGTTTTGCACAATTTGTGGATAAGATCAGTTAAAATTTGTACGGAGTTTTTGCTGGTGGAGATATAATATAAAAGGTTTTCTTCTATCGTCGTATCTCTGAAGTCTTTTGGGTGGACGTAGAAAGGTATTCGGAAAGTTAGTATGTCGTGCCAGTCTTTATTCGTGTCTATATTGTTACCTAGAACGTGCTTTATGGCTTGGTCTTTGATTTTGTAGTTTATGGGACTCCTTTTGAGGAGGAAGAGAGCAAATTTATCGATAGCTTGACGATTTAATCGATTCAGTAACGTCTGAATCAATTTTCGTCGAACAAATCGACATTGATCCGTGTTTTCGTTGTCTGTCCACGCGACTAAAACATCGATAAATTTGTAAATCCCTTGAGTGTTGCTCAAACTGTAGTTTGTTATGAATTTCGACGTTAAATGTGATAGATAGTTCAAATCGTATTGCATCCCGATATGGAAGCTGCTTTCGGACATAAAATCGATACATCGAATTATATGGAATATGAGTAGATACGAGTAGTTTTCGTGTGAGAACTCTTTGGGTGTTTTAGTTTGTAGACTGTTGGCGACTCTCTCTGGGACGGTCGCGAGGAGCTGGACATAACTCTCCCACTCATTCTGAAGAACATATCTCTTATTATCATCCACTAGCACACTACTACAATCTATTATCGACGCTAGAATCGCATCACTTTTGGCATACTTCAAAGTGACATAAGCCAACGCTTCCAAAACTATACTATTTCGGTCACCTTTGAGAAATCCGCATAGATTAGTTAAAACCTCATGACTAATGTTAAAGCCTTCTTCAATTGTGAACAAACCGTACACCTCTTCTTTGAAGGAGGGCCACTGCGGCAGCAGCACCCTCACCACTGTTCCTAATAACTGCGAATACAGATCAATAATATCACTTTTGAATATTTTCCCGTCCATTTTGGTCAATTTCTGTACAGTAATTGGTCCGGGGAGGTATTTTCTGACATTATCGATCGTATTGAGTACATTCAACACGTCGGCTTGACTCTTAACACGTTGGATGGCTCGTACATTTTCTATGAAACTTTTGATCGCTTCGGTAAGTAGATGTTGTGTGGCTGTTAGCTCCGGCGTATCTCCTGAAAATATAAAACACCTGAATGTGCCCAAAGGAAACGATTCAACAACAACCAAGTGTAACTACAGCTAGCGTCCATCGTAAGTCACATATACTTATAAGGCCTTATTGATAAATGTTGTAAATTATTTTAGGATACAATGATGGTATAAAAGTCTCAAATTCGATTCTTTGTTGACGATTGATTGTGAATAATCATATTGGCTTATCGATTATGTAACTAACATTTATTAATAAGGCCTTTAGTGTGTACGTATGTTTGTGTAAGTTTTTTTTTTCATATGAGTGGTTGCTTAGAAACTAAATATTATTGTAAGTTGACAGTAAATGATTTTGCTTCTATTATCAGTAAATTTTTCACTTTTAAAAAGATAAATATGAATATTTTATCCGTAACAAATATTTTAGTATATGATAGATTTTTTTTCTTCTATTTTTACTATTTACTTCTACTTTTTTTTACAATATAAATTATAAATATAACACATTGAAACCTTATTTTGGGAAAATAATGTCTCACTGTATTACATTTCTAATTCCTTCTATATTTTAATTAGTATATGATATTTTAGGAAAATAACTGCAAAGATACACTTTTTAGGTTATCGTTATTATTATATACTAGCGACTCACCCTCGCTTCACTCGGGTTTGTCTCTAGGTACGTTTTAATTTTTTTGTACGGAACCCTTATTCTTTTTCTAAAATAAAAGTAGGCAAGTTAGTCCCTATAACATCAGCTATCTAATCCAGTGAAAGTCCCGTCAAAATCAGTCCAGCCCTTTCAGAGATTATCCAGAGAAAACAGACAGACAAAAAATTTAAAATTTCATACACATTTAGTAAAACGCTGTTATTTTGACATTACAAACAGACACTTCAATTTTATTCATCTGTATAGATTGAAAAATTAGTTTAAATTCACAGCAAAATTAAAAAAATATCACTAATTTATCATTTTCAAAGAGTCTCAAATGAGTCGCCTTGTACTAACTCAAATAAAGTCTAAAAAAGCGACGGTATGTCACTAATCCATACTATAATATTATAAATGCGAAAGTAACTCTGTCTGTCTCTTCCCTTTTAACACTTAATCCGCTGAACTGATTTAGATGAAATTTTGTATGGAGTTAGTTTAAGACCCTAGGAAGAATGTAGGGTAGATTTTATCACGAAAATCATCTCTTAAGCGGGTAGAAAGGGGGGAATCAATCTTTTCTCGAGTAAGAGATATAAATCTATTCCATACTAAGCGTCAAAAGTCAAAACGTACCCAGGGACGAACCCGAGCGAAGCAAAGGCGAGTCGCTAGTTATACATAAACTATGTGAGCAAAACCACGAGGAAACGCTAGTTTATAATATCACATAACATCATATGTATGTACTAACCTGTAGTGATAGAGGAAACGCTAGTTTATAATATCACATAACATCATATGTATGTACTAACCTGTAGTGATAGGCTGCAGGGTGGTGGAGGCGAACTGTCCGGAGAGGGAGTCCAGGTCGAAGCCCAGCGGGTCCGGGTTGCTGTGGGGGTTCGCTGGTGGAGTCAGCTCTGACAGCAGGTCCAGGTTCGAGGTCGGCGCTGGAAATATGTAGAGGTAATGTTTTAATTTATATTTTAATGTTTGGATGTTTTTAATAGAATTAAGTCAGTTTAGATTACAATTTCAAATTATTTCTCTTTTGTAGTACTAAAAATTAAAGTCTTGTCTGGAAAGCGGAATGGTTTTACTATTAGCAGTTGAAAAGTTTCACTTTTCACCTCCAAGTTTCTGATGAATCAGATCAGTTAACTTGATACCAGTTATTTCAATATCAACAGAATTTCATATAGAACATTTCAAATAAATAATATAGTTAGAACTATGTACGTATGTAAATAAGATTTTTTTAAGTAGAATTATAATTTGCTTATTACTGCTTTCTGCTGCTACTGCTTTCGTTATTATGCATCCATAATGATGATTCATGAAAAATAAAGCGCTAAATTAGTATTTAAATTAGAATACGAATGTCATACTTAACATACATTTGAATTATATTTTTATAATGTATAAAATAAATAATATTTAAAGAAAATGATGAACGATTTACAAATGAAACTAATAAAAGCGTGTTATAGAACACCTGTTTTTAATATTATTTATATGTGTATGCATAAATTAAATCCTAGCGAATTTATTTAGTAAAAAGCGATAATATTTCTTTTTATTATTTATATTATTAATTATACGCATATGATGATGATGATGATGATGATGTTCTCCTAGCCGATTTCAGCTACGGCGGCCAATCTCATTGAGATTAGCCAACTGCGCAGGAGATATTATAGTGCTCAAGTGTACGCGCAGACACAAGTGCACTCTCTATTCCTATCACTCTCACAACGGTGGGACGACCACTCGACACGACCGGTGAGAGTTAAGGCGCAGGACCGACGGCTTTACGTGCTCTCCGAGGCACGGTGTTGAAACACCGCCAACTTCCCAACTCCGGGCTGTTACTGAGACTTACTGGACAGAAAGACTCAATAACTAAACTTGGCCCGACCCGGGACTCGAACCCAGGACCTCTGGGTGTGCAGCCGTACATGCTAGCCACTACACCACCGAGGCAGTTAAAGTTTATATATTATAAAGTTTATATATTATAAAGTTTTTTTTTTACGCATATACGCTATTGAATATATATCATATATTTACTAAGCTTCTGTTAAGATTGTTTACTATCCCAAATAAATTAAAAAAAAATGTATCCATATATAAAGTATCGCGTACGTACTCGTGTGCGTATGCGTGCGCGCACGCGTGCGTGTGTGTTTGTATGCGTACGTGTATTTTTTTGTAATTTGTACGTGTGTGTGTGTACTCACCGGGCGCAGGGGCGGGCGCGGGGGCGGGAGCGAGGGCGGGCGCGTTGTTGTTGTTGAAGGCGCTGGTGAAGTCGGCGAAGGCCGGGGCGGGCGCGGCGGTGAAGGCGCGCGTGAAGTCGCTGAAGTCGCCGTCCGCCGCGCCGCCGCCGCCGCCGCCGGCTGGCTCCTCAGCGCTGGAACATCATATACATGGCGTTGTTTTAGACTTTACCTTAAATGTAAGCTGCGAAGGATGTGAAATATAAAACTCGACAATAAACTACGTCTATTCTAATCTAAAGTTATTAATATATATTACAAAAAAACAGAGACTTAAATAGAATTATCTTTTCGTATTATTTCGCGGTTTTATTTAATTTGTTTTATTTGAGAGGTTTCTCTGGTAAACTACATAGAGCCTGGATTACCGTGGATCAAAGTCGTCTTCCACCAGACTACCCACAGTAGCGCTATTAGTGGGCGATGGCGCGGGGCACGTCTTGAACAGGTCATCCAGTAATTCCTGGGAGTTGGTCGTACTCGAAGCTACACCAGGTCCCAGACCCGACGCTGGGGATAGACCTGGGGCCAGACCGGCTGCTGGGGCTAGACCTGAGGCTGGTGTGGTGGTTGTTTTACCGTACGTTGCTGCAGCACCTGCGGATTGTTTTAAATGGGATGTTAGTAATTTTAGACAACTTTCGTTTGTGTGATGAGTGTGTTCATGTAAATTAATTGATGTGTCAATTTACGGGACAGGTAGGAACTTCCGCTGTCCGCCCTCGGCTCATACACATCGTCACGAGTACCCGGGCAGCATGCTTCCAACAACGTACTGCGTACATGTTGAAGCTCATCAAAGAGAAGCTTGCACAGAGTGCACACGGATCTCCTACTGCGTGCACTCTTCAATACATGATCGCCTGATACCTTCGTCACGAGTACTGAGGCACCATGAATCTCAAGGAGTGCTCATTATATATTATGCCTACGACCTCTCTAACACTTATGTTTGCCTGGTACTTGTGATGACGTCACACGGGACACTTTTAGTAAAAAATAAAGCATAACCATATTTGGACCCAGTTATGCAAAAAACAGCCATGTGCGTAAAAGTACCAACAGAGTTATAAGCATTTTATTATAAAAAATAAAACAAATATAAAAAATAAACAATACCTATTTATATAAATATTCTTCAATTTTAAAATAACCAGAAAAATAAAACTATCGACAGAAAAATGGTTATAACTCTGTTGGTACTTTTACGCACATGGCTGTTTTTTGCATAACTGGGTCCATTTTTCGTTACGTGACGATTTCTAACTGTAAACTCGTACCGCAAGTCGCGTTATGGAACTTAGTTCCAATAATACTAGCGAGGGGTGAACTGAATGCGAGTTACCGAGGTCGATCTTCTTGCTGGGCGTGGTGGGCACGGGCCTGGAGGGCGCGGGTTTGGCGGGGCTGCGCAGGCGCAGGCTGAGCGCGCGCGGCGGCGGGCTCTCCGCGATCACCTCCGCGTCGTGGTACACGTTCTCTCTGCGATCGGATTATGTTACATTATATATATGTATGTATATAATAAACAAAAATAATAAATCCATATCCATACTAATATTATAAATGTAAGTGTTTTTGTTTGTTTGTTCTTGTTTCACGTCGAAACAGACTGACGTATTGGCATGATCTTTTGTATGGAGATAGTTGGAGGGCTGGAAGTGACATAAGACTACTTTTTAGGTACTACTACTTTTTGCTGAAGATTATATCATTCCCACAGGAAAACACGTTATAATACAACTAACAACAACTCATCATATCTATCATTGTATATACATATATAATATACTCTATTTATTCCATACTAACCGTTAAAACGTACCTAGACGAAGCCGAACGTAACAAGAGCGAGTTGCTAGTAAATCTAACAAATCGAAAATCATAAAAATGAGTCCAGCCGTTCTTGAGTTATAAAGATTGTAATTAATCTGACTTTGTTTTATATAAATGTGACTGTAACTGTGTATATAAGAAATAAAAATAAATAAGCTTTTATTTCTCGCAACTTAAATAATAAAGTTTTTCTATGTAAATATTTAAATATTTGTAAAGTGTATCTATACATATAATAAAATACTGAGTCGAACCTGTACATTAAATATTCTTTTGAAAATCTTATTGAAATAATCATTATAATCGATACAGAGGCGGAATCTGTAGTTTTTAGAATTTTTGTCTATCTGTCTGGGAACGCATCAAATCAATTTTAGCCATGTACTGCCAATACTTTTCGAATTAAATTATTATCACATCTATATATTTACAAATTCACACTTCATATTTCACAATATATATTTATCACATGAACAGACAAACACGGCAAAATTATAAGAGTTTTGTTTGAGCCTTTTGGCATACAGCATCTTAAATAGAAAATCCCTAGCTAAAATTGTACTAACTTGTTAGGTTTCCTGTGCCCGTACTCTCCGTCAGAGTCCTCCCTCTCGTAGTCGTCCTCGTCATTTCTGTCTTTGTTGTCATCTGGGCAATAAATAATCCATTTTAGTTTTAGAAAACTACAAAATGAAGCATATGTCCTACTATAATGTATTGAATAATTCCATACAACACTACTTTATAAGTCTGAACTCAAGGGTTTGTTAAGTTGTCAAGGGTGATTTTTTTTGAAATGTCATATTCAACCGTGACAGTAAGAATATAATTACCCTGAGTTAGTAAGTTAGTTGTAACCGTGACTCACCCCACGTGGTGCCGCGGTCACTGTACTCGCCCCAGCCCCCGCCGCCGCCGCCACCACTCCTCGCGCCCATCACTATCGCTTCCGAAGACATACCTGTGGGGATAAATACACACTTTAAGGACTCTGTCCACTACACTGTCTCATACCATGACCGTGCTAGGACCGTGTCAGGAAAAAAATATATTCTTTGTATTGAAAAGTATGAGATTCTGCCCACCAGACCGTTCCGTCACCGACCGGCACAGTCGCGGGCGCAGTGCGCGCGGGCGGCACAGTTGTGAGTACAACCGTTATGTACGGGTATGATACGCTGTTGATACGGTCTAGTGGGCACAGTAGTCCGTGCCTGATACGTTCATAGCACGGTCATGGTATGAGACGGTGTAGTGGGCCAGACACCTTTAAACCCGCTTTAAAAGTAACTAGCGACCATGAACGAATTAACCACAGGACCTGACATAAAATACAAATGTATGAAAACTAGTTCAACCAAGTGACGCATAACGCACACAAAGATTTTATTACATTATTATAAACACTGATACACAATACAATATTTCTGGTGCTTGAACGTAATCGATAAAATACATATATCGATCAACGAATGAATGACATTTTAGACATTTGTTAGCTAGTCATCATAATTTTACATCTTTTAATTTAACATATCTGTATTTATTATAATAAATTAAAATAAATGAATTAAAGAGGCAATAATAATTATGTGTTAAATAATAATTATTCATTAATTTGATTTATATAAATACGATGGCATTGATGGCAACATTCTGTTGGCCTATAATCCGCCCTCAAATTTTCAAATGAGCGCTCATTCGGTGAGGATATTTTTTGACCCTGATTGTATATTTAGTACTTTTTTGATCGATGACTCTTTAAAATATCATAAAAATCAATTGTGAATCATTAGCGCCTAGTAGCCCTACTAATCCTTTTCTTTGGTCAGCACTTTTGATGGTTCATAATTATTAAATATTAATTATTGCTCAGTTTGTTTCCAACATCCGCGCGTGACACTTGCCCTAATAAAATCGGGCCAACATTTTAAATAAAAATGTTTTTTATGTAATTCCAAGTTATTTTCTTTTTATTTAAAACCATTTGGTGAATAGTGTTATAATAGTATACACAAAACAAATCAAGCACCGTTTAACGTAATCCCTCTATTTATAAATTCCACCAAAAATACTTCAATTACCATATTTGTGCATTTATGACGGTTTGGAATGGTTTCTTGCTGAACCAAATAAACCCTAATTTAAAGACTAAAAGTTATTAAAAACCATAAAGTTATTTATAGCTTAAGCCTACCAATATATTTATCCTTGTTCTTCTTCGCCTTCTTCCTTTCCTCCCTCAACTTCTCATCGTCCTGGATAAAGTCGATTAGCTCGCGGACTTTGTGCCTTACATTGATACCCTGGAAAATTTGAACAACTTGCTAAATCAAAATATACAATAGTACTTAAGATTTATATATAATATTTGATATTTTAAATAAAACTATTTTTTTCAGATCTTTTCGCAATTTTATTTTGATTTTATGTTCGACACGTGTTGAACGCAGCCAACGGGACAGTTATTACAAACAGTTTAATAAAAAAAGCCGTAACCGTAAAGTTGAACGGAAAGCATGGTCGACCTTTTTTAATATTTTTAATTTATTATAAAATAAATTTTAGTATACAAATTCTGATATTTTCATTTGCGAATCATTTCCAACATGATTACCACTTGTCTTACGATGAAGGAAACATCGTGAGAAAACTTGCATGTCTGAGAGAACCTAACAAATTTTCGTAAGACATGCTCAATCCGCCAACCCACACTTGGCCAGCGTGGTGGACTATGGCCTGATCCCACTCGTATTGAAGAGAGGACCTTGCCCAGCTGTGGGACGTTAAAAGGGCATAATACTACTAACTATTAACATTGTCGGATATGCAAATTTGTCATTTTCTTTTTATTTCACTAATCACTCTTAAAAAGTCTCTTCTTTTAGTAGCTGCAACAAAAAAATATTTTTTACGAGTAGTTTTTAAAATAGCCACAAGTAATTTTTGTTAACCTAACTTGTACATTTAAAAAAATATCAACAATTCAAACTTTGACGCACTCTCCTGTAAAGTTGCCGATTTTCACATCCGACAATGTTAATAGGGATAGGCGTAATATACACATCTGGCAAATACCAGTTCACAAGAGACACCCAGTAAAATTCTTGTGACATAATATGGATATTGGACAGATTGACGTGAAGAAGTTATAAGGGATGCATTTGTGGCTTTTGCCTACGAAATCCTACAAATAAATACTTCTGGTTAGGGTTGTACAAAGTACATATAACAGAACTAACCTGATCCTTGCCCACGTCGTCCACAAAGGTGTAGTTCTCCAAGGAGCGCAGATCGTATATGTGCTCGCGAGCTGACGTCACAACCCGCTCTGACCCATTGCGCACCAAGTAGCTCAGGAGGAGTAGACACTGAAAATCCCATAATATATATTATATTTGTGAAAGTTTGGATGGATGTTTGTTACTCAATCTCACCAAAACGGCCGAACGGATCTGGATGAAATTTGGCACAGATATAGATTATAGTCTGGAATAGCACATAGGTTACTTTTTATCTCGGAAAAAAGTTTGGTTCCCGTGGGATAGATTTGTTTTTGTTGTTCACAGAGCAAATTCGCAATTGCAATGCTTAACGAGAATAAATCGTAGTTAAAAGCGGTTTTGGTGACGCCTTTTGCCGCCTAATATTAAATTTAATTTCAAATTATTTTAAGTAAATGAAAATCCCCTTCAATTGTTTTAAGTTACATAGTATTTTTTTTTATTTAATTATTACAAGACAGCATACATTACAACCATTTCCACAAGATTAACTTCATCGCTTAATAACAAGAAAAAGTTTAAACCTGAGAAGTATTGGCAATAAAAAGGTTATTGCATTGATTCTCTGTTGATTATAGAAGAAAGGCTATTACTGAATATTAATGTTTGCACATTGTGTGTTAATTTATGAAGGAAGTGCACCTTGTAGACGACGACTGTCCGTATGTCATACTCCAAGTTAAGCATTAAAACTAGCTAAGCAAACTTTGAAACGTATGCTTTAATCACTTTAATAATATAAAAGATAAAAAAATAATTTAAGAAAAAAACACCCTGACTGCAATATTAATCACTATTATGCTATTCATATTTTTGTAGTCACAGATAACTAATCTACTAGAACTACTGATAAAAGGAAGAAAGAAAGAGAAAAACAACAAGATAGATAGAGATAAAAAAAGATTTATCCAACCTTATATGTGCGTCTCCAATGTGATCTGTTGTCATGTAGCATTCTCCTCCACAGCATGGACATGACTTCTGGGAAGTGCTCGTATGTGAAGGTGGCGAGTGCCAGCTCTTGCATCTGCTGGCCGGTGGGGCCCCACGCTTCGTCAGAGGTGGCCTCGCGCACCTTGCCTTCCACCTCTGTGTAGTTCATTACTACATTGGTTCTGGAATTAAAGAAATTTGAAATATTTAAATTTACATGTATACATAATTTGTCAGTGAGTTTACTTAATAAGCTGTTCCACAGACAGAAACAGAAGTCAAAAATGCCAGAAATGTTTTAGACTGTTTCGGTTTTGATATCGCCAAATATTAATATGTAGCTTTAATTTTATTTAGTTTACTTACTACTTAAAGAGTTTTAGTTTAGTTTACTACTTAAAGATATTTGACATATATATTTTTTTTAATTCAGTCGAACCGGAGAAGAATTACGAACAGACAAACACCAGATCACACATCCACATCTATATACAAAATATGTAAACACACTTCATTGTTTGACGACACGTTTGGCTCAGTTTGTAGTGACCCTACTTGCTGTGCCAGCGGTCGCGGGTTCGAGTCCCGCCGGGGGCATTCATTTGATGAGCACGATTGTTTGTACTAGTCATGGATGTTTATATTTATAAAATGTATGTATTTAAAGTTATATATGTGTAGTGTATCAACTATCGAGTATCCATAACACAAGCCTCGTAGCTTACCATGGAACTAGATGGTGCTGTGTGTTAATGTCCCAACATATTTATTTATTGTAACGGCTGATTGGCTTTTATGGCAGTTTCTCTATAGATAGAGATAAGTAAGAATAATTTGAATAGATCCAAGGACTAGTGTTAGTCTGTCGATTTATCATCATCAATTTTGTACGACAATGTCAATATGAAAAACTCGTACTGTATTTATTACAAAAATAATTATTATTCAAAGGACGTCGCAGAATACATAATTAGTACCAAGATTAGTAAATAAATAGGTACGACCATTTGGTACGTTTTAATATTTTGTGCCACGAATCACACGTGTATATTTATAAATGCTTATTTATATATATAAAGTGAAACGGATCTACGTGTTTGTTTGCATCGTTTCTAATTCACGAGTGATTCAAGTGAATTCTTTAGAACTTGTTAAAAAAGTTGTTATCCTGTTGATAGAATTTCTTTATGGAAGTGTCCGACCGAAAGAAAAAAGAAGGCAAGAAAAACATCATGGGTACTTCTCTCAAACAGTACATGATATATCTATTTAAATCTATATATAAATAAAAATGTATGTTCGTATGTTTGACCTCTACGCGTTCCTAAACCATTGATTTGATTATGATGAAACCCTGGTGGATTATTCTGTATACACCTGCGAAGATGCTTGACGCAAAAAAAAACTTTGGACTTTGTCGTTCTCAGGGCGAGAGAAGCAAGTGTAAATGGAGAAGTTTCCTGATGTTGATAATATAATAATTAACATAATTATTTAGTTAAACGCGTAGAGCTGAAGATCGAGCTCAGTAGAGCCCGCCATAGGAGATGCCTATCCAGTAGTACTGGACGAAAACAGGCTGAATATGATGATGATGATGAAATATAATAAAGATCAAAACTAATAAACCAGTGAAAACATATTTGAAATCTATCAATAAATTACTGCGAAATTAATTTAAATGTCGTTCGTTCAGGTCGTGTGACGTCACAGAATAATATTCTTACAAGCGAAACTTTAAAGTTTCCAAACTTTTTCATTTGTTGAGATATTTTAATAATTTATTCATATTTGTTATATTTTGCTTACATTTTTATAATTAATAACAACACAAAAAATAACTGATTGGTAGTTTCCATTTACTATAGATAGGTACGCAATCAGATATTTTCGAAGTCGGTGTGATTTGTGTATCGGTTGGCACCGACAAAAAAACGTAAAAAAAACACAGCCGAATTTAGAACCTCCTCCTTTTTGAAGAAGTCGGTAGAAAAATGAAAACTTCTCCATTTATAAGTCTCTCATAAAAACCAAACGCACTCTCCAAAACATAATTATATGTATTAAAAAGCTGTTACATAAGATAAGTATCTTCGAGAATATTATTAGGTAATACTTTCGATTTTTTCGAAATGGTATTTCAGTTACGTGGGTACTTGGAATGGAGCAAGTTATGGTCTCAGGAGAAAGGCTGTAACAGTTTGTGTTATGTGACGTAAGGGTCGCCAAATACATATATGTAGTTGCGAATGATTACACGAGGAAAAATTTTACTTTCCCTTTTGTCGCATTTCTTGTAATCTATACATATAATAAAATTGTAACTAAGCCGAATCTGTACATTAAATATTTTTTGGAAAATCTTACTGAAATAAACATTATTATCGATACAGAGGCTGAATGTATGGTTTTTAGAATTTTTGTATGTCTGTCTGTCTGTCTGTTACCGCATCACGGAAAAACCACTGGAGGGATTTTAAGAATTAGGTTTTTGGTCATCTGAACGCGCGGAGCCGCGCGCAATGCTAGTAATAAAATAAAAACGTAATGAGGTCGTAGTTGTAAAACTGAATGATTAAATATTTTTTTATGGGTGCACATATTTATACTATCTCAGCGATATACCTGCTAAAACAGGAAATATTTACTTATTTGATTCTTTAAAATCGATAACTTTTAAAACTACTTAACCGATTTTTATATTAATTTCACTAAAAAGATAGCCTCGTTAACCCAGAGTGCTTTATGCTATAAATTTACATTTTTATAGTGTGTTATAAAATCCTTTTTTTTATTTTGTTTACATAAACATATACCATGGCCTGATTCCCCTCGAAATATTCAATGGCTGGTGGCTCGCGCCCAGCATTGGAACGTTAAAAAGCCAACGAGAGACGTACTAGTATATTTGGAGTGGTAATATATTACATTGATATTTACTTACTTTACCATACATACATATAATACAACCTTACATACCTATTGTGTAGCATAAACATGACTTCAATATTAAATTCATTGTGTCAAAGTGACGCTGCACTGCGCACTAATTTTACAAAATCGGTTGTAAACACAAAAAAAACGTTATTTACTTAGAGTTCGGGAGTTTAATCGCACTATTATTATTTTTACGGAATTAGGTAATAAAAAAAATGTAGATAATCGAACATACATACAGACAAATGTATAGAAAAAAATCTATCTGTATATTTAAAAAAAAAACCGTACAGTACATATTTCCAACTCTCCAAATCACTCCAACAAAAAAACATGCCAACATGATAAAGTAAAATACGATCAGTTAAAAGTTACCTGAATTATAACAAAACAACTGATGAACTGCATGAGAAAATCCATTCTACATTAGTGCTAACCTAATTTTTAACCCCTGACGCAAAAAGAGGGGTGTTATAAGTTTGACGTGGATGTCATGTCTGTCTGTCTGTCTGCATGTGTGTCTGTTTGTTGCATCGTAACTCTCAAATGGATAGACCGATTTCGATGCAGTTTTTACATTTGAAAGCCAGTTTCCTTGCAGTTTTTCTTAGCTATGTTTGGTTAATATCGGTCCAGCAGTTTAAGAGTATCAGCTCTTTTCCAAAATGATGAAAGGCAATTTGACGTATGATTAGTCGATTAAGTGGTTTACGCGTGCCAGTGTAGTCGTTAAATGACAATTTGTTTTAGCTAGTTACCACTTCTAGTAAGAAAATATGTGGTTTATATCAATTTCCCTGACTATACACTGTTTTTCTGCACAAAAACCCATTTATAATAAGGCGATGTGTGAAAAAATCAAACTGACAATTTCATATATATATATACACATATATATATATAAACATATATATATATATATATAAAATATGAACATTTTTACCCGCGACGGCCACGGAGAGGGTACATGCGTTTAAGATAAGAGGTGTTTGTGTGTCTGTTACAATTTTTCTCAGAAACGGTTTGGCGGATTTTGAAACTTTGTGTTTTGTACCTATAAGTCTCATTCATGAGCATGTTTTAGCTAAGTTTTATAATGTTACAAACCACAAGGGGGCGCGAGTACAGTAGTAGTATACATATTTTTCAAAAACGGTTATTTTATATTTAAGTTTATTAAAAGTAAACATCAGTCCAAACTTGCTGTACCTATAAAGATTATTATACAACACAAACCATGTTACAGTTGAATAATTTAAATGGGTGGGTCTATAACAAAATGGTTTGATAATAATAAAAGTATACAATTCCCTTTATGATAATAAAATTTACAAAGATATTGAGAACAGCGGCTTATCTCATAGGCATTACCCAATCAATCATTTAATATATAAAATATAAATATATAGCAGGCTTAATTTTGTTATGAAAAATATTTTAGTTTAAATATTTGATTTACAAAAACTTTCAATTTTTCAATTCAGTTAAATAAATTCTTTCTCTTAGGGCCTCTAGGAGTGTTGATTCAACATAATGTTACAGAATCTGTATTGAGTAATAAAAACAATTTCGCCATCTTTCTTGTCTATAATGTAAAAATATAAAAATCAATTGCCATTTGTTAGTATCACTAAAAGTCAAAGACGGCTGGATAGATATATAGATATCTAGGGACGAACCTGAGTGAAGCCAAGTTGAGCCGCTAATTAAAAATATTTTAAAGAAATATATATGTCAAGCAAAGTAACTATAAGTAAGCATTATATATAAAATAATAATCTACATTCTACAGTCGTAATAAAAAAATGTCAAGATTCAAGACAAAAGGTAAATATTAAATACCATTGGAAGATATGGTTTTGGAAGAAACAAAAAAAATAATTTAGTTAGTGTATGAATGGATAATTATAACAGTTTTACTCAAAAACGAGACAGAAGACATGTCTTATTTTATACATTTACATAATTAGATAATTATTCAAATTATCAATTGCAAAAACAAAATTACTCAAGGCCATTTATATGTATAATACTAATTCTTACCAATTTTTTATATTCTTTTCCAAATTTATTAACCTACACTTATACTAATATTATAAAACAGAAAAATTTGTGAGAATGTAAGAGCCGACTTTGAACTGAAACTCTGGCTCATAAAATTGTTACTATTAAGAAGCATCTAAGAAGCATTACACACTTATTTAAGAAGTGTTATTATGTTGGATTGATTAAATCAATCAAAATTAAGAACAATAACTGTATTTAAAAAATCATTACGGTGTTAGTAATATAAATGGCCTAAACCAACTAAAAATCTAATCTACACACTTTTGGGTAAAGATTATAACAATCTGTCACTATATTAAAGTATCTTAAGCTTAAATAAGCATTGAATAGCATTGTATTAATTCATCAATAACTATCAATAATTCAGTGTTTTAACAGACACAATAGACAGTCAGTTATAAATGCACGATCGTGCATTTGATATATCAAACACTAATATGTGTACAGTACATATATAGGTTCGTTCAATACTATCTATTTTCACTAAATATTTTATTTAGTTACATTTATTATAATAAATGGTTGCTTAACTTTATTATTACTGCTGTAAAACTATAAAATAATAGTGACTCGCTTCACTTGGGTTTGTCCCTAGGCAACTTTTAACAGTTAGTATGGAATAGGTAGATGATCCATTGCTCAGTGAAAAACAAAAACTGTGCTAAATTTCATCCAGATCTGTTCAGTCATTTTGGTTTTTTGTATATATTGTGTTGTCTGTTGTAGGTGCTGATTTTACAACAAATCACTGTGTTTCTACATGTAATCAGATTAGTGTTTTTTTTCTTCTTTTTTACCGGTAATTTTATAAACGTGCCTTCTCCATTCTACGCGACATTGGCGAAGTAAATTGTGCCCAAAGACACTCCTAGAAGCGACAAACCTAAAGAATTGAATTAGTGATTGAGTAACATACATCCATCCATCCAAACTTTCGCATTTATATTAGTATAGTATAATAAGGTCTTAGGACTATATACAACATATACAGACAATTCTATTATAATGGAAAATATTAAAAGCTACGTGAAATAAACAGGAAACCCATAAAAAAAACACTTACGTTACCAATGCAGCTAAACTACTGGTAAATATGAATAGAGATATTGTTACGTTCGGTTATGTTGAAATTATATATCAGATCTTTCGACAGTATTGGTCCACCTGTGTAATTTTAGATCACAATAATAAGTACTAACTTTGCAATTTACAGATGGCCATCATACATATGTGAAGATAGATTTTTTTGTATAAAGCGATTAAGATTTGAAATTTCTTATCTATTCTTTCAGCAATGGTATTGATAACAAGTACTTCATTAAGCTAAGACTTAGAATGAAAACAGTTCGCGACGTACAAAATAATTTCAGGTTAAAAATTCAGATTAAAGCATAAAGTAGATATTAAAAGGAATGTGCAATATGTGTAAAGATATTTAGTATGCTTAATTTTCTAGATAACTGAGAAGGATGTATAATTAACATAAAATTAACTGAAATATTGTCTCAACTTACACTTTATCCGCCAGCTCCCGAACCTTCCACATGCTTATAAATCGATCCATTTCACTGCACAGTTATTGTGTGATGTTTCAAAAACTAAATCACAGTAAATTCACATAAAATAACATAAAAATCATATATAAACGCGAGCTGATGATTTGGCTGACATTCTCGCAAAATGGCGAGTTAGAAATAAAGTTGCCAGGTATAAAAATCATAAATTTGATTTCTCATACTATAAAAAATCTTTTAAAAATTTTAAAAGATTTTTTTATTGGAACATTCATCAAGATCATCAAAAATTCAAAAATATATATCTATATAGAATCATAGATAAATAAAATTGAAATGTCGTTTGTAATATCAAAATAACAGCGTTTTACTAAATGCATATGAAATTATATATGGTACTTATAAGACAAAGAAACAATTTTTAAAATTTTTGTCCGTTTGTTCTGGATAATCTCTGACACGGCTGGGCTGATTTTGACACGACTTTCACTGGAAGATAGCTGATGTTATAGGGAGTAACATAGGCTACTTTTATTTTAGAAAACGAATTACGGTTCTTAAAAAAAATTAAAACATAACAAGGGACGAACCTGACCGAAGCGAGGGTGAGTCGCTAGTTTATTTTATAATTAAAAAACTAAATCTACTACATTATATACCAAATATTATTGCTACTAACATGTACCCGCCTTTTATTTGTTATAGTAGTTTTCTAAAGGAAGTAATGAAACTAAAAATAAATATTACCAATTATATTTATAATTCTTTACTTAATTGATTTCATGATGAATTAGAAAATATTTTCTACAGTATTATATTCTTTTTTTTTTAATTATAATTTTCTATTACAATACAAATCTAATTTTACATTATTCAAACATTGCCTTAAGAAGTTAATAGAGTAAAAAAGTACATTATTAAGTAAATAATCTAGCCACCAATTACATTTTATATTTCTTTTACATAAATAATTTATAGTCCGTTATTTTTTTCCTGCCACAGGCACAAGTCATACATAACCATGCATCTTCTAATGAGGTATAGAACCTCATTAGAAGGTCATACATCATTTCTTTGCCAGTTGTTCATTCTGTGGCTGAGCATAGTACTGCCATAACTCTATTGCCTTATTCGCTACTACTTCTTCACACTGTTCTGGTATCTGTAACAAATTTTTTGTCAGATTGTTGTATATTAATATTAATATTTTGGAATTATACTTCTTTTGGCACATTTGGCGAAAATATGAGAGTAATAATAATTTTTCGACAGCCAAAAAGCGACATGATGAAGTTAGCTAAATGTTACATGATGAAGTTAGCTGCATTCCTGTTACAAACAGAGAGTTGTGACATACGGGATGAATTCTTGAGCTATTTTCTTTTCTTTCAGCCTTTTGGCACTTCATTGCAGCCATTAAATTATATTTTTTAAAGAAACCACATGGGTTTTAGTGGCATTGCTCTGTCTCTGATTACCCGAAATTGAAAAGACGGAATAGCTTCATAACTTTAATATAATTTTCTAAATTCCTTAACCCAAACTAAAAATGTAGTTTATGAGATGAAATTAATTATTCTTATTATTACATCTATATTTTTTACGTGTAAATAGTTTCATTGTATGTAGCAATATCTTTATTCATATAGACACTAGCAACTCACCCTCACTTTGCTCAGGTTCATCCCTAGCTTGCTTTCCCATACAAACTTTCATCCCCATTTTCACCCTTACGGGATGATTTCGGGAGGGAATAAAAAAATCTTTACAGTACAGTACAGATAAATTATTAGTAGGTTGTTATTTATTGTATTTTTTTAATATATATAATAATTTATTATAAGCAAAAAATTAAATAATATTTATTTATTGATTACCTCAGAAACACATTTTAGTACTTCTTCTCCATTCTTAGCTTTTAATATGTTCCTCCTTAAAGTAATAATAAGCATTACAGCCACAAAGGACAGGATCTTTGGTGCTCCGCTGCAAATTTTATCCCATATCCTACAAAAATATATTAATCTAAAGTAACAATTAGGCAATTTTGATTTTTCGACATCATTGAAGTTTTTTGATTTTTATTAAATGTATATTACTACTAGATTTATAATGATAGGAATCTATTTTAAAATAGAGTATTACTAAATAAGATCAGTATATTTAATATGATTATTTTAACGACGAAACGACTTTAATTTTGATGACACATTTGACTCAGTTTTTAGTGACCCTACTTGCTATGCCAACAATCGCCGGTTCGATTCCTGCTGGGGGTATTCATTTGTGTGATGAGCATGAATGTTTGTACTCCAGTTGTGGATGTTTATTTTTATAATATGTATGTATTTACGAGTAAAGTTATATATGTGTAGTGTATCAACTATCTGATATCCATAACACAGGTCTCGTAGCTTACCATGGAGCTAGATGGCGCTGTGTGTTAATGTCCAACATATTTATTTAATTAATGTTCATCTTTGACTTACTTTGTAAGAGAAGTGTCATCCAAGACCCCGGCAAAGCAGCAGTTAAACCATTTTGTCAGAGGAAGAATATCTAGTGCTTTTATTTCAGCTAGGTGACTGAAACATATTAAAAACTATATTATTATTATTTTTAGAAAAAAATTGACGTCATAACAAAATTAATTGTGTAATCAAAATTTATTTTAAAATATATCTGATAATAACATTAAAAATGTAAGTAATAGTATAAAACATGTTTTAAAGGCAACAAAATCGAAAGTGCAATTATTACAACACTTCCGCGACACCGTTCAGACAAAGAGAGACAATAGCATTCCCAAGGAGGGTTGACGTCAGGCAGGCGGCCGGTCGTAAAACTTTTGCCAAATCCTATCAGCAGTACAGAAGATGTACTGCGCGGACCCCAAGTATATTGGGAAATGGGCAGGGAGAAGAAGCAGATTATTATTATTATTATTTTATAATTTTTTTATTTAAATAAAATATAAATTAAAGTATTTAAGAAAGTTTTTTGTTAAACAATTTTTGAAAAATTGTTTCTATTTTATATAAAAAAAACTTGTACTTTAATTTTTATTGCATAAAAGCCTATTTATAACAACAGTTTGCATCAAAACAACAAAATGGCTTACTTATAAAGCTCCCCATCCTCCTTCTCCAGCATACTTTGGAAAGCTTCCTTCAATTTTGGTAAATCTTTTTGCATATTTTGTACAATATCTGTTAGAGTCTTGCTTAACCAATACACATCAACTTCATCATCATATAATTCAAGTAATGTGTTTGCTATTGGTATAAATGTGTCCAAGGACTGTAACAGTATATTATACAATAAGTAGATTATTCATGCATTGCTACCATAGGTGATAATGAAAAATATTTCGATTATGTACGAATTTAAAGTTAAAAACTTACACTATATCCAGTTTCAGGAAATTTAGGTGGTGTTATCTCTTCAAGTTCTAAAAGCCACATGGCTAGCAAGATTTCACTCCGAGGAGCCTTCATATCAACTAGTTCTAACCTCTCTACGGCATACAGCAAATGGTTATACTGGTCTGTTCTCTGTTCAGCTACAAATTGGTGAGAATCTGCATACACTGGCAGGATATCTAAAAATCGCTTAAATTTTAATCTTTATATATGTTTATTTGTATTTTAATTACTGTATTTATTTTGAGTGCAATAAATACTAGCATATAATATGTAAAGCCAGAAACTTTCTGAGGGTTTAAATTATAGAAAACCTTAATACTGACCAAGTAACACTTTCCATACTAAATTCCTATAAGCAGCAGGTACAGTGAAACGTAAACAAAACTGTTTTAGTTTTACCCTGTCCCAGGGCTTCTCTTTCATTAGTATTTCCAAAGATTTCTTCTCTTCTACACCACGGCATCCAACTTTTTCATAATACGATGATCGAAAATTTCTTTCGTCTGCCATTTTACTGTTGTAGTGAGAGGTGATCAATAGCAATACTCAACATAAAATTATTTAAAGAACTTTATTACTTCTAACATAAAAAATTGAAAGTAATTTTTATTTGCGGTTTATTGAAAATCTTGTGTTGACAAATTATTGATGTTTACTAGTGATGTTTGATTGTCGTTAGAATAAAAAAATCGATAACTTCCCACTAAAAAATTACCAACATTACTTATTCGAAAAGTGATGTAAATGGTACTTAAAAATCTCATATATTTTTAATACTTCTATAATAAATATATCGTGTTAAATATTAAAGTAATATCCCTTTTTTTAATTTTAAATACATTATTACCTATTCTGTATATAATTTTACCTTTAGTTGTATTCGATTTAGTATACTGTAAATCGATTAATTCATTCCAGATTTGACATTGTTATGCCAGTCACAAAAAAATGTGTTACATTCGTAGATATAAAGTTCATTTTACAATAAAATGGGTTACGTTTCATTACACGTTATTCCATTTAAGTTATATATATAAATACAAAATAAAATAGTACTATAAATAATTCTTGAAAAGAATTTATTTTTTGAAACATATATTTTTAACTATACAACTTAGATATAAGTAATTTTTACGTTTTTAAAGAGATTGAAACCAAATTGTTCTTGGTATGATATTTTTGTATACTTCTATTTTTAAATATTGATTAAACAAAACAATAAAGTGTAACCAAGCAATAATATTGACTAAACCTGTCTCTGATAAATGTATCAAAAAATTAGCAGGAAATAATAAATCTAACAAATAAGTAAAATGGATTTTCCTAGTTCAAAAGTTAGTGATCCGAAATATATAGAAAAAAAGCGAGCTGAATTGAAAGAGTTTTTTAAAAATGCTTTTCCTCAAGAAGCCTTAGATAAGATAATTGAAAACGAGTTGAAGCCCCTTACAGAAGGATTTAACAACAATAGGCCTTATATTGCTGCGTCTGCATCTGGACCAGCGAAGTCTGAGTATGATGTAATGACTGGGCAACCGTTCACTGAATTTGATAACCATGATAGACCCTTAACTATAGAGGAAATAAAAGAAAAAGTAAAAGATAATCCTATCATAGCAGAGAAAGCAAAGCAAATCCAGATTGTTATAAATTCCGAAAATAAAGATATTGCAATACCTATAGATCAAATACAAATATCTAAGTATACTGACATGAAAGCTGAGTTGGCCTCTGCAGATGGAGATATTGAAAGAGTGAAAGCAATAAAATACAAGAATAACCAAATATTAATGACTGCAGTAGCTGAATATAAAGCTAAAAGTAAGATTTGTAAGTCTCTACCTATAATAGAAGATAGTATATCAGATGAATCAAGTGATGATAAAGAATTTGATGCTATCGACAAAGTTGTTACGGAGTACACTAATAAGTCTTATGAAACGAGATTTCAAGAAACAAAAGAAATGTTTCAACAGTTAGCTGACAAATACGAAGATCCTAATTTTACGGAAAATTATGATATTTGTCCTCATAAAATGAAAATAGAAGAATATCCAATTTTGAAGGATTCTTCATCTTGTTTAATTAAACAGACCGAAAAGCCGTCTGTACTTGAAGTAACGATGGAAAGTTACTCTATCAATGAGGCTATAAACATACCATTAAAGAGTAATGCTATAAAATTTCATCTCTCAGGTGAAATCAAAAACGAAGACATAGAGGACTATAGGACAAAAAATCAAAATGTCAGAGTTGATGCGAATATTTCAAACAACTTTGAAGCAAAGCTTAAAGATACTGAAAAATATTTACAAGACATCAGTACCATTTTAAATCAAAATAATACAAATATTAATAATGAAAAGTTTAGTAATATACAAAGGAACGAATCAAAAGCTTTACCAAGCGAGGATAGTGGTAAATCTAATCAAAAAGTGAAATTTGATGCAAAAATGGAAGAAACTCTACACAGTGCCCTAGAAAACATATATGATATTGGTAAGAATGAGAATGCCAACAATAATGAGCTTGAATTCAATGAAATGAAAAGTCTTGCTCGAAATATTGTTGAAGGTGCGGAAAATTTGAGTACATTGATTAGGGAAGACATAACAAATAAGCTGAATAGTATGAACGAGTTATTAAACGACGTTAATGAAGCTTTAGAAAATTCCAGAAAATCCAATACCGTGTATCAAAACCTTAAGGAAGAAGGCGAGGCACGGAAACGACCTGAAATAATCAAAATTAATAACAATGACAAATCCGATATCGACCGGCAATATGACGAAATCGATAAAAATAAAGACCAAACTGTATCTCAATTGGAAATAGATGATATAAATAGTACTATAAATGGACTAAACAATGAAATACAGTGTCATGAAAGTAGACTTAACACAAGTAAAGCTAATTATGAAATAAGAAATAAAGAATGTCAGGATTTCATTAAACAAGTCGATGGAATATTACAAAAGTCTCATAATATTTTGCATCCTAAATCTACAGATCCAAAAGATAAATGTAATTATAATACTTGCCTACCACAGCGAATGGAGATGACAAATAATAAACTTGATGAGATCAATGACCAGGAAAAAGAAAGAAATATGAAAATTGACAATCTTTTATACGATATTAAAGATAAGATGAAGGATAACAAAGAGGTGCTGCGTCTAGCTAATAATTTATTGAGGCGAGAGGAAAGAAAAAAACTAGTCGCTACGTCTAAAATTGTAGAAATAGCAGAAGACGACGAAAAAGCCAAAGGAGATTATGTGAGGGACGATGAGTTAAAAAAAGATATTACGAGTAATGTATCTGAAGTGCCACTTCTTGAAGAAATAAAAGGTAGGTAAATTTCATATTAATCGAATAATAATTTTCTAATTTAGCAAAAATAAATACCTATATGATATTTTTGCGGTTTTAAAAACAAATATTTCTTTAAAAATGTCCTTTTCAGCTCGGTTTAGATAAAACCACCCAAATTTTATATTTTGTTTAATCCTAATTGTGTTCTAGATTCAAAAGAAGATGAACAGAAAAAGAAAGAGAATGTAGAAAAAGAGAGACAAAAAGAATTCCAAATAAAAATAGAAAAAGAATTGGAAGAAATGAATCGAGGTCCAAGAATGACCAAGGAGTTTATTAAAAATAATTGCAAGCAACATAAATTATATGTTACTCCGTATCTGAATGATATTTTGTATTTACATTTTAAGGTGTTTAATATGGACTAATTCATATGTCTACTTAATTGTTATTTTTCTAATATATGCTTAACAGCAGGGATTTTAATGGGAGTGCGCGCACTGGGGATAGTACCTACTAATTTACGTTTTATTTACATCTATACTAATATTATAAAGAGGTAAAGTTTGAGTGTTTGTGACGTTGTAGGGGCTAATCTCTGGATCTACCGAACCGATTTAGATGAAATTTGGTAAGAAGATCCTTTTTATCGCGGAAATCATACCTTATGGGGTTGAAAATGCTGATGAAAGTTTGTATTCGGAAACAATAAAAGATATTTGTCATGTGGCACAATTTTAAATACAAAAATTTATGTTTAAGGGATTTTCAAAAATTGAAAATTTGGAAGAGTATACAGGATTGAAATGCATATTTCTAGAAAATAACGGGATTGAAAGAATTGAGGGTCTCGATACGCTTTCAGAACTGAAGTGCTTGTATTTGCATTATAACGTGATCAGAAAAATTGAAAATTTAAATGGTTGCCCCAAACTAGACACTCTGAATCTCGATCACAATTTTGTGACTAAAATTGAGAATTTAGATGTAGTTCCGGATCTCCATACCCTCAGCATCAGCCATAATATGCTAAAAACTGTTGGTAAGTGTTTCATAATAAGCCTAATCAAAAAGTCAACATTTAAGAACTATTTTTGATAAATAGAGCCGTATTTTCATTTCTAGATGATTTGGACAACTTGAGACATTGTAAGAATCTCTCAGTCTTGGATTTATCGTATAATCGATTGGAAGATCCACTCATAGTAGATGTTTTATCTGATATGGCTGTTTTAAAAGGTTGGTTATGTTGAATTTGTTAAACACTTTGAACTATAACAACTTGGTCATCATTTTACAATAACTAATAAATATACATAATTTAAATAAGCTGACAACTTTAAGTATTTCCTTAAAAGGTATACAAAGTAATATTTTCCATATACATTTCCAGTATTAGTACTTACTGGTAACCCCGTAGTACGAAATATTCCCGCATATCGTAAAACTTTAACTCTACGTCTTAAAGAGTTGTTAAACTTGGATAATCGACCAATATTTCCTCGTGATCGTGCTTGCGCTGTCGCATGGCAGCGTGGAGGAGTTCAGGAAGAAATTGATGAGAGAAGACGGTAATTTAATATACTTAGTTTTAAAAAAAATGTTCTCTTGAATACTTACAATTAGGAAAAGTAGGTCTATGATAGGGTAGTCCTACAATTATCTTACGAGTATATTAATTTGTTCGGATCCGTTAAAGTAACATACTAACATCAGTATTTTTATTATTTAATGAGAATGCTGCCTTTTCCCTATTAAGATTCAGACATCAATTTGCTCACTCGTGCTCTGTATTTTATAGAATTTACTCGTCTTAAAATAAAGAAGTATTACATAAGGTATAATTCATGATGAATATAGTAAATATACTCGTTAAGCTTTCTGTTAGTTTTTCTACATTTTTTTATGAAGTAGCAAGCGGTATATTCCAAATAGTCTAGAACAACGTCACATCTAAAACACGTTGCTGTTTTTATATAAAATTATCTAGATGGATAGCTAAAGACCAGGAAAAGGTGATGGAAAGTGTTCGCTACTTGATAAAGATGCGAGATGAAAATAAAGCAAAACGAGAAGCGAGGGAGAGAGAGGAGAGAGAAAAAATGGGGCTTCCTGCAATCGAAGATAAGGTATATTCGTTTTTTTTACTAAATATAAATTTTTGGTTGAAATGTATATTTTAATAAATGTAGGTACGTTAATAAAAAATAGGAAGAAGAAAAGGAAGCTCTTGAAGCTGATCGTAAGCCAGAAGAGCTTAGTAAGGAGCGGAAATTAAAGGGTGTAGCAGAGGACATGCTGAGCGGGTCGGAAGCTGAAGACTCTACTAGTGATAGTGATTCTAGTGATGATGATTCTAAGTTTCAAGGTAGTTAAGATATTTAAAACATAAACATTTTGGAGGAAGTTTGAATTAATATTTAAAGTATTTTCATTTTAGAAGCCGAAACCGAAAAAATTGAGTGGTCTCAAGTAGATCGCGGTAAGCATTTAATCCAGGAGTTAAAAGATGAACAAATTACTGATGAACAGTGGAGTGGTTTTGGAATGGGTACAAATGTCGGCGACAGGTAAGGCTTAAAAACCTAATATTACCTTTTATATACATATGTGTAAGTAAATATATATAAACACCTATAAATACTACATTTTTTTATCATATACCAATAATATAAATATTTTAGTTACAGGTCTTCAGAAATAGATACCATTAGTAATTTGTTGTTCAATCAATCACCGCATATAGAAAATAAAAGAGCATCTCAAACGTTCAAAGGTAAGATTAGTATGTATTAAAAATTGAACCCTTTTACTAGTTCTACTCAAGTTTGTTATATTTTGTAAATTTGGCAGAAAGTAGCGAAATATCTAAGGATGAAAAAGAGGACAACCAAAGCATAAATACAGAATCTTTTGAGAAATATGATGCGAAAAAGAAACCACTGATTGAAATAATTGAAGAATATACCAAGAAGTCCAAAGAAAATAAGGTTATCATTGAGAAGGTTAAAGAAGTTAAGGGAATTGAAGAAGACGGAGACTTAATAATAGACCGTGATAGAAAACTTGCTTATGACAAATTTAAAGTACAAAAAGTCGCTAATAAAAATACTAAGAGATTAAAAAAACCGCGAAAGCACATAATTATTAAAGAAGTAAGCAAAGTAATTAATAAACTTGGAGATAACGGTGACTCAAATGAAAATAATAATGATAAAAAATGTGGTGAGAATTCGAAACAAGAAGGTAATGAAAGCGAAAACCATGAATCTATTAAGCCTTCGAATTCAACAAATATAACTAGCGAAAGCGAAAGAAGACGAGAGATTGGTGGGTTTTCTGATTAATACTACTTATAAAATATGATTTTCTTAGAAATAATTTTGTTATAATTAATATGTAAATGCACTTTTACTTTCTCAAGCCAAAGGCGATGGTGAAGGTGATGGTGATGGTAAAGGTGAACACGACGCTGATAAAGATCTGGACTTAGAGCCAAGTGCCAAAGATCTGGAAATATTTGCAGAACTAGAGAAGGAACAGTTGGAGAGAGAAGCCAGGATCGCTAGAGGAGAACCTGCTGTCGATCCTATGGTAAGGAAATAAAAGCAAAGTTATTTTATTTTTAATACTGTCCTAGTTACTACTGTTTTCAAATACCTACCTACATACATATATTTATGAATAAAACAGTTTTTGACCATTTTTGTGGCCATGCTATTTTAGTATACTTTGCGCAGTCCTGCATTCGTATAAACATTTTTTGTAATGTCCAGCATCTATGACATCTTGGAAAATCTCTTTATTTATAACATGTAATACTAGTATTTTGAATAAGTTTAGTTGTAAATAAGTTATATTATATTTTTCGTATATACTAGAAACTCTACGATGCTAAGATTATGGAGGAATTCCATAAAACACAGGAACCTGCGCCAGCGCATGCGCTTGTTGAAAAAAATTACGTTACAAGTTATAGCAAACAAAATGGGTTTGATAGAATCGCGCTTAGCCAATTAACTGCAGGAGAAACACCAGGTAAGAGTTATCCTTTGTTAATTAATTCATATTATAATTTATAAATGCGAAAGTTTGGATGGATAGATGTTTGTTACTCAATCACGCCAGAATGGCTGAACGGATCTGGATGAAATTTGGCACAGAGATAGATTATAGTCTGAAATAGCATGTAGGAAAAATGCACGATTTTATACTGGAAAAATGCACGGTTTCCGTGGGATAGATTTGTTTTTTATTTTCACAAAATAAGCCATCGACTATCTTTTCCATCCTAACCGTTAAACGCTACACACCGCTAGCCAAATATAATTTTCACTGATCGCTAATACTATAGTCTTTAAAGTAGCATTTACTGACAAATCTACTTTAAAAATCTATTTTTATTACAACCTTTCAAATATAATGTACGTATTTATTTTAATTAAAATTATTATATTTGTTTTTAGATGAGAGCAAAGTGAAACTGACTCATGTACCAGGAGCAGCTCTCTATCAAAATGTTAACAAAACATCTCCAATTTCCGAAGTTACTTATGAAATAGGTGAAGAAAAAATTGAATCTGCACGTAAGTATAGCAATTGTAATGCGTGTGTATTTTTGATACTATTTTTATTCATCGATGATTCAATCCTGCTTACATATATTTCTTAGATAGACATAACAGGTTCGAATTTTTCATTAGCATAGTACCTAAGTTACACGCACTTGATACGTTGCTACGTTGGTAACTATGCAATCTGACCTTCGTCTAAGCACATGTCGATATAATTACTTCTAAAGGGTCAAATATTCGTATATGAATAAATCTATTTAGAATCTTTTCTAATAATTTAAAGTTGGAAGATTGGATTAGAAGAGGATATTTCGAAACTGAAAAAAAACCCATAAATATACATTATTTTAGAATTTGTGTTGTTACTAAACCTTAAAATATTAAAACATGTGATGGAGTAACAATTTGTAATTGTTATGTTATAGCATCGTCTTCAGATACGGAGTCTATACATATATCAGATGATTCTGATCCAAACAGTTCAGAAAGCGATTTACTTGAATCGCCCAAATTTAAATGTAAAGAAAATAAACCCAGACCAAGTACTAGCAAGGGCATGTTTAAAAATGAAAATCTTAAAAGAAGAGACGAAGACCAAAACGTCGATAGAAGTAAATATAATTTTGACTTTTGATATTGATATTTGTCTTAAATGGCTGCTGATCAAACGTTGTCCTGTCTAATTTTCAACAAAGTTTGTTATCTTTGAGTTCATAGAAAAATTCCATGTAAATAAGCACACAGTTTTCCCGATTATCCCAAAGTAACCCACTTTCACAATTTCCCCTAGAATTGCTGTGCTTACCAACTATCAGCCTTTTTTTCATATTGTGAAAAATCTGTGACTTTTAATTTTGTGTTTGAAAGTGTTACAATGAAATGTCCTTGTTTCAAAATTTAGATTTTAACTGGATATATAAAGTTAATTATCGTATAGTTTTAATATTTCTTGCAGACGGTAACCCTAATGACTCTGGTTCAAGTAACTTAGATCATAATGAAGCAAAACAGACTATTATTGACATGATAAATTCTTACGATGATGATAGATTTCCGTCACAAGGTGATGTTCTCGTGAATTAGTTATTTTATTTAATTAATGCTAATAGTTTTACCACTACATAGCATTCTGCAAGCTATTTATAAAATCTAATGGGACAACATCTATAGAGCCCAAAATTACTTTTATTTTTAATCAGACTGTTCTTATCGAATTAATAAAAGATTAGAATTTTTAGTTCCTCTATATTGTATTAAATTTCAGGTACAAATTATTCAAATATGGCTGAAAACGATCGCATTAACAATTCTGTAGCGACGGAAATACTTAATAAAACAATCAAATATGAAGAGGACGAGATGTACAAGCAGCTGGACGCGGTCAACACTCACGCCAGCCGCGTCGATAACAGAACTAACTCTATTATCGAACAAATATCAGATGAATTGGAGAATGAGTACAGCGTAAGTGTTAAATAAACCATAACATGTGCGTAAAAATATGAAGGAATAATAAATACTTTTTAAAAGATTTCCCTAGAAGTTGTTTCTGACATAATATGTTGGACATAAGTACATAGCTATTAATTCGAAGCCTGTATAATAAATACAGCAGTTAAAATATGACGGTATTACAACTGTCCTATGATATCACACGAACTCACTGTTGATGAGTTCTGTATTCAAGGACATTTATGGACATAGCTTATAAAGACCCATAATTTAAATCAGTTATAATTAAAAATGGCTCTTGTTTAAGAGGCTAATTTTATGATTTAAATTAATTCAGTCTAGAGGTTAATGCATTTTTATTCCGTCAGATGTTCCAACAAAATCAGTCGTTTTACTTCGATTAGTATGTTTCTAATAATTTCCATACTGTTTTAGATTACAGAAGTATCCCATATATTGGAAACGCAAGTACACGAAGCTGAACAAAGATGGCGATCAGCTCAATTCGTGAGATCAGCTCAAGCTGTTTCGTCCCCCACTAAATATATTGTTGATGAACTTGATGCTACTTTAATTCCAAGCGAAGATGCTTCATTTGAAGATACTCTTACAGAAGATATAGAAAAAAATAAAACTTTTAGTATTGATAAGGATGGTGGAAACGAAAATATAGAAGAAGCTAATGATTCTGGGATTTGTAACGAATCTATTGATAACGTTAAGGTTTTTAAAGAGAAAGAGAATGATGAAGAAATTAATGAAACAATGGAAAATGTTAAAGACGTTTCTGCGGATGATGAGGTTTTCGAAGATTGTGTAGATGATGTTGAAAAGATAGATAACGTTGAAAATTATACATTAGAAATGAAATTGGCACTCGGAATTGGTGATTAGAGTTAGCTATATTTGTTCTTGTACTTGTTAATAATGGTGGATTATATTGTTTTTTTTTGAGTGGTCATAATTATTTTTAGTTTGCACGAGTGTCATTAAAGATTTAGTTAAAAGTTGGTTATTTTATTCATTATGGGTATAGGTTTTTAGGCGCCAAAAGGTGTGGGAGGAATTTTAGAAGTAAAGACGGTAAGGGAAATGAAGGTACTACACCTTCAATCCAATCAACAGATTAGTAATTTTATTTTCATTTTTATTTACGTTACTACATTTAAAAGCTTTACTATCAACACCGTGACTTTGCTCGCAACTATAATAAAAATCTCTAAAAAGGTAGTTTCATACAAACTTTACCCCCATAGAGGATTAATTTCGAAAAATGCTAAAACAAGTATTTATTTAATTTTATTGAAGAGCAGTAATATCAAGTTTCAAGTAATTCTGATCATAAATATTTTTTTGGATTGTATTATGTTTTCCCTTAAGAATAGATAGAAATCTTCCCTTTCCCTTAAGAATAGATAAATAGAAGATAATCTTTCGCGGTAAGAAGTAGCGTATGTCACTCTCCAGCGCTCTATCTTCACACAATAAAGTCACGCCAATTCGTCACTCCGTTACGACATGAAAAATGGACAGACAAATAAACAAACACAATTACACGTTTATGATATTATAGTCTTTATTTACTACTTTTCTCACCACTAATGCTACCTTACTAGCTTTCAGGATCGTATAAGATTACTACAACGCCCCAAATGCTATGATATAACCCAACCAAAATTATGTGTAAAAAAATAAAATACAAAAATATATAACAAACTATTATATTTAATTAAAAAGTACATAATTCACCTAATATAAATATCTCGTAACAAATGTTTATAAAAATAGTTCTTTAATAGCAACGATATTTACAATATTAGACTTAAAAAACTACGCGAACAAAATATGTACTTATATACTATATTTTCTTCTTCGGAGCTCTATCTATCTATGAACAGTATAGCTTTTTGACCGACTTCTAAAAGATATATTAACAAAATTATAATGAGATATTGCAAAACATGCAGACAAAAATATGTAACATTTAAAATAACCTAAATTTTAGAAATCAGTCCAAAAATATTTTCTATATGGTCAATGGCCTGACTAAATAACTGAAAAATTTGACCGTTTACACAGTAGTTATATTCTAACAAATAAAAAGTTATTTAAACCACCACATCCTATAAATTTTACCTATTTATTGAATATGGCCTTCTAATGGAAATTTATACAAAAATTACTTTATAATATACACAAACGTACATTAGTACGATATCAGCACAAAGTCACAATATAACTTTTTAAAAATTATAAAAATAAACTGTCTATGTGTACGATTGTTTCTTCAATAGACTTTTTGGTTAAAAATTGCAATAATTTGCTAATATTTAGTTTTTAATTCGAATCCACGACCTTTCGACAAATTAGGTGCACTAAAACTCCACTGAGACAAAGAAATAAAAAAAAGTAAAAAAATCTATTAAGAAAACAATCGTATATAAATGTAAAAGTTTGTAAATATTGATTTATATATATTTCCTTAAAATATTATTTACAATATATTTAAATAATAACAGCTTTAATTTCAGGTTCAGTTTAGTTTACATTAAAGGAGTGCGCACATTTATTTGCCCGTTAGGTTTATTCAATGTAATTTTTTTAAGCAATAAGATAATTAGAATTGCCCGCGGCTCCGCCCGCGTTCAGATGACCAATAACCAAATTTTTAGGTTTTACATATTAGTATACTCTTACAATGCAATTTTTGTATTTTTTCTCAGAAATGAGATATTTTCCCGCGGTAAAAAGTATCCTATATGTTGACCCGGATAACCAGCTATCATCATACCAAATTTCATCTAAATCTGTCCAGTGGTTTTCTCGTGATGCGGTAACAGACTGACAGACAGACAGAAAGACAGACAGAGAGACAAAAATTCTAAAAACTATAGATTTGGACTCTGTATCGATAATAATCTCTATTTCAATTAGTGGTAACGCCCATCACTAAAGTTAACGCACATCACTAGCGAAACGAGAGCGGGGACCGGAGGGGAGACGGGGCCGGACGCGTCGGCCGCGGCGCGGCGGAGCACTTCATTCTTCAGCGAGCAAGCCTAGCGCAAGCGCATACATTATAATCACTGTAATAAAGTACTGCATAAGAGGAATGTCTAATTGATTTATATTCCATCATCATCATCTTCAACAAGTGGCGACCGTGACAGGACCTTTCTGCAGTCGACTCCGCCAGGCGACGTGAATGGTAACATACGAACACGGTACCAGCTAATCGACCAACTCCGACGCCATTTTTAGGACCGATGGAGCCATGAGTACATATCCGGTTTACAAGAACGAACGAAGTGCCGCCTTAAGAAGGAGGAACTAAAACCAGGGGATATGGTCGTCTTTAAAGAAGAAAATCTACCGCTCCTAAAGTGGAGATTGGCAAGGGTCCATCAGTTATATCCTGGATCCGATGGAGTCTGCAGAGTGGCGGATTTTATCACTTACCGCGGCATCGAGCGCCGAGGCTTAAACAGAGTGTGCCCTCTGCCAGTGGACGACGGTCTTGAAAGTCTTGAAAGAACCACCTTTCAAGGGGGGCAGATTGGTAACGCCCATCACTAAAGTTAACGCACATCACTAGCGAAACGAGAGCGGGGACCGGAGGGGAGACGGGGCTGGACGCGTCGGCCGCGGCGCGGCGGAGCACTTCATTCTTCAGCGAGCGAGCCTAGCGCAAGCGCATACATTATAATCACTGTAATAAAGTACTGCATAAGAGGAATGTCTAATTGATTTATATTCCATCATCATCATCTTTAACAATTAGATTTTCCAAAAAATATTTAATGTACAGATTCGACTTAGTTACAATTTTATTATAAGTATGTATAGATGAACGATTGACATATAAATACTTTTTGAATTGAATGTCACGGGAGAGACAGGTACATACAGACATAGACGTCTCAAAGGTTGTTATTTAGTTTCTTCTTGGAAAACGAAGTTTTATTTATAATGTCAAATATTCGCGTAAAGCATAATATGGTTAAATATAGTGTGCGCATACCTTTAACTTTATCAATATACATAATCATTATAATTTATAAATATGATAATATAGAAAAAATACTTTTCAAATTTATTTTTGGTACATCTGTGCTTATAACCGAAGAGTATTTTGTATGTCATATAATTTTACTTTAAAATTGACCTTTCTATAAGCCTCACTAAAATATGTTAAGCAAATCACGTTTTGAGCTTTACTTCATTTAGCCCCGACTTTCTCTCTAGTCTCTTTGAAAGTGACTTTAGTAAAGAAAAATTTGTAGGGAATCGTTCTAAAAAGAAAGTTATTGAAGTAAAACTTCTGTAGGCATGACTGAGGGGTAAGTCAATACATTGGGAAAATGAGTGTTGCGGAAGTGAGAGTGACACTTATTATTAATAATCTATATATATATATATATATATATATATATATATATATATATATATATATATTATTACTTACTTTCAAAAATGAATATTTATTAATATGGGATGAATGTGCATAAATTAAACAAAAGCTATTATGACCAATGTGTGAAGTGTGAATGAAAGAAAGAATGAATGAAAAGGACAGTGTGTTCGACTTAGAGGATTTGAATGAGAAAGTTTTAGTTTTAAAGAAGAATGCAAATTGAAATGACGTAATAAACTATTGAAATACTAATAAACGTATTAAGGTGACTGTGGTGTGGTGTTTTTATTGCTGGTATCCTCAATCCCACATACTAATAATAATTTTATATAAAATAATATATTTATATATTCGTTTCAATGAAATTGCGGTACCGGCCACAGCGCCAAGCAAGTTTTACTTCAACCGCGCGTAAACGCATTCATATTTTTTGAGTGTAATGTGAACTGTTTGGCAAAATTTTAGAAATTCTAAGGATTCTAAGGAAAGATTCTAAAGATTTTACAGCCGTATGAAGTAGGTACAAATTCTATATCAACTTTTAGAGTGGTATGCATCGATCAAAAAAGTACTAGATACACAATACCATGCAAAAGTTACCTTAAAACTGTCGACAATTGCATTTAGGTAATTATTATAGTTGAAATAAATATACAACAATGTAAATTCAACCTTAAATGCAATGCTTAATGTTGTTTTCACAAAAAAAAAATTAAAAGCGCGCTCAAATGTTCAAATGAGCGCTCATTTGCTGAGGCCATTTTTTGTCGCTGATTGTGTATCTAGTACTTTTTTGGTCGATGATTGTAGTAGTATTTTGTTTTTTGGTAAATATAATATGACTTATAAAATGTAATAAAAAAGTTGTTTTAAATTACAAAAAAGGCAAGTATATTTTAAATTTCATATCTATCAATACGCCTAAGGTTAGGGATAATTTCAGGTCAATTTCCTAAGAGGTTTTAAAGAAGCTAAATAAATCCAATCTTGCTTCGTCTCAGTGCTTATTTGTCCAAACCACCAATTTACCGAAAGAGTTTTTAATACATAATTATTAATTATTGACTTTTAAATGTCAGCTCTATTGGTATTAAATATATATTTCACCTTAAAAAAAACTAAAAATATATTTTACCTTAGAAATAAAGTTTTTCAAAATGAAAAACTCCTTACTGTAAAGTATAACAAGTATTGGTGGATTAAACAAGTAAGAACTAAGGCGATGATTTAAAGTTAGATACAATCTAATATATAAATATTGTAAATTTAAAGCAGTCCTCATTCACTTGTATCACTGAAATTTTATAAATGCAATATGACAAAATAAATTTATTTTGGACAAACATTTTGGCCAAAAACAAAAGATAATAATAATAAATTATAATTTTTCTTCCAAAGAAGAAGTACATATTTGTTACTAAAGCTAGTAGTTATTTTAGATCATATTATATGAAACCATAAACAAACTTTATGTTATCTGTAATTTCTGACGTTAAACTCAAATATGGAGCGTAAAGGTAAGGAGGAGTCACTGTGTATGAAAAAAATTCCGTCAAAACGCTTCCAAGAAGGGTGGCGCTGCCGTAGCGTAGGATACATTTTAAAGGAAAAGCTAAAGTAATTAGAGTAAGATAGACAAACGAACAAGGATATTTACTAAATTATTTTAGATTAGGTTTGACTTTTAGGTTGCTTTCCCATACAAACTTTTATCCCCATTTTCACCCCCATATGGGATGATTTTCGGGATAAGAACTTTCTTATTCTTCTCAGGGTCTCAAACTATCTTCTTACTAATTTTCATCTAAATCGCTTCAGTAGTTTCAGAGCTCATATGGTACAAACAAACGAAAAAATCTTTCCTCTTTATATTATTAGTATAGATTACGTAAATAGCTGAGGTTTTGTATAATGGTATTTCATTAACTACTTTAGTTATGAAAAATTTGAAATTTTTGAACTCAGCAAACTTCACTCCATCTACAACAGCTATATTCATATCGTAGTTTTTCCTACGCCAACGTCATCTATTTTCAGCATACAGCCGGACACGTTTTCAACTTGTCTCCCATATAAGAGACTTATTACCTCTACTCTCCATAAACTCAATTCAAAATTCCTATATAATCTGTTAATTTGACACATTGTGATAAAAACCATAGATTATAAAATATAACAATAAGTAAATTGCTTAAAAATGTAAATAAATATATTTTTTTAATTCATCACCTATATCATGCGGCATGGTGTTTTAGGTCGAATATTTCCATTAACAGCGGTTCTACGGGGTGTACGTCCAAGTATACCTCTGTAACTTCTTCTGCAAACTTCCTGAGTTCTAGGATCTTCTGTATGAGTTTCAGGAAGGTGGATTTCGCCTCGCAGCCGGGGTACGTGCTTTCTAAGTATCTCCGGAGCAGGTAGTAGTAGGAATTCTGTAAAATAAGACGTTTGGAAGTGGACTATAATCATACTGCTGTGAGTTTTGATATTTTTATTAAAATGTTTGGATGAATTTAGGTGTTTAGTGTAACATATGGGCTAGTTGGGCCTAGGGAAGCAACTGAGTGAAGTGATATAATAATGATTTAGTGTAAAATAATAGTAAAAATATTATTCAAATAAAAAATGCCATTTTTTGTTTAAATTGAAAATAATTAATAAATTAAACCAAAACAAATCTAAAAATGACTTAATTTAATCATATGTGAAAAATTCACATGGTGAGAATACAGTTTGTAGTAGCAGTTCACATCGTGAGTGTGCATTTGTGTATGTGCGCGTGTACGTGTGTGTGTGTGCGTGTGTGTGACCTGCTCCAGCTTGATGACGTCGCGGTGCACGACGCGCGCGCGCTCGGGCGTGAACAGCAGGATGGCGGACATGATGAGGATGACGTGCTCGTCGGTGCGCCAGCGCGGGCAGAAGGAGCGGATGAAGGCCTCGTGCGAGCGGTAGATGTTGCCCTTCGCCAGCTTCAGCACGTCCGTCTGGATGCTACTGTACTGCTCCTGGTTGTGCGGCAGCTGCGGGAGACGATACGATATACCAGCGGCCGTGGGTTGAATCGGATCGAATGTGTGTACTCCAGTCATGGGTATTTATATTTATAATATGTATTTATTTAAAATTATATATGTGTAGTGTATCAATTATCTAGTATCCATAACACAGACCTCGTAGCTTACCATGGAACTAGATGGTGCTGTGCGTTAATGTCACAACATATTTATTTAAAAAATATCAGACAAATGCATGTCTAACTCGCACAGCAAGATTCTGTAGCTAGATTTTTGCGTAATATTGCTACAAATTTACGATTTTCGATTTTCTGCCTTCACTTATGCTATATAACATTGCTTATCAAAAGAAGGGTATCGATAAAACCTCATATCCATTTCCAGCCCTTTCCGCTCCAAAATAACAAAAAAAAAAGAGTCATACATTTGATATTTTCTTTACATATTATGAAAATAGACTTTATGCCTGATGAGATAATATATTCTATGAAAGAAAAAAAACTACAATTAATACTACTTGTGGGACGCCATACTTCGCTCTAACTGCGATATTCATTCAAAATGAGATATTTTCAGTAACATTTAAAATTCTTAAAGTGTAAATTCTTTGCGTGAATGAATAAAATTTTAAATAATAAGTTTGATAAGAAATTGTAATAATTATATATTGGAAAAGATAGACGACAGTAATTGTTATAATAAACGAATGGACCACATACCGTCCACTGGTTCCTCTGACCGTCGTACGTCATCGTGCTCCGAAGGACCATCATCTCTATACAACCACCTTTCAATAGCGCCACCTACAATTTAATTTATATCTTACTAATCCGTATTAATATTATAATTAATGTGAAAGTTTGTGAGGATGGATGTTTGTTACTCTTTCTCGCCAGAACGGCTAAATTAATCTGGATGAAATTTGGCACAGTGATAGATTACTATAGTCTGGAATAGTACATAGGCTCCTCTTTATCTTGAAAAAATATACAGTTCCCGTGGGATAGATTTGTTTAAGTTTTCTAGAGGCAAACCCGAGCCAAGCGAGGGTGAGCCGCTAGTTGTATATTAAACTAGAAGAACCCGCGGTTTTGGTCGCGCTAAACTACAACAAAACCTCTAAAAAGGTAGGTTTCATACAAACTTTCATCCCCTATTTTACCTCCTTATGGGATTAATTTCGAAAAATGCTAAAACACGTATTTATTTAATTGTATTGAAGGGTATTAATACTAACTTTCAAGTAATTTTGATCATATTTCTTTGGGATATTCCCATGGGAATGAGATGATCTCCCACAGCAAAATCTTTCCAGCCTTCCAACTATCCCCAAAAAAACACGCTAATCACTCACTCCGTTTCGACGTGAAAGAAGGACAAACAAACAAACACATGTAACGCCCAAATGTGAAAATACTTTTATTATATTACTAGCTCTAGGCCGCAGCTTGACTCGTGGGTTAAACGATTATATTATTGTACTAGCGGCTCACCCTGGCTTCGCTCGGATTCATCCCTAGTTACGTTTTAACGATTAATATGGAATAGATAGACTATAATATATATGTATATACATAGGTATAACTAATTGTTGTGGGTTGTATTATATCGTGTTTCCCGTGGGAATGAGATAATCTCCTGCGGTAAAAAGTAGCCTATGTCACTCTCCAGCCCTCCAATTATCTCCACACAAAAATCACGCCAATTCGTCACTCTGTTTCGACGTGAAAGAAGGACAAACAAACACACTTTCACATTTATAATATTAATTATTAAGTATGAATATTCTAAAATCTTAATATATTATTTATAAGTATCTAATGATTATATAGTCACCTGATCCTCTTCACACATGTTCTTGAAGGCATTGATTTTTTTTGCAATTTTAATCAGCCGTCGTATCGCGACCGCCGTGAGGTTAACGAGCGTTATTAACCTGGGATCGTGTTTCCCGTCACCGTCCTACAATAAATACTTTTTAATTAAAAAGGGTATACCAATTTCCAAAATCACTGAAAAGTTATTATTCTATTATACGAGTCCTTTTTTTAAACTCTAATGACCACAAAGACAGAAAAAAAAACAAAGAAAAACGAACATACACATTTCTTAACACATTTTCAAACTGGTCAAACATAGTTATAATATTGATGTTACACGTAGTTAATAATTATTACTTACGATTTTTTTTCTAAAATAAATTACTTAAAAAAATATGAAACTCAATTCGGGTACTTTTTCTCAAACTATTTCTATACAATATGACAGCAGTTAGTTAAAATGGACTTTCAAGATTTTAGGTATATATTACATCTTAAGCTAATAAAAGTCAAATATATTTTAGTTAATTCAATCAGGTAAAGAACCTGTTACCTTCAACCCAGCAGTGGTCGTATCTCCAATCAGCTGTGTGATATCGTCATCTATGGGCGCGTGAAGGGCCTTATTAGCCACTATGAGTTCATTTAACTTGGCTCGTTCTACCTAAAATGAATAAGTTGAACATTGGTCTCATCAATTCGCTAAACCTCAAACAAAATCCCGTGGGATATATGAAGTCTCAGGATATTTTATTACATAATGAAAGTGACTTATTAATGACTTATAAACCAAGTGAAGTGGGTTCAAACCCCTGATTCTCGCACTCGCGAGTCATTTCTTATATGATTACGGTGAAGGAAAACATCGTGAAGAAACCTGCATGTCTGAGAGAACCTAGCAAGTTCTCGAGACATGCTCAGTCCGCCCCTTACACTTGGCTAGCGTTGTGGTCTATCCCCCTCGTATCCTCGCCAGTTCTTCTCAGATCTTAGGCTTCTTCTTTCCGAACTGGTAGTAGACTCATGACGTTCAGTAAAAAAATGTAATAATTTAATGCTGAAATAAATATTTTGATTTGATTTTGATATTGGGAGGCCTGTGCCCAGCAGTGGGACTTTAAAAAAGATCTGGATACACGTATTATACACGTACAAAATAATAATAATCAGACAGTCACCTCATTAAGTTCTCTGGACGAGTTGCTTCGACTGCTCACGGATGTGTACGCCTCGAATTCTAACTTTATTGCCTCGCACAGTATTGATTCCATTGAATTGGGTTCTATCCTGAAAATTATTAAGATAAAGATCTTACCACGAAAAAGGACAAAGGATAAGGGTCTATACACACTACGTTTTATAAAGCGCCGACGTTTGTTTCGATACAAACGCAAGCAATCTAGATTTTTAAATTTATCAACGTAGTATACGCGGCGAGGCGTAGTCATGATACACGCGTCGTCGGCAAAATGGAAGCTAGTGTGCGAAGATCCTTATCCTTTGAGAGAAAAAAAAAGAGCGAGCGCTTTAAAAACGCATCGTTTGCATAGGCCCTTAGTCAACGTACTCTGAGAGTCTGAATACATCTTTATAATATTAGACTAGTGACGAACCCTAGGTAGGTACGTTTTAACAGTTAGTATGGAATAGATAGATTATATATTTTACTAGCGACTTATCCTCGTACGGTACGTACGTGCTAATCTATGCCATTATTATTTTTGCGCGACCCGAATTCTTTTTCTAAAATAAAAGTAGCCTAAGTTACTTCTTATAACATCAGATATCAGCCAGTGAAAGTCCAGTAAAAATGTCAAACTGTTTCGAAGATTAGCCGGAACAAACAGAAAGACAAAAATTTTTAAAAAAGTGTTTTTCTTATATGTACTGTATATAATATCATATGCATTTAGTAAAAAGTTGTTATTTTGACATTAAAACAGATAGATACTTCAATTTTATTTGTCCGTATAGATTACTGGTCCGCTTCCTTGGGTAGTAGCATGATGATAATATACAGCCTATAATAGCCTTCTTCAATGAACGGGCTATCTTATACAAAAAGAATTTTTTTAAACTAATTAGTAGTTCCTGAGATTAGCGCGTTCAAACAAACAAACTCTGCCTCTTTATAATATTAGTATAGATTCCATAAGAAAACTTTTACTTAATATTTTGAACTCACCTTTCAACATCTTGTAATATATCTCTAGCTTTATTTACATCTTGAGTGTAACTGGTGGACGGCGTGTCGTCGCAAGCGTTGGGGTCTTTTTCTTCTCTGTACATGTGATTTGCGTCTTCATTAGTTAATATTGATCTAAAAAGATCATTTGATAACTTTACTATCAAATTAGTATCTTTTAATTAAAAAAGCTGTATAATATGTACAATAATAGTTTTATTCGAGCTTGATGGATAGAACTTCTAGATAACAAATTCAGTAAAAGCCTTTGAGTGGTATTTGAGAATATATCATAAGTCAAATGAATGTTGTTTTAAAAATTATATACAATAAATTTTGCTATCATAAAATAACCAAATATATAAGTATTTCATATAAAATAGGAAAAACCATCTTCAAAGATAGAAATATGATGAATACCATTAGCTTAAGAATTATTATTTATTAGATTAGATAAAGAAATTATGTAAGAGACTTATAATTAATAGTAATAAAACTAATTAATTATCAAATCTGCAATATTCTTATCCTCATCTTGAACACATTTATTGTTTGTCTAAAACTCTCACAGCAGTTCAGAAGAAAAAGTTTCGATTTCAAGAAGAGTTACAAACATAAATTTGTTGAGGATATTTTATTTAAATACAAATAGACTTGGAAACTTACAAATTTTATACAGATTTGAAATAGTATGGAGGTGAATACATAATTCCAGGAAAGTGTACCATATAATAAAGTTATGATTTCTTATAAAGACTAACCATTTAATATAACATACCTATTTGAAGAGTAAACTATTATTGTGCGAGTGTATAACATAATCCACTTATATTGGTCAACTGTATCATATGACATTTGCAGTATGAACTATTGTAAATATTAAATAAGTTCAGAAATGATGACTCGCTTAATGATGTAATTGCTTACAATGTCCAATTTTCAATGTATTATGTCCTGTTGTATCACCCGAGGTGCAGTTTTTAATATTTGCCTATCATTTTAGCTTGAGCTTGATATTTGAATATATCACTGCATTGTTACATTTTTCAAGTTGTTTATAAGAAGTTGTTATTCAAAACTAAATATAATAATATGCATTTTTAAAAGTAATCAACCTTCAATTAACATATACAATAACTAACATAATAATAGTATATAATGTTGTGAAAATAAGATTTAGATTACAGCCAAAGTTAATAAGCAGTTTTTCTAGCCAACCTATATAAATAAAAATGAACACTGAAATGCATGTACACCCAATTGACTGTTTGTTATTGTCAGCACAATTTTTTTATAGAAGAAAATTGAAAGAATTTTTTTTTTTACTAAAATAAGATTTTTTTAAATCTCATGATATAAAAAGTGAGTGAGTGAAATAGTTTATATCACGGTAATCATCCCATAAGGGGGTGAGAATGGGGATGAAAGTTTTTATGGGAAAGCAAGCTAGAGACGAATCTGGGTGAAGCGAGGGTGAGTCGCTAGTATTCTAATAAAAATATCAATTTTATTACCTTATACTATTTTGTTTGGATGGTTCACATGTGCTGTCCATACTATCACATAAATTATAGGGCTCCATCATCCTGTGCTCATATATAGCTCTATTTATAACTGTCTTTTCATCTATTGGATGAACTTTCATAGTATATGGTTGTTCAGCATTTTGAACTGGTACATATTGATTGTACATTGGTGGTGAGTTAATTGAATTGTCTATATCGGTACTTAATGGAGACTGTACAGTACTGTGCGGACTACATGTAGTACTATTTAGCACATCGTACTGCAATACAGCAGGTTCTTGGCTAGGTGGCGCATATGAGCTGTCTTCATCCCGCCTAAAACTTTTTGAACTAGTAACTGATTCGTCGGGATCATGTAAATGACGTTTTTTAGCCCTGTTTTCTTCTATTTTACGCCTTTTTTCTGCTTTATCCTCTTCGGACATTATGAACTCTTTCACCATACCTACTGATAAACACTTTTCTAAACGACACTTTTGGCAAAACCTCCGTGTAACCACGGTAATATCACAATTGTTTGAAAAGGGACACTTAAATTCTTTATTTGTTAATGCGTTCCTGCGAAAAAATGCTTTGCAACTCTCGCAAGATATAGCGTTAAAGTTGTATCCTAGAGCCTTATCACCACAAACGAGGCAAATCTTTTGCAAATTAGGCACTTCTTTTTTTTGTGCATTTCCATCCTCCGTCTTAATATTACTCTCACTTGCACTATCCATTTTCACTTTTAAATATCGTCATAACTCGCACTGATAAACAAGTGTCCCTTAAAACTTTTAATCCGCACACTATAATTGCAGTTTTAGCGCTGTCGTTTATAAAGCACGCATGTCAGTATGAAAGTCATAATTTCGCACGAAATGGATAAAAGGTTGCCAATTTGTTGTTATCTCGAGATAATTACAATATTTTGATAAATAATATTGTGAACAATACATGATAATCGGATGACTAATGTCATAATTGTGTCATAGTGATTATTTTTTTAAATATAGCTAAGAAATAAGGCAATGGTCGTATATGATTCAGCCTTCTATAATACCTTTATGTGGATTTTGTGGTATTAATTTCTATTAATTATATCTTTATACTCATAATAAAATCATCATCAGTATGGAGATGGTGTCTATCAATAAATATTTTATTGAAATTTTTTGAACTGAGTTTTAGTATAATTTGAAATATATGTATGTGTTAATTTGTTCGCGTTTCACGCAAAACCTACAGGAAGAATTTTGATTAAATGTATAAAATTAGGGTTTGTATAAAAGAGGTTCTATTGCATTCATTTTGATATAAATTAGCACGATAATAATTTTATAGTCTCTCTACTAATTATTCAGTAGATAATATATTTTTTATTCTGAACATGAAATGGATTTACCCAGGAGAGGGGAAAATTCTAAATAGTAATAATATAAAATTATGTATTTTCACTAGCGGAATTTTGTTGTTAGTTGGCATTATTTGATTGGATTATTAGACAATTAATTTTAAACGATACTTTTCAACCTAAAAATTGAAAATGTTTTCCGGCAATGGAGGAAATAATGTTTTTAACAATTCTTTTTTTTTGTTAAAACTATTGCATCAATTTAATTAAAGCATGTAACTTTATGTGAAATAGCAAGAATATTAATCATTATTTAATTAGATTTTTCAGTTTACTTTTCATCCCAAAACTTAAAAAGTATCGGGAGAGGTGAAAATTTTATACAAACATTATGGTGAAAACTCTTTCATGGATTTACATAATATAAATAAGGAGATTACGACTTTAAAGTTAAATATTTATTTTACATTTTATCTCAGCAATGAAAATATTCCTACAGGAGAGAAGAAGATCGTTCTTGCATAGAAGGATGTACCTACTGTATAGATTTTCATATAAATTAGAATATAACTTATTTAGTAAGTATTTATCTATCCTGGAGATTTTGATTTTTTTAAATGAAAATTTTATCAACATTTACGTATTATCTATCGTACTTTATTGGATACTAAACCAGAAAACTTAGCGGGATTACATAAAATAACTTTGTAAGTTGACTTAAACGTTTTTATGTTCTACATACATACATAGTAGATTCTATTTGCAATTTTTTATATGTTGGGACATTACCACACAACGCCATCTAGTTCCATGGTAAGCTACGAGACATGTGTTATGGATACCAGATAGTTGATATACTACACATTACACATATATAACTTTGAATATACACTATAAATATAAACACCCATGACTAGAGTACAAACATTTGTGCTCATCACACAAATTAGTGCCAGTGGAACTCGAATCCACGACCGCTGGCACAGCGAGTAGGGTCACTACAAATTGAGCCAAACGTGTAGCCAAAAATTGCCACTTAAATTAGTATGGCGTTTATCTAAATGCAAATAAACAACTTATGTTACTTTCCATAGGTTTTAATCAAACATTTTTTTTTTATTTATACAACGGTGCGTTTCTAATTTTTAAAAATAATTTTACACGACGTTGGTGAAAAATTCTGCGAACATCCACTGGTACTATTAGAATACAAAAATCATAACAAAAGAATTTAAGAATTGAAGTATATTTTATATAAAGTACATATACTATTATATAAAATATGTTTATATATTAGTTATACCCAAGCACTATCGTGCGTTTATTTGATCAAGATCGGTAAAACGTCCCATTGCAATATTCTAGTCGAGCAAGTTCAGCTGCGCCTTAGGCGGAACAATTTTCCGTTCCGAAGCTCATACAAAACATTAAGTTACCATGATTTATTTTTGTAAATTAAATGTTAAAATTGTTACTTAAAACATTATTAATTAAACAAGCTTGTACTAGTTGTAAATATTGAAGTGAGATCTAGGAACATTAGGATTATTCGAATTACAATTTAGTGTGTGTGTCTTTGGTTTTATTTAATATTTATTATACTAGCGAGTAGCGACTGACCCTCGTTTCGCTCGGGCGTGTCCTTAGATACGTTTTAACTTTTTTGAGCGGAACCCTAATTCCTTTTCTAAAATAAAAGTAGACTAAGTTACTCATAACGTCAGTTTTACTCCAGTTAAAGTTCTCTCAAGAACAGCCGTTTCAGAGATTACTTAGCCGAAACAAACAGACAGACAGACAGAAATGTGTACCGTATATAATTTCATATGCATTTAGTAAAAAGTTGTTATTTTGATATTACAAACAGACACTTCAATTTCATATATCTGTATAGGTAAAAAAAAAAAAAAATTATCTAATCCCTAAAAAAAGAACTATTTTTTTAAAATAATATAAACAAAAAAAAAAACAGTTTATAAATCGTTAAAGTTATCGTGACATACCTACACACACAAAAAAGAAAAACACCCGAACTGACAATCTTTTTTTTGGAAGTGGATCAATTAGTAGTACAAGTAAACTTTATTTCTAGAACTAAACATCAACTATAATTAAAATATCCAGATCGTATTGTTACAATAGCTGACTCGACAGACTTTGTTCTGTGAATTTCATTTGTGACATTAAAAAAAAAACTCAGGTGTCAATCATAAATACCTACGTATTTTTTTTTCATCAAAATCAGTCAAGCCTTAGAAGGAGAAGAATTGAGAATACACGTATACTGGAGTCACTACATAGTTTAAAAAAAGTCGCTTCCCGCTGTCTGTCTGTCCCAGTGTATGCTTAGATATTTAAAAATATGCAACGGATTTTGATGCGGTTTTTTAATAGATAGAGTGATTCAAGAGGAAGGTTTATATGTATAATACATGTATATTATAGTACAGAAAAGCCGAGAATTCAAAGATTTGTATTTCATACTAACCGTTAAAACGCACCTAGGGACGAACCCAAGCGAAGCGAGGGTGAGTCGCTAGTTTTATATAATTTATAAAATAAAAACATCCTAGACCAATATATGTACGTCGTTAAAAAAGAAAAGTGAATTTTTAAGACATAAAAATAAGTCCGGATTTATATTAAAGTATGGGAACACTATTGTAGAATTTACGGCAGGGTCCACTATCAGTAGTGGTATTTGGTAGTGAAGTCTCAAAGGAATCGATGTGACTTTTGCTTGATAGCTTTCACATTATTTTTACCGACTTGAAAGTTATTCTATTTGGGAGTATGGATTTTTGTGCATGTTATTTAATATTTGTTAAATCTGAACCGATTTTTAATGTTTTTAAAGAATACATTATAGCTGAAGCCTGAAATTGATTTCTAGAAAAAAGTCACTCGTAAGGCTGAGGGTAGAACAATTATTTTTACTTTATTCAAATATTTTAAAAAATATATTTTAATAACTCAGGTATACTTTTACTAAACTATGTACAGTCTTAAAACGAGACTATTTTTTCGGATTTTGTCGCATTTTTATTTTATACTTTATAGCAAACATTGTCGCGAGAGAGAGCCGCTCTCGGGTCGGTCGCGACAAAATCCCAAAAAACAATCATTTTAAAATATCAAATATTCGAGTAAATAGTAGAAACATGAACGAATTAACCACTTCGTTCATGAGTAGAAAGTATTAAACTATGTATAATGTATATAGAATATATTATCATAGTATTTAGATTGTATTCAGCCCTTTTTGACGTCCCACTGGTCGGCACGGGCCTCCCTTCAATACGAGGGGGATCAGGCTATAGTCCACCGCGCTGGCCAAGTGCGGGTTGGCGGACTTCACATGTCTTTCGAAAACTTGCTAGGTTTCTCAGACATGCAGGTTTCCTCACGATGTTTTCCTTCACCGTAAGACAAGTGGTAATCTTGTTAGAAATGATTCGCAGATGAAAATATCAGAGGTGCGAGACCCGGGATTTGAACCCGCTTCACTCGGTTTCCTAAGCGAGCGCGTTACCACTGGGCTACCACTGCCTTTAGTTTGTATTTAGATTAATACTGAACATATATTCTTGAACCAATACCACTTCCTGTCGAAATTTTTTATCCATGGAGTCAAAGTGCTAACACTTCTTAAAAACACATTGCAGTAGAGGAACTGTACAACAACAACCATTCCGCGCAGACGTGACTTGTACAGTAATAATTATGTGTACACATTTATTTTGCATATATAATTAAGTAAATTTGTAATTTTAATATATTTCATTAATTGTAAATAAATTATACTTCTTGTTTATATAAATTGTAGTTGTCTGATACGTGACAAAATACGCGTAATAGATACTTCTAAACATTTTATAAAACAAACAAATGCATAGGAAGCTGTTACTTTTCACATTTCTAGTGTCAGCATTTTTATGTTGCAGTAAATGTGAATAAACAAACAGTGTTCGTGATGTTCACTATTAAGAGTTTTTTTATTCTTTAACTATCCTAAAAAAAGGATTAAGAATGCGAAATTTTTAAGACGTATATTTTTGATGTCTGTGTCTTTTATGTAAGGTTGCATTTTTATATATTGAACTTATTTGTTTTAATGGAAAATAATATATTTGACTAATTTGTAATAATTTATGTATAAGGCAGTTAGTTATGTGACCTTGGCTGATAGGAGTGTTTTAAAAAATAAAAAACGGTCGCGGATATTCATTTGTTTTCCCGCCCTTTCGCACAGAGATGTCGGTACCACCATGTAGTGACTAGTCACGAATTATTAGTAATACTGAAAATTATGGTTATAAATTACGTAAATCACTGACGGTTATAAAAGTACTGAATATAAGAAAATAAGCAAGGAATATCTCGAAGTTTTATTAGGGATGCTACATTTAATTAAAAGTCAAGTATATCGAATAATCAAAATATACTTCATTCCAATATAAATACTTTTACAAGCGCTTATGAATCGTCAATTTTACATTTTAAATTTAAATTAAATGTCAGTACGAGTATGTATGTAAGTCCTCGGGGAATCGAAGAATCGAGTGGTGATGCAGATGTAAAATACATTTTGGTTACTTATATATTAGGTATGTATTTCTTTAATTTTTATTAATAGCATACATTTTAAACAAACTATATAAAAAATACAAAGTTGCTACATAAATGAAAGACTTATTATATAAAATATTTAAAAATGCATTGGACAAGCATCAACAAATTAGACCAAATGCCTTTTAAAAATCAGCTAAAATGTAATAAAACAATAATATATATTATGTAAAAATTTCACGATGTCAGTAACATAAATAAAAATTCAACCTGTAAATCACCTAAAAGCGCAAAACTCGCGAACATCACGATTAGTATTAATTATTACTACAATGGATCACAAGTTTATATATTTGTTATATATAACATATTCGAATTTTGTCTGTGTGTCTGTCCGCGCAGACACATACAGTGTGAAAGTCGCTACGGAACAGCATGTTAATTTAGTAGATGACAAGTTCTTAAGTTTCACAATCGACCCAAAATATTTGTTTTCCTCCAGTAAAAAGTACAACACGTGAGTATGAATATTTATTATTAAACTAGCAACTCACCCTTGCTCCGCTCGGGTTCGTCCATAGGTTTTAGCGGTTACGTTTTAATGGTTAGTATAGATTTCTCAGATATGATACATCTTCCCGAAATAAATAGTATTCTGTATGTTGACCCGGATAATCAGCTATCGTCATACCAAATTTCATCAAAATCTGTCCAGTGGTTTTCTCAGACAGACATAGAGACAGACGGATAAAATTTTTTAAATCTGTAGATTCGGCATTTGTATCGATAATAATGACTATTACAATAAGATTTGAAAAAATATATTTATTGTACAGATTCGACTCAGAATTTATTATATCTTTAACTTGTATATTATTATATGATCTGTGTCTATAGATAATTTATAACCACTAGACATGACACTTCATACAATATCGTGCACCATGACTTAAAAATGAACAGCAATGACAGTAGTCCAATGGAAACATGCTCTCTCTGGAAACACAGAAACTCCCAGAAACTTCATTTTCCCCACCCTTGCCACTTGGCACTTGAATTAGCAAGCCTGCCAGTCTAAGAGAACTTAACTAGTTCTTAAAAAACGTTTGAACCGCCATCTGTTCTTCTCGCGTTGGGAAAGAACCAAACGACAGATATAATATTATTCTTTATATCCTGTGCGCTGTTTGACTTGAACTTCAGTAATCGTAACAATGGAAAATTTAAAAGTGCTGTTAGAAATCAATTAAATGTAAAATCTATTTGGAATGTAAGTTGAGCTTCTATGTCCACAGGAAAGAATGCATTTGTATGGCGTCATCCCTCACACCAGCTTACATACGTATAGCTGGTCCTTCCACCTCTCATATGACCTTCGAAAACACAACCATATCGATCGATGATATCAACGAGCCCAAAAAGCTGAGCCTAACAAAACTATTTAGGGAAGACGGTAAGAAAAGAATAGAAAAGAATGGAATTAAATATTTAATTATAAGTACCTAGCTGCTATTTGCGGTTTTACACTTATAACTAATTCGATCGGGAAGTTCTAGGTCTGAGTCCTTGGTCAGGTCGTGTACAGTTATAGGATTTTTCTGATAAGAAATTCTCAGTGATAGCATGGAGTTGGGAAGTTGATCTACATCCCTGTGCTCCGGAGAGCATGTTATGCTATCGGTCCTGCGTGTGCGTCCGTCTTTCAGCGGTGGTATCTCTGTCGTCCCACCGCACTTTGAGAGTGAAAGGAATAGTGTCTGCACTTGTGTCTGCGTACAAACTTGTGTTCTATAACAATTGAATGAATATTATATAAATAAGAATTATTTTAAACTATATTTTGTCTTAATTTTAAATAACTTTATATTTTAAATTTAGATTCTGGCCACAAAAGCCTTCAGTTTGCAGTCACGCATAACCAATGGGAGAAATTCGTGCACTGGGCAAAAAATACTGGCTTTGATCTTGTGTTCGCCTTAAACAACGATGAGAAGACCAGCTCGGGCATGTGGGACCCTAACACTGCCTTGAAAATACTGACTGTTGCTGACAAGGCGAATATCGGGGAGATTTTCTGGCAACTAGGCTATGGTAAAATTTTAAATTCCTTAAAATGTATTTTGTAGTTTCGTAGATTTGAGTTTAGTTTATTAGAGTTGATAAAGTACTTTAAACTTTGAAAAAACAATCTGTATTAATGAATATGTTTTAGTATCGATTAATCCCTCCACGACTGCGGACACGCCGGCGTTACAGTCAACAATACATTAATTATTGTTGATATATATGTAGAAATTTAATTGGAGGTGTAAGTGTATTGTCTAAAAATCATGATTAGACAATCTTTGTTCGATTCTAAGATTGTGCATATGTAATTGTCACCGCCAAACTTATGGATTCGACTCTCTTGTGATTCTTAATCTTATAAAAATAAATAATATTTGTATGTATGTATAGGTGTAAAGAAAAAGGAAGGAAGTGTGTACAGATAAAAAAAACATCAATAATACGAAAATAAATCATAATTTATTATTAAAAAAATAATTAGAATAGTAGTTTAAAAAAAATAACATTAACATACTTATATAGTTGATCTTCATCATTGTTCACCAGAATGTTCAAACCAATCCATAGAGGAATATCTGAATGACTTGGAAACTCTAAGAGTTATTATCGAGACCTTTCCCCCCGGGAAGGCGGGCGACTGGCAAGTGGTGGGGGGTGACGTCACGCACTGCTTACACGAGGACTCAAAGAGTGACTTCAAGGATTACGTCACTTTATCAAATGATATGATGGACGCCATATTACTTAATGGGTTAGTGTAATATTTGGTCTTATGAGACAATATAATTGTATTTTATATAGTAATGAATCTTATTTGTCTGTAATTTTAGGATTACTAAGTTCTTGTAAATTTCGTACACTTTATTTTAAAGAGTATTTGAGAAAATATAAAGAATAATTGTGATATTTAATGGTTAGACTTTAATACTTTTAATATATCAGACTACTACATATGTATTATGAATGTAAAAGTTTGTATAGGTGTGTGTGTATGTTTGTGTGTGTTTATATTTGTTACTCCTTCACTTTGATTTTAGTACACAGATACACTAGGACTTCGAGCACAACTTACGCTACTTAAGTATAATAGTTAAGTTAAGTATAATACTACTACTACGTGTAACTACAAGTAATTAAAGATGCACTCGAGCGATGGGAGATTAAAATTATATTGTATTCTTATTATTTATGTCACTAATAAAACTGTTTACAGAAATTCATCCTCGCAAGAGTTAGAACGTATGTCAGATAAAGACAGAATGAAACTGCTCACCGTGCTCAGCCGCAGCGACACGCCGCTGTGGCTGACGGAGCACACGCGCGCGGGCGCGGAGCTCGAGCGGGCCGCTGACTGGATCACCAGCTTGGGATACTCAGCGAGAAACGGATTTTCTGTACACTATAGAGAACTGATGGAGAAGGAGCTGTATGAACCGACTTTGGTAAATATCTATATTTGTTATATATTCTTTTCGTATGTGCAATTAATCAATACACTCGTTATTCAATGAACACACGTTTATTACGGAACCAAAAATACAACAACAATGGCTTTTTTTACCGAACACTTCCGGGCAGTCAGTGTTGCCCTCTCACTAAATATAATATACAACAATATAAATCAGTGATAGGAAATGTTGTATCTCTTGCTAAGCATATGGTGTGTATGGAAAAGTACAAGCTTTGGTATTATGTTTCGCTAAAATTTATTGACTTGCTTTTATCCGCGAGTCTACGCTCGTAGTTTATTTGTTACGTAGTTTGTTAATTAGAGGAGCTGAAGAGCTTTCTTTATTTTTCTTCTTTTTGAAATTTATTCTACTAACTAGAAAAACACTAATACAGATCTATTAGTTCCCACGGGAACCATTCATTTTCCGGGATGAAAAGTAACCTGTTGTTTGACCGGCAATATAAGGTATTAGAATGTTAAATTTTACTAAATTAGGTGCATAAGTTGTTGTGTACTAATCTGTATAAGATAATATAGTTTTTTAACTATTCCACGGGAACTATTTAATTTTCCGGGATAAAAAGTGTCTAAGATGTTGCTCGGGTATATAAGGTACCACCATGCAAAATTTCATTTAAATCGGTCCAATAGATACGGAGATTAGTCCGTACAAACAGACTAACAGACAGAGAAACAAAAAAATTGAAAAAAATCCGGATTTGTTCTATTTCTCTTCTTACATCCCCCTCACTCGGTTATTAGCATTTTTTTCTATGTACAGACATTCGACTTCTACAGTTTTATTATAGTATAGATTTATTAAGAAAATGTATGTAAATCGAGTATGAAACAAAGACAATTGTTTTAGAGTTTTTATATGGCGTTACTCTTCAAAAATCTAGTCGGAGAAAAAGTTCTTAATGTTGATATTGATTCCTCTCAATCTATAATATTCGCACACTGCACCTCTCTAAGACATAAACCAGTATCCGGTGCTATAACGTTATATGGTGTGAACATGGATGAAGAGCCGGCGAGATTTTCAATTAAATTGAGCAAGAAAGAAGAAGGTGGTGATATCATGCAGTTTATTTTGGGACATGATCATAGCGGGTACGTGTTATTTAGAATTTAAAACTGGTTTGATCATAATCATTTTTTAATTGATAACACTAGAATTCATCAATAGAATTCTACTAAACAAAAAATTTAAAAAACTGAACTGAACTGTTTTATCTTTGCATAGTTTTTATACAGATTTACTTACGACTGGTTATAATATAAAAAATTGATAAATATTATTAAATGTAATATTAGATATAAACTTATTTTATCAACATTTTTTTAATAGTTATAATCTGTCATTTTTTTGTAGCAATATCGTAGTAAATAACCGCGCTATGTATTATGAAGGTGACATTCGTCCAGTCGTTAAACGAGTTCGTCCATACAAAACTCTACTTCTGAATTTACCTCCAAAATCCTTTGGCTTTTGGGTTCTCGCCAACACACAAGTTGAAGCTTGCTTCGAAGACAGCGAAAGTAAACAAGAAAGTATATTAAAAAATAAACACAATAAGGCTGAAAGTAATTTTATCAAAACTAAACGTTCACTGGATGTAAGTAATGATTTTGATTTATCGGAAGAACTATCTGTAGATTATGACATAATAAAAGACAAAGCTCTTAAAGAAAGAGTTGATAGCATTAACAAGGATTTAAGAAATATCCGAAGAATATTTAGAACTAATTCTGAAAATAATAATAACTTGAATCGAGTTAGGCGTGATGCATATGAAAAAAATAAATGGACTAAGCATTTAAGAAGAAATAATGTGAAATCCTACAATAATGATGAAAATGACGGCAATATATTTAGCAGACTATCAGGAATTACTAAAAGTCATCTATCAACTATAAAAAGTAGTATAGCATCCCTAACACAGGATAAATCTAAAAGACCTAGAAATTTTAAAAGAAATTTAAAATTAAAATCCAAAAGAAATTCAAAAGCCATTGATTTATCTAAATCAAAAGATGCCGAAATGAAAATGTTAAATAACAATGTACTTAAGACAGAAAAAAGTGATGAACACCGTGACAAGTCAATTAGAAAGCGTAGAAGTATCACAGACAGACAAATTTTAAAAAAATATGAAGATGAATCATCAGAAAACGAAATAAATGAAGATAGTAAAGAATCATTTAAACTTGGTAAAATTTTACACAAATTGGAGAAAATAAGCGAAATGCCTTTAGAGATACAAGACAAAGACACAGATTATGAAGAAGATGAATCAGAAGAAGGTATTGTGCTAAAAACTAAGTTATCAGACGACAGCGCCACAATAGATATAGTTGAAAAGTCTCATTCGGGTTTACTTAAGTCCACTTTACAAGATATCTTGTCATTATTGTCTGATTTGAATAAAAATGTTAATAAATTTTGGTCCGCTATTACAATTTTAGAGTAAGTTTTATATTAAGAAATAAAGTCCAATGAGTAAAATGTAAAATGGAAGCTCTCTATGTACTGTATTTATTGGTTAGTTAAATATAAATGTATATTCTGTAAATAAAATATAATAATGTTATGCTGTTAGCAGGTAAATGTATGTTTATTTTAGAGTAATATGATATAATAAATTTTATAAATAAAGTTTTTTTTATAAATTACAATGGACTATTTTTTACATGCTCTATGTTACATAAATATATCTTTTAGTTAAAAAATGTCTTCGCATGTAACCTAAATAGGAATTATCTTTAATCTGATTATAATCTGCAATAGAGGTGACACGAAATGGTGGCAGGAAACATTATCACAGTTGGGTTTAAATAAAACAAAACGTTTGGTGGTACAATGTTATTTATTATTTAACAACATGGTAGAATAACCACTTTCACACTCACAGTAAAGTTAATATGAAAATGGCCACCTCTAAACTTTTATACATAACTAATAAGGACCCATAAATAAATTTAACAATGCTTTGCAACAAGACGTAAATTATTAGCAGCGAGAAAGCCTACATCCTACTGAGTGAGAGACCGGAAACATAAAGTCAGACGGTATACAGCCGCGAGCCGACGCAAACGGAACGAACAGTAACAACTCCACGAAAGCTCAATCCGATTAATACCTAAAAACATTGTCAACAATAAACTTTCATTCCCTCGTAATTCTAATTTAAATGTTATCGGATAACTTTAAACTTTCTCTTTAATAACAATACAACATGAACCTTCATGGGTTCACTCTTTACATTTTAATTTCGGTAAATTGCAATTTTAACACTAGATGTCACTAATATTAAAAGCTAACGCACTAAATGTGTTATTCCATATCACTATCCTATAAAACAAACGAATACGATCGAGGAATTATCGATTTATTCGACCAATTAAAGATACTAAACAGATTCGATTGTTGTTATCGATTTTCCTCGACTGCGCTTCGTTGTATTTTAGATCGAAATAAATGAAAACTAGACTTTCACGTACAATATAGAAAAGATTTTGTTTTAAAAAATATGTAAAATTCAAAGCGCAACAACTTGTGGCACTTAACGTCAGTTCTTTGTTATCAAAATGAAATCTATACTATTCGGAAAAGTCTAAAATATTTATAACAATCAGATAATACTGTGTGAAGCTCTTGTGGTGTGATGTGTCGTTGTCCCTATTTGTCTCTGTAGCTGTTTATACTGCAACTCTGATCCCGACGCCCGCACTGAGCTGTCAAACCAACCTACAGGATGTTTCAAATTATCCATTCTCCATACTTTTTTAAAGTTTATAGAAGTATTTGAATGTATTTTAACCTAAGGTGCTAAAAATACTTGTTCTCAGTAATTGGACATCTGGATCAGACTTGTGAGATACATTTGCTGATTAAAATTTGATAATTTTTTAATGTTCGATTGATTTAATTTTTATCGGTCATATATTTAGTTGTCATTAATTTATCGGTCATAAATTTATTAACTATTTATAATTTTCTCGTTTACCAAAATGTATCAAAAATTTTATCAAATTTTAACGTAGCAAAGTTATCGCGTGTGTCCTACGACCTAGTGCATAAAAATACGCTATTTTGGAAAAATATTCAACAATGTATAAAATGCGTTTAGATTTGTCAAATCATAATCAGCTCCTATTGTCGTGACGCAATAGTACAACAATCAAAACGTTTAAATTTTATCTCCAATATAAGAAATTATGTAATACAATTAATATTATTATAATTTTTCTATTCAAAAATACATAGTCTGTAAAATGTCCAATGTAATATCACACACGTACACACTGTCTATTAGACTCATCCATACATTCAAATCTTATACACATCCATTAATACGTATACACACATCAAAACATGTAACTATAAAAGATACACATACAAACACACATACATTACTTAATTTTTGGTAAATAATTTACCATTGCGTCACAACAATAACCATCAACATCCTACAACGATGTTTCAGTCAATACTTGATAAGATAGTCAACAAATACGAGGAGAGGATAGAATTTTGTATGCCATCGCAGGCCAAAAAGTCATAGATACCTTCTAAACAATCTAACTGAATATATTACAAAATAGTATAATACAATACCCTGAGTGCGAAAGTCATAAGATTAATTCATCAACTGATTAAGGAGAAATTTCAGAAATTGGTCAGTCGTGAAGGAGCTTAAAAATATTCTACTGCTGTGTTGGATAGTGCGATCGTTTGTTTATTAAATAATTTACAATTATCACTAGACTACGTATCTACCTTGTATAAACCTCTTTGTAAATTTATTACAATTTATTATAAATGAAATAGAATTGGTGGAATAATTTTTGCGATGTGATCTCTAATTAAAGACTAGCAGTTAAGACAATTTCATTAGATTTTATATACGATATATATTATATTAAACAAACAACATTAACATCGATGCAACAAGCATCAAAGATATTCACAAACCTTACAATTGAGTAGAACAAAATGATTCGATTTATTTGATATCACCCAAATTCCTTCAAAAATTTGCACTTAAGCAACGTTTTAATACTTATACATTATATTTTATAATTACAGTGGAATTCGTAACACTATACATCGAACACCGAAAGCTTACATGTAAACAAGAGCTTCGAAGCGCCTACATAGGTATTGAAACAAAATAAAGTAGATCAATAGAGAGAAAACGACACCGCACGCACAAGAGCCTCGCAACCATGCATATTACAATATGAATAACGCTTCATTTTAAATTAGTGACAATTAGCGGGTTTATTCAAGTTTAGTTACGTCTAAACCTCGCTACGTACCAAAATAACTTTTCTAATACACTATTACTACGTGAGAGTCAACAACGAAGATTATAGTAAGATCTACGATAGATAGAAAGAGAAATAGATAGAATCTAGGGATAGCGATATTTTTTATTTTATTTTACTTTAACATTATGTGAGAGCAAAATAAAATAAATCCAAAGTGGAGACGAAAGGCTACAGCTATTACAGGTGTAGAATAAGAGAAACTTTTGGTCTTGTGAAATTATATCAATAGATACATACAGGTCCAAGATCTTAACGCTATTATTGTATCGACTACGAACAACAGGTTAGCTAGAATTGCCATGCATATACATAGAACTATTACCGTAATACAATACATGATAAACCTAGCCTAGACACACGTACACTGTGAAAATTATGTTATACCTTACATTAATGTGAAGTTCAGAAGGACGGGCTTGACGCCTTGCTCGAAGGTGCCCATCAGTTTAGACTATGGCCACTAGTGCTGAAGTTAAGTCTATAGAAGCTATGAAAATATTTATGAATAGTACAGTGCGGGAAAATATTTTGAACCTTAAATATCAGAAAATAGATCAGCTTCTTTAATAAATCTGAAAGTGTCTGTTTGATCTGTAATATTTACATTGTGAATATTGATTATTACGCGATGGGACAACTCTGCGCCAAGGACCAAGCGGATATAAGGTTATATCGAATGAAGTTGAAACCATTAAAATACATGATGTGCTGATTCCATGGGAGTATCGTATAGTAAACTACTACGAGCAGAAAGTGCGGACGATCGTAAATCCGAGTGAAGTCGAGTCGATCTTAGATGAGATTGAAGTCAGTGAAAGATTTAAAGAGATACCAAGAAGCTAAGTGAGTATGTAGCGCGAGCGGACGAGCCGCATTGGGCGCACAGCGTTAGTTTATTTTATTTATATATCACAGCTTTTGACGATAACAAATCTTTTGCATTTGCAGCTTAATACGTTGAGTCAAACTTCCGAACCATTAGCCCTAAACGCTTGACAGATCCGCCTCGGTGCATCTCCCGATCTCTTCGACTGGAGAGCGCTGTCGTCTACTTTCCCTATGTCTCCGCGGATACAAACTCGACACCGTAACGTTAATCGCTCGAAGGATTGATCAAACTCACTTTAATCCTAAGCATAAAACATCGATAAAACATTAGAATTGCGTCAACTACTAGTACGCTAACTTGATTCAACGATTGAACGCTCAACGGTAACACAACGAGGTTATACTACGTTACATTTAGTCGAACATCTTACACTAGACATGCACGAACGAAATGATCGCGATCGCGACATTAACAATATTGTACCTATATTCGATGTGGACATTAAGGCTAGGTCGATTAAGGTATGTACACCTAAACATAATACACGTCTCTGCATAAGCACGCATGCAAAAGATTTAGAGGCAAAAGTTTGGATCTCATAGTGACAGCGAAAGCGAACAAACATCAAGCTGAGTGGAATTTGGATGAAAACAAATGAATACATTGTTATTTGAATGTAACGAAGAGGACAGACTGCTACACGCGTGCTGACGCCTCCGAACGCGCAGTCGTTTCCGTGTACGTTCAACAACAAGTGCCACTACTGCGACCGCCCGGTTCAACGATGACTTTTTGACCTAACGTTGTAATCGGTAGTTTTGCCGCTCCAAATGTGTATAAAAATATTATTGCTTATTACCAAGCACCAACGCGCCTCTAGCCAACTACTTTCCGAAATTTAGAATTTGGTTCCTACTATGTTTGAGCGCGAATGATTTTGAACAAAATATTTAACTTGTATGGCTCTGTACTCTGTGTGGGGGTAACAATGTAACAATGGCTTGTACAGCGACATCATGTATCCGCTCCGATGAGCTCACTGCATCACGCACTTGCTCTCGATCTGCGACTTCAGTTCGTTCACTTGCGTTTCTATGGTGTTTTTCAATTCTGAAAAGTAATATTTTAATTATATTAAAAATTGTTTCTTTATTTAAAAAAAATATAACTGATTGCGATTTAACCTTCATTGTAAGTAAACGTTCTTTCCAAAATTCTAAATTTTATGGAATCCTTCTCCAATGAATTTTATTTGGACCTCACACTTCGAAATCTTTCTAACTTTCTCGTCTAGATTTTTTTTAAATATCAAAGTAATGTAAATACTGACTAGTGAACTCGTCCTGGTCTTCAAGCTCTGCCTCAGCTGCCAACTCCTCGGGAGTCTTCTTCTTCCTCATCAGAGGGTTGTCAGGTTCTTGTTGCTGTTGTTCCGCTATCTCTTCTTTTTTAGGGATTTTGTACTGAAACAGATTTTGTCACAATGAGCGTACTAAAAATTGAAGCATTATATATATTTATAATTTGATATAACTTGTGTAAACGCGCTCACTTTGGTAAGCGGCAAGCGTGTGAAGCTGGAGCTATGTAACCCAAGGGTCGCATTCACATAAATCTTTTATTTAGTAATAGGATATCATAATCTTAAAATGTGGTTTCACTTTCGATATCCTTCTCAGAAGAATGTCTTATTGTCAAAAGTGGTCTCTGTTAAAGTCAGTAAGAGTTTTAAAAAGGGCTGATTACAGACGTAATTAAACTAATTTAGTGTATATTTTTAAAAATACTATATCTTTTAGTCTCCTTACGTATACATAATATATAATTACGTAAATAGCAAACCCTAATAACAGATCAATCAAATGTTCTTAAATTAATTTGTTTGAAACAACAACAAAAATGAAAAAAGAAGTAAATATTGATTGAAATAAACATTTGATATTTATAACTATTTATACTTAATATAATCGAAATATTCGTGTAGACCTATTTATCGTCTGTCTATCGTACAGTAAAGCTTGTAAACCTCCCTCCGATATAAGTACTTTGTAAATAATTTTTCAATTTTATACTGTTTAGACGCTCGATTGGCTTCAAGTCCCTCGGGTATCATAGAAATATCCATTGTTTTATTGTTTTACTACACCGCAAATTTATGTTATAGCAAAGTTTACAACTTTCATTGGTTTGATTTATTTATGTATGAGTCGAAGGAAATAACATGTTATGAATATAGAGATGGGTAGAGTTCAAGTCGACGTGCCGGAGTAAAAAATGCATAAAAGATATCAAGACCGGATCATAACTAGGAAAAATTTATGTTTTCTTACGTTTTCGTGGTTATTATTTATGACTTTACGTGTTCAGTTATATTGCATGTAACTTTAAATTCAATGGTATACCTAATATTATTTGACGACACGTTTGGCTCAGTTTGTAGTGACCCTACTTGCTGTGCCAGCGGTCGCGGGATCGAATCCCGCTGGGGGCATTTATTTGTGTGATGAGCACGAATGTTTGTATTCCAGTCATGGGTGTTTATATTTATAATATGTATGTATTTAAAGTTATATATGTGTAGGGTGTCCACTGTGTGGTATCCATAACACAAGCCTCGTGGTTTACCATGGGACTATGTAGATGGCGCTATGTGTTAATGGCTAATTATTTAAATATAGTTTTTTTCAGGAAATTTATCATAGACAGTCCCTGTGCAATACGATTTATTTATTTAAAAAATTGCACTTATTGTGGACATATTTAAAAAAATACCTGTCGGTTTTCTCGTAAGCTAGTCTTAGTATTATAACTTAGCAATTTAGAAAAGTATTATTTCAGTTTACAATCAGTAAATCTCGTAATATTCATACAAAAACATAACAAAATCGAGTACCAACTTCTTGATATTGGCCAGAAACAATTTTAAATGAAAATAGAAATCTTCTATACCACACTATACAGTATGTAACATAATTTTAACATTCGAATGAAAAACAAAGGCCGTCTCTTATACAATAATATAAAATAAACTGGCGTCGCTTACAGAGGCGCGTAATTTCCCAATGGATTTCTCTTGATTTCCAATTTCGCCACGCTTTACACATCTGTACCCTGTGTTAATATTATAAATTAATAACAAACTAATATGGTTTTTGATGTTAAAGTATATACTTCACTAGTGATTTACCCTGGCTCCGTTCGCGTTCCTAGGTAGCTTTTATATTTATAAATATTATAATACTAGCAACTTATTCACGCTTCTCTCGGGTGCATCTCTAGGATATTGTCCACAATTTTTATTGAATTTGATTTTTTTCCGCGGAACTGTAATTCTTGTTCTAATATAAAAGTAGTCTAAGCTATTCCTTATAGCATCAGGTATCTGCCAATAAAAGTCTCGTTAAAATTGGTCCACCCAATTCGGATGAGCCGGAACAGACAGACAAAAACTTAAACATTGTTTTTTCTTATAACAAACATATATACTTTCATATGTATTAAGTAAAAAGCTCTAATTTTTAAAATTACAAAAATATACTTTAATTTTATTTATTTGTATAGATTAAATAAAGGCAGCGCCACATTTTTGCAAATTTTATTAAAACAGTAGCTTATCTGTGTGCTAAATTTCATCCAAATCTGTGTTATAAATATAAAGTAGATCGAAAAATGTTATATATTTACTAAATTAACTGCTCCGTTTCAAATTAATTCGTGGATAGGTTTACAGTTATTGCTCATGAATTTCGAAGCCTTAGACTGGTCAGCCCAAAATTACTATTAAGTTTTCTGCCTCTTACGTCGTAACTACATACTCGTGTAAAAGGAGATTAATTTTAGTTGGTGCTCATGTAGGATAAGCACAAAATGATCATTGTAAAGCTTTGGCTTAAACTGTTAGTAAAATATCGTTTATATTTTTGTTTAAAAAATGGTTTACTTATTCCAAATATACAATATATTTAGGGTGATTTTTTTATGAAACAGGACTACTGATGAATTATTGTAAAACTATTATAAAGTACTTAAAAAAAGTCCATATCAATAAAGTATATTTTGATTTACAGTTTGTCAAAATAGAGAAATGGCTTGTGGGTAATGACCCAAACGTTCAAGAGGAATATAATATACAATTTAGTATGAATAAACATATTATGTAGTATTTGCAGGCAAGAATTGATCCAATTCTGTACGAGTCCTAAAATAACAAATAATATGAACTGACACATTCAAAAAACATAAGGTTATATGTAAAATAAATGTTCTTACTTACATTCAGTCTTTGCAGAAGTCAATTTTAATGAGTCGCCATTCCAGTTTAGACATAAGCAGCTTAATTCTAAGTAAATTATGTTCCGTCTAAAGCCGCTTCGATCACGACACTGGATGTAGATAGAGACCCTATATATTAATATCTTTGCCATTTTTAAATATTCTCAGTCTCAAGTGACTTCATTAGTTTTTAATAATCGGAAAAGATTTTATGGGAAATATTCTGCTTTATTTAAAAATAAAAGTAGAATTTTAAAGAGATTTTGAGTCACGTCATGTCATAGTGTCAATTAATTAATATGGTGGTTTAATGCTAAGTATTTAAAATTATGTCAATTTTCTGTTGCAAAACTAAAAAAATATATATGTAGTACTTTCTTAGATTTACGCGAATCCTTGACATTTTAAATAAAACTATATTTTCGGATTATTTCGCGGATTTATTTAGATTTTTCGTTCCCGACGTTTCGAATGCTTTACAGCAATCATTGTCATGGGAGAGACTAAGGTTTTAAGGGTCTCACAGGCGTTATATATTTGTTACAGACAGTGCCTACCCACTATGTGTGTAGAATAAATACAAAATATGTATTGGGGATATTGTTTTCTTAAATATCTCAGAATATTGCCGTTGCCGCAGACTATCTCACTTGCCATAAGTTATTAATAATCGGAACTATCTGGAAACGTATCACGAGAAAACCACTGGACAGATTTTGATGAAATGTGGTATGATAATTGCTGGTTATCCGGGTCAACATACAGGATACTTTTAAAGCGATAAATCTATCAATTTTTTGTCTAAGAATCGAATTCGCAACCTCTAAAACAGAAGACCTGATCTCCTTAGTCATGAACACCTAGGTCAAGAAGTACATCAGAATTTAATGAAGTAATGTATATTAGAATTTGATGAGATTTTTTTTTATTTTGATTTTAATTTTGCATTGAATATAATAACACTCAGTTTCATTTTAATTTGAACAATAATCTCTATGCCCCAGCGACCTCATTAGGTCTAAATAATAAGAGGGCGGCTTTCGCGGGACAATTAAGTGACGTCGTTTCTTAGCAGTCTTCTTATAATAATTAAAAAGAAATAAAGTTTGTTCACAAAAATAATTTCAAATGCACATTCTTTTATTTCGTTTGGCCTAGTGGAATGGGTTTGACTGGCACTAATTTTAACATAGTACAAGAGGATGGAGTTCGATGCCCGTACGTGGTAATTTATGTTCAGGTTTGCAATCATCATAATCAAGAAATTTCAAATCAAGACCTGAAAATGTATTTTTGAACATTTTTGTGTATTTTCTTATGAATTGACATAAAATATTAAGTAACAAAAAAAAATATACGTGTGTAGGTACTTATGTACGCACGTAAGAAGTTATACTTCTTTGTCGTAACAGAACAAAAATAGCTAAAGATTTCATCCCGTATGTCACAACTCTCTGTTTGTACAAGAAATGATAAATTAATAAAAATATTTTTTTTATCTCCACTGATATAAAACACGTGCAACAGATTTATTAATATTTGAAAAACTATTTTGAATCATTTATGAGTTTTCAAGGGAACCGGAGAGACAATTAACAATTATCAGCTAACTTCATCATGTCGCTTTTTGCCTGTCGGTGTGCGCTCGCATCGTAAAAATTTTACACTCCTTTTTATTTTTTTCCAAACGTGCCAAAAGAAGTCAAAACCTGACAAACAAAACTAGGTTTTTTGAGTTATTAATATATTAAAGTTATTTAGAATTCTTAAAAATTGGGTACATAATTTATTTACATTTCGTTAGAACCAATGGATAAATAAATGAACTCAACCGCGTAATAAAGTACACGATAAAAATATATCCCAATTAACTTTAATTATACGTAACCGTAATAAAATTTAATTTGTACGTTGGTTATTTACGTCGGGGCAAGCCGAGGGATTAACTAAATGGATAGATATGAAATATGAGATTTTATACAGCGCTGACGACTCATTTCGCTTAGAATCTAAAGAGGCCATATGCGTCTATTAACCATGTTATATAAGTAGCCTATAAATAAATGTTAGGACATTAACACACATCACCATCTAGTTCCATGGTAAGCTACGAGGCCTGTGTTATGGATACCAGATAGTTGATACACTACACATATATAACTTTTAAATACATACATATTATAAATATAAA